GCACAAGGCATGCAAAATAACAAACCGATTTCGCGTTTTCTCTCTTCACCTGTCGATCATTGCCTTTATGAAAGATAGAAAGAACAATTGAACTTCTAATCGGATTTAAGTTACCCGTGCATGTTAACAAACATTCGTTATATCGACACAAGTGTATTGAGAAAAGGAAAGAACGAAAGGTAAAAATTATACGCCTCTTCTCATATCGTACATATCAATGATGATGATGATTATGTTTTCTCCTTTCTTTCGATGAATATATGCGTGTGCATACATATAATATAAATATATATATATTAAACGACAGTTCTAATCGAGCACGAATCAAACGAATGCTAGTATGTCGTGTACGATTAATAGCGAATAAGATTTGTGTAGAAAATAATCACTTTATATATATATATATGGATATATACAATGAAATCGATGAGAATTAACTTTTTGTCACCTTAAATAAAATCATACATGTTTAAGCTTTGTTTTTTTTTTCATAAATAAATCATCGAATAACTTGTCAACGGAAAGATTTGAATAAACGAAACGAAAAAGAAATCAACGTGCGTTGGATGATTTTCTCTTTCTCTTTGAGTATCAATGTTTGATAAGAGAGTGTGAACCAGTCAATGGTGTTAATATACCGATGAATGACTTTGACTTTCTTTGATCTCACTGTTTAATTATTTACATTCGAAAGTTTGAAGCATTGTTTCAAGTAATAGACTATTTCAAACAAGAAACTTGTCTTCAGTTGATCATGAAACAATTAATATGAGAATTCTTCTTCTTTTTCTTCAACATTGCTATGCATATTTGCACTTGACATTCATCGATGATTGATTTCTGATGAATTATATAATCTAAATCAGTTGTCAATTGAAAAGAGATTCTTTCGAATGTGGAAGATTGTAGTTGGAGGTGGATAGCGTATCAATCATGATTGTCATATCAATGATTGGTTATAATTTTTCATCATTGAGATTAGAAATAAACCGTGTAATTTTTCTCATACTTTCTAATTGATGAGTTTTTCTTTTTATTTGAGTTTATAATTAAGACTCTCGATGGGGATTGTCGTACGCGGATGTTTTTCAATCGAGTCACATAGATTTCGAAAGAAATGTTTTAAAGCGCAAATCAGAAGAAAAAGATTGCAAAATAGATCGAAGATAAAAAAGCATCGAAGGTAAAATATAATCGATCGAAAAAGAGTTCCACAGCTTGTGATCTTATCCCACTGATCCTTTCTCATTTCGTTCGCTTCAATTGCCTTTCGACAATATGGAAACGCGAGAAAATACTCCCGTTCGTTCACTGAATCGAACAGAATTTCATCTTGAATACGACAGCATTGATATGTATTCAAACAAATCGATAATAAACTTTGATTTCGATCGTTTTTCATAATGTTCAATGTTAATAAATTCATCACATTATATTGTACATATATCATGTAAGAAGCGTAAGTAATAAATGAAATAATCAAGCATAAAAAGAAGCAACTGACTAGAACGTATGTCAATTTTCGGTTGGATTCGGGAGAATTTGAAAGAAAAAGATTTACGATCGAAAAACTTAGATTAAATAGTATCACAAATGTTAAAAGTTTTGACCATGTTTGAACGATAAATAACGTACGTGTCGAAGCACAGATTAATAAGCCGAAATACCAGAATAAAATTCGAATTAAGAGAAACAATTTAAGTAAAGAAATATTTGACATTTTTTTTATCGACAATTGCAGACGGAATAAATTCTAAACAAAAATGATTGAAAAATTCCCTTTTAGTGTGTGTCAATGACGAACTTACAATGTTGCTGAGATTTTGGATCGAAAATCATCAGAGAAATTGTGGAACCCGAGCCAATTCTATCTATAAGAGAAGCGAGTTTAGTTTCACAAATAATCACACAGAAAAATGATTATGCGCGTAATGAAGTCGCTAACTAAGAGAGAATCGACTAAACGGAAAACGTGTTTTTTATTGAGCATATGTTCGATGGAGATTGGCTTCTTTTTTTTTTTATCACAGATTGATTCATTTAGTTTACCAAGCAAAGTAGGAAAGAATGATAGACTAGCATCACACAACTGTTAGTAAAATGTAAGCTAAGAAGACTAACAGAGGTTTAGATCAGTGAGAAAGCAAAACATTTAATCAGAAAGAGTTTTCTTTTCTTTATGCCAAGGTTTGTTGTTGTTATCAAGTCAGGATCTATTCGAGAAGAAAGAAGACTTTCATATGTCAATGATCTTATTGATTTTGTTTTGAATTCTATTGCTAACGAGAGATTTTTAAATTATGTTTTCTTTCATACCTGAAGCGGATGTTTTCGGAGTGTCGGGTATCATATCGATAGAAGACGGAGGTAAACCGGCGTGTAAAGCACGTTGAACTGGTCCACAAGTTACATCCCATGTATCGAGATTGCCAATTTTTTGTGGAATATATAGTGGAAACCGACAGTGACCGAGAATTGGTTTTGTATAGGCTAAGAAGATCAAATGATGATTTCGAAGAAAAGAGGAAGTTGTTCTTACGATCTATTTGTTCATAAACAGTGATCAGCGCTTGAATTCGAATCGGTATCAATGATTGACGGGTTTGCTGAGCTGGTAGAATTAATTTCTCATCTGTCATGTCAATGAATAATCTTTCCCAGCTAGGTTTATATCGTTCGCGTTTTCCTGGGAATTGCACACAATGAATCTCGAATTAATCAGAATCAATTTACTTACGGATTTTGGGAGCTGACTTTGTCGTAGTCGATCCTAGTTTTTCTCCACCGCCATATATGTCTATCTGAACAGTGATTGATTTACAGTGAACTTCTCGTCGAGGATCTTTCGTCTAATTGAAAAATTTATCGATAAGTTCTCGGTCAAATTCAAATTGCATACGAATGGTGTGATCAACGTCAATGAAATATGTTCTATACCAACAGATTCCAAGTAAATCGTTTGTTTATTAGATCGAATTTCAATATTGTCCAGTGATTTCATTGGTCGTATACGTTGATTCATTGCCGGAATGTATTTTGGATCATCCTGTTTCAATGCCAGATGCACAAACGCTGTCTGAATGTCCGATGTATATAATAAGCATGGCTCATCGAGAAAAACTCTTCGCATTTCTTCATAGTTTTCAGCGCACATAAATTTATCACGAAGGAGATACACTATCGCTCGACATGCATGTTCAATATAGTTCAATTCCCATTTGACCATGAAAAATTGATCCCATAAGTAGAGTACGCTATTCGAATTAAGAATTCCCACGAACATCTAGTTACGGAAAAGGAACTTGTTGAAATAATTAGACGAGCAATCACTCACTTCACAGATCCACTTTCGAAGAAAAATAACAGGATCAGTCATTAGTTCTTGGTCATAAACTTTCTTCCACTTCGTTTGTTTATCATTTAACGACAGAATTTCCATGGGAAAATCCTAGACAAAAACAAGGCTTTTTTTCTCCATGGTTTAAGCAGATATCGTCAATACTTTGACGTTGATTTTTGCATTCAGTCTTGATATCTTTTTCAAATGATTATAAAATCCTGAATCATTAATAGAGATATCACTGATAATTTTACTAGCAATCGTGTAGATTTCAGGCCATGTCGGAAAGCAATGTCGAATGAATAAGTCTAAGTGCATACCGATCACATAAATCTTTTCATCTAAACGAACGATTCGATTTGCAAATCAAATTTGCTGCATATCAAATCAATACCTTTATTTTCTTCATCACAATAAGTCAGCTGAAATGGTAATAACCAATAAATATAATAAATTTCATAGGATTTTTTGTACGTGTATAGAACATTCAAGATTTTGATGGTAAATCGTAAATGATACTCTTCAAGATACGGCTGAAGTGCACGAATTTTGCCATATGTCTAGAAAATTGAATGATTTACTCATAGACATATTTTCTGATGAGAATATACTTCGATAACATCGTTTTCAATGAGATTTTTCATCGGAGTATTTAATGGATTCGAAAGTTTAAGTTCGTTTTTTCCGCGTGTGATGCCACTTGCGAAATCTCGTCTTGTCTTCAACTCAACAAAACTCTACAATGAAGAAAACAATGATGACTTCAATTATGATAAGCAAATAAACGAACAAGATCAGATTCATGTGGTTTCTTTTCAAATCGGAATAAACATTCCGTCCAACTGATTTGTCGAAGTGCAACCGGTAATTGTTGTCCAAATAGTTTCTCTTTCAGAAATGTTATGCGACGTAGATCTTGCTTGAGTAATGCTATGATTGATTCGGATATTAAGTTACTGTACTGCGAGGTCATTGGATGAACAGTCGATGGTGATTCTGAAAGTATAGTAGTTTAAGCCTGATCTGTGCCATTTAAAATCGAACGAACCATGAATCATTGGTAATTTTCTTGAATTGGTTCGCGAATCGCGTAATATGAATCGAAGTTTTGAACCACCTGTTAATTCACTATAACGTTTGATTTGGTTCATTTCGTGTAACTTTTGTGTCTCGTGTTCTTGAAATTCTTTCTGCTGTATTTGATACAAATAACGTTCGAGCCCTTTCCAAACAACTTGATTTGTATATTCGAGGAATTCTGCCATCTCAGCAGACGATTGAGTAGTTCTACGAACTTCAATCGATTTGTGTTCATTCAATTTTCGGTCAGACTTACTCATCAATGTCTTTCTTTGCTAAATTCAAAAAGAAATCCATGAAAGATTTGAGAAAAACTAGACTTCAACTAACCAGCGCCGATTTCTGATGCTGCTTTCAAAGTTTGTATCTGTAACCATGATTTAGCTTCATTTTCAAGTTTACATCGTTGTTCTTTCGTCATAGCAGAAACATTCTATAAAGCATTTGAAACACTTATTACTTCTACGTGTGTTGAACATCAACAAACTAAGATCGAGGAATTGTCTAGTTCAGTTCTGAAGAACTTCTTTTGAAACTGTGCACCAAGCAATTCTATAAGCATTTGTCGACGTTGAGAATTATTGAATTGTTGTCGCACTCTGTTTGATAGCGCTGGTTCGAGTTCATCAAGAATCTAAAGATAACCTTTTTCACCATCAATTCCATCAGACTAATCTTTTACTCGATGCCATGGACTATCCGGTAGACATGTTTGTTGATAACATGAGTCGAGCCATTGAATTCGAAATGGCAAATACCGTGGAATTCTTTCTATTTGCTTTTCTTCCTCGTTGGTACAATCCGAATCAATCATAGTTTTAATTACTATTGATTTAAGCGTGACGCAAAACAGTATTTATGTGTCACATCGATATAGACGTTTTCATGAACAACACTGTGACTATGTGTTCGACAACGTGATAAACATACATCAAATGGTGTTGATAAATGTGACAGGAGTAATTTGGTCTTTAAATCACGTGAACGAATGTAATGTTGAAGATGAATACGCTGAAAATATTCAGAGTTAGTTTAACGAAGTAGAAAACATCTCATCATACATGCTCAGGTTTGAGACAACAAGATATACAATGTTCAAATGAATTACAACAATACGTTGACAATGTACAATTATCACAGATATATGGTCCGAGAATGGAGGATGATATTGTTTGACAACAGCCGTTGGTTTTGTCTAAGTGTCGTCGTTGGCACAGGTACCCTAAAAATGAATATCAATAAGTGCTTGTTGTTTTCTCGTTGATGAAAAACATTTCCTAGAGATGAAAACTTCAATTGTTTCTGCTTCTCTCCATGGAGAATATTAAATATTCAACAGAGTTTTGCTAAGTGTTCAACTTTCATTGGGTAATTTCCATCTTCTCTTTCTACCTGACAGCATATACGATCCGAGTCAATATTAAACTGAAACTCTACCTTTACTATCAACAACAAGTAATTGTTTGCCTTGGGCAAAATGTTGGCAAGTCGACACAAATCGATTATCCATAAGAATCGCTTGTTCCAAGTCATTCAAATTAGATTTTGGTGTTGGATATGTAAAACTAGTTACAGGTTGCCTCTAAATACGCCAAGAAAAACAAACAACTCGATCAAATTCGGTAGATTCGAGATAAGGGAGTTCTTCATACGTGTTGTCGCCACCAAATCCATGTGCCTGTCCAGAGTAGACATACGACACCAAGAACAACAACAAGTATGACTGTCGGTTTGAGATAGATTCTCATTGAACAAGGTCTCTAAAGTTAAAAACAGAGTTCTTTCAAATGTATTGCATTGTTTAGTTAGGTTTGACTTTTATTAGAGATCATAAAAGAATAAATAGATATATCGTCGAATCGTGTACAGAAAATGTGGAAAAAAAGAGCAAGTGAATGAAAAACGCAGACGAAATTTGCTTTCTATACACACAAACATATGCACGAACAAAGAAAAGAGAACATTTATATGGAATAGTCTATCGAAAAGAGAAGAAAGAGGATGTGTGGAATGGCGGAACGCTCACAGAGACAACCAAATCAAGGTGAAAGGATTGATAAGTCACCGGAAAAGAAGAACATTACATTGAATCATAGTAATTCATCGACAATAGCATCATTGAATGAAAGGTTTGCATAGGCATGCTGAGAATCATTTCCCGTCGATATGGAAGATTTCTTTTTGTTTGAACGTTTTCGCGACGACGTGGACGAAGTAAATTCATCGCTTGACGATTGTCCATCAGTGTTGACACGTTCTGAATGAAACGAATATCGATCGTTTGTGGAATTCATTGCTCCTAATGTACTGAAATGTTTCGCTAAGCCAGCCGAGCCAACTGGTCGACGTAGAGGTGACGGTCGAGATTGATCTTTGATTGTCAAATCTGGAATCGGCTGTGTCGGAGCAGTCAAATCAATTAGTTGAGAATTCGAGGATGAAGTTGAATGCGATGATGAAGGAGATATCGCATTTGTCTTATTCGATGTCATTGAATGTTGAGACTGTGGAGCTTGCTTTGACATGGTTTTCACTTTGAATGGCGCGTTAGTGAAGACGTCTTTTGATATCAGTGGTTGATTGGCAGCAATACTATTGTTATTAACGCCCGGAGGATATGATTCTGAATGTGGAATTTTTTGTTTTAATGCACCAAAATTGTAGGGTGGAGGAGATGAATCAGTGACTAGAAGTAGACAAACGAAAATAGCTAATATCAACCGATAGTTTGACGCATGTAAGAGTTTATTCATTTATATAATCACATGTTCTCTTTCCTTTTACATGAATAAATAACTGACATTAAAGATTACTGTCGACAGTGATTTCAAACATCAAATATTTATTTTCTTTCAAGTTGATAAAAGAACGGAAGATGAAAGTCATGTCGGAATTTGAAATTAATAACAAACCATTTTCTCTTAGGCTTCTCATCGGTGTTTGAAATAATAATGAAAAGAAAAGCAAATCTATTTACCACTATTGCCCGAATGAAGTTCTTGTCGATGATAAGGAGCGAATGCGCTGAGCCTTTTCCCAACGACAATACTTGTTGGATCGAAGGAAGTTGTCAAACTAGATGTAGAAGTTGTATCAGTAGAAATAGATGAAGATGGCGCCGGTGCCGTCTGTTTGTGCGTTGGAGAACGATGAGAAAAGTGAAACGGTGCTTGAAGAAATGGATTATCATTATCAATAAAAGATGAATTTGTTTGATTATTGTGCTCATTTAGTATACGTTTTGTATCATTAGACGGGTTTGTTTTGGAATTTGTAGAGAAGAGATTGAACAATTTTGTCGTTGGATCTGGACAAATGAAAAGAAAACTATTGTTTAGACTGCTGTTCAAACATTGAGTCAAGTATGAGCCTTTATTAAATAAAAGCTAGGAGTTTAAGAATCAAGAAAATGATTAGAATAGTGGAGAGACTTTACTTTTCATTTTAGTCTTAAAACCAAGTTATATCTTCTATAAAAACGTTTCGAAAATAGACAAACGAACAATGACAGACGTGTCAGTCGTGATGTTTCACTTACTCGATGATGATTTCGTTGTTGAATAATTATCGTCATCATCCGAATCTTGAAAATGTTCGTATTGTTGTTCTTTGTGTCGAGATGTTGTGAAGAGACTACTACCAACATTATTTTTACTGGTAGTCATTGTTTGCTGAGCGGTATCATCATCAGAATCTTCGTTGATCAGTTGGTCGAAACCAGCATTATTTACATCGTGATTGTTGTAATGATTTTCATCATCATTATCATCATTGTCGTCATCGTCGGAGGTCGATTTATTATCGGAAAAGTCACCCATGGAGATAGGATGATCGTTGGCAAGTGAAAACGAATCCTTTCGTTTGCTTGGAGTAGATGATGATGAAAGTTCATCTTGTTGTGATTGCTGTTGAAGAGAACAACGTTCGATTAAACGTTTAACTAGATTCTTATTTGTTGTACTCGGTGATGACATGTGTTTTTCTGCTTCATCTGTTGATGGATGATGACTTGAACGCAATGGTGTTAATGACGATTGTGCTTTTTTCTTGTTCTTCTAAAATACGAATGGAAAAATATCTTGAAGAAGGAAAATTGACGTCGTTACATACTTGATTGGTTTTATCGATATTTTCGTTCTCGTCCGACAAGGATGACGATGTTTGTTCATCGTCAGATTTCAATTGTGAATTAATTGTATAGGTTTTAGCGAATAGACGATCATCTTCGTTTAGAATTAGACTTTCTCGCGATTTGACATTTTCTGTTGAATGATTGTAAACTTTTAATTTATTCAAGTTTGTTGCTAGAGCATCGTCATCTTCGTCGTCATCGGAAGCTTCGTTTATGAACAAAGCTTCAGGCTGAGATGTTGTTGGTTTACTCGACGAATCGATTGAATGTCGTCGTTCGAATGATGCCGTCGATTCAACGGAAATCGCTTGTTGAGGAATCGGTTGGTCATTGATTGGACTAATCGTTTGCGAAGCACTGCGGCGATGTTGATGGTGGCCAATACTTGTTGATGTTAATTGGGTATTACTGGAAGAAGTAACTGGAGGCGGAGGAAATAATTGCTGTTGGAAGACAACCCCTGATGCAGCTGACAGAGATGCTGGTGGCGATGGTCGAGCACGCGATACGTTTAGATCAGGTGTTGCTACTGCCGTTTTCGGTGTCGTGACTGTCATATTTGGAATATTTGTTAGACTAAGAGCATGATTAGGAAACTGAGAGAAATCATCGTCAAACATGAATTGAGCAGCTGAACCCGATCGTTGATGCGACGTTCGAGTAGGCGTTGCTACTTGTATTGGAGGCGGAAGTTGAGGTTTGGGTGGGGGTGGAGGCGGTGGGCCGGCAACTGCCGGCGATCGTTGTGGAGATTGAGTGAAATTAATAAAAGAACCTGATGGAGCTATCATGCCACGAGGTCGTTCACGTGGATTCACTGCTGTGCCAAGTGTCGATGTTTCATCAGAGGTACTCGTTAATGTCGGTTTAGCATTTGCTAAAGCAATCGTACGCTGATGGCGTGATTCACTTTCGGTTAATGGCATCGGTATTGTACTGAGATCAGGGATTTTCGATTGACATCGATTCGGAATTGGACATTCCACGCCAAGTAGTTTATAGGTTATGAAAGCGACCTAACAGAAAAGAAAATACAAACTTAATCTTTCACAAATAATAGTTTTCTCGATTTGCACGAAGTATAGTTACAGATGGAAATGAATTGCGAAACAACATGACGCTATTTCAACAAATCCTAATCGATTTTCAGCAGGAGATGACAGACGAAAGCGAAAACTAGATTTTCAATTCGACATACCTGCCAAATATCTGGTCGTTTATTAATATCAGTCTCTAACATATATCGAACTAAGACGTTCAAATCTCGATTATACGTTTGCGCCATATCATCTGGTATAACAAACGTTCCATTTTGTATTGCTAGAATGCTATCACCGAATGGCATGACGTTGTACATAAGTTTATAGAGTAGACAACCCATGGCCCATATATCTGCTTTCAATGTGATTGGTAATCGACTATACAGATCGATCATTTCTGGTGCACGATATGACAACGTCGTGTAGCGTTGAATTTCTTCTTCTAATTGTTGAATTATCACTGTTGTCAGCTGTTGGGATTGATATTGTTGATGATCATTTTGCAGCGAAGGTGGCAGCATAATAGCTGAACCGAAATCACAGAGAACAAATGATTGATGAGAATCAATAAGAATATTTTCCAATTTGATATCACGGTGTAAAATCGGCTGTGGACGACGATGATGACACGAACTAACGGCATTGCATATATCAGCAAATATGCGAAGAATTTGACGTTCGTTTAACGATACGCCATTATTGCGCTGTTCACTCAAACGGCTCTAAAACAAATATAACGCTTAGCTACATTTTAAACTAATCTCCCGTGGGACACAAGAATTCCAATAATCTCTATGCAAAACCATATCTATGTTCAACTTACAGTTAACGATCCATTTGAACAATATTCAGTTAGCAGAAGAATTTCATAGATAGCATCATCCTCAACATCATCATCATCGTCGTCTTTCTTATTCGTCATATGTTTCTTCTGGACATGTGATTGAGTAGGTGGTGATAAACGTTGTATCGAAGAATCGATATACTTCACAATATTCGCGTGTGAAGAAAATTCTTTCAATATGGCGATTTCACGTTGACAAACAGTTAAACCTCGTTCATTGTTAACATACATTCGTTTCAATGCGTAACGTTGCTGATTAAATGCTCGTACAAGAAATACAAATGCAAAGCCTCCTTGTCCTAAAATATCCTCGACAATAACTTGATGTTGATTGATAGTTAACACTTTTCCAATGTAAGATGTGATATCGACATTTGAATTGATGTTCGAAATTTGATTGGAATTATTATTATTGATTGCCTGATGGTTTGACGACGCTGATAATGGTTGATTATAGGTTGAACGAGTCGGCATTTTCAATTCGAAGGAATATCTCGTTGATTAGAATAATAAAAGAAGAGAGAAAAAAAAAGGACACAAGAATAGATATATCTTTATAATCAACGAGCGTGCAGTGCTTAAATTAGCACACGCACATGTTTTTTACATCTAGAATGAATGAATATTTGTTTTCTATACATTATTAATAAATGAAAGGAAAAGGAAAAGACGAAAGAAGAAAGATTTCAATAACAAAAACAAAACGACTGTTAAATACAATGAAAGAAAATGATTCATTCATTAGATGCTGTTTCACTTGAAGATTTCTCGTTAGTTGTCATCTCATCATCGGTGATCTTCAAATCATTTTGAATTTGATCGACCATGATCGATTCTTCGACTAATTTACGAACTTTTGCTTCATACAAACGACGATTTTCAACGAATAATTTTGCCGCCTCATTATTTGCAGGAGAATTTGGATTTGGATCGTTCAACAATGAACGTATCGATGTCAACACAGCACATACGTCATAGGTTGGACTCCAATTTCGTTGTAATATATCCAAACATATACTACCATCTGCATAGACTGGAAAAGAAGAAAAAAAAAAGGAAATTCTTAATTAAGAAACATAACCGGAGGGAAAAAGAAATGTTCACACACCATTTGGATGAAACATTTTACAAGTAAATCGAACCATAGGTGGTGTTAATGGATACGTATCTGAAACGAACAAAAACAAAACTTTGACATTTTATTTTTGACTTTTGAATACCGGCAAATTCCATTCTTAGCGTAAATAATCCATCTTCATAGCACGTATCAACTGGTCCATCGATCAAAGCATTCCAGACACGCATATCCTCGTCAATAGGTATTGCATTGATACCTGAAAATCAAGTCGTATGTAATTACTTTATCGAATGGTAATGACACAAACCTGGTAATTCTTCGGAACGGATTTTTTGTAAATCTTTAAATAAACGTCGTTGACTGGTGCTCGTAACTGCCATGATATATTTCGGAATATTAAAGCATTGAAAGATTTATCTTCGGAGAATCGATCGTAAAATGAGAACACCTAGAAGATTAAACATACATATGACTTATGTAGGCGAAAGAAAGAAGAAATAGTTGCGATCGTAGAAAAAAAATGGCCGTATGCACATGCAGCTGACAAATGTCATCGGTAGAATCAACGAAACAATCATTATGAGTTTAAAAACTCAATCAAAACGCAATAAAAAAAACACAGATCGAATTCCGATGAAATTCTTCTTCAATGATAATAAATTCTTCCTCTCTGTCTGTCTCTCTCTCGACAGTCAATGATAGAGATCGCCACAAGTTCGAGTAAAAGATGGATGAAAAGAGAACTGCATGGCGCGAGCAAGCCACAGGAATAAACAAGTAAATAGAAATATACATAGCGCTCTCTATATACCACTCGTTTGATTTGATTGGCTTAAGTAACATCATATTGTTTACAGGGAATCAAAAATGAAAACAAGACATCACAATATTAGAAATGAAAAATCTTTCCCTGATTCGTTTCTTTCACCTTTGTTTTAGATATATCTACTTCAGTTACTATCGGAATACAACATGTTGGCGCGTGTCGTAAAGCCAAATGTCGTCAATGTTGTCAAGCGTGCAACGATTACCAACACTCTGCCTATGATCGAATCCTGCCGTCATAAGAGCCATGAAGTACAACACGGTGGTCATCATGAAGTTGATCATCATCATGGTCATCATGATACTTATAAAACGCTCTATGAACGCTTATGGCAACACAAAGCTACACTCGATTGGTTACCCAAGCCAGAAGGTAGCTGGCAAGAAATCAATGGACATAAACAAGCTTATTACAACAAAGTACTCGCAGGTGGAATTATCAGTATCGTACTAGCATATATCTACTTACGAACAGTAGTTGTAAAGAGATCAGGTGCTTTAACCACACCTCCATACCATCTGATTGGACATGAAGACTTTCCTGGTTCAAAATACGATGATGCCACTGGAGCAAAACATTAGACTATCCTTCTATTATCATTAGACGACATCAAATATAAGTTTCCTAGTCGTCTGTTTAATTTGATCATACCTATCCTGTCCGTTTTTCCTTTATTATTTCTTTTCTTTTCTGTTTCTCTCTACATTCAAAAACAAAATACATGAAGTAGTAGTATATGATTGTTTTTCTCTTCATCGCTAAGGAGAATGCAGTTATTGTACCTATTGCAGCTGAAATTGTTCCTCACGAATACCGACTGCTTGTGTTTGAGAATTTAGATTCGACATAATTTTTATTCCAATGTAGAACATCTCAGTTTTACGCTGATATAGACAAATCCAAGTGAACAAATGATAAATGAGAGAAAAAGATTGTAAATACACATACTACAGATTATACACTTAGCATAATAACAGAATCACATAAAGAAGAAAGGAAGACAAACATTCATGTCTATTGACGAGCTGACGGTCCAACGCCGCCCGGACCACCAGTTCCTCGCCCACCAAAACCTCTTCCACCGCCGACACCGCCGCGTGCTGACCACGGTCGACGCATGCCTGGAACTGAAAAAAAAAGCAGAAATGAATATATACTTTACTCATAGTATTCTTCAACAACATACCACTACTAAACGGGCGCTGGCGACCTATGCCACCGCGATTGACAGGAGGCGTGCTATTACCGCCAATAGTTGAAATAGTGTGAACATCATAGACGATGGGTGAAATTTCACGACGTTGATCATTAATTTGTTCAGCTGTAGCCGGGATACTGCTCGACTCGGTTGTAACTGATATTGTTGTACCTGCTGCACTTATTTCATTAGGGCCAACAACACTTGCAGGTGGAGTATTCAATCGAGAATCAATTTCTGCTGCTAGAGGAAAACAAATGGATAAGAAAATGTCGCTGATCAAAACCAATTCGATGTCTTACATGAATCAGTTGGAATGTGTTCTTCCATAGAACTTGCGATTGCCTCAGTATCAATTGGTATCTAGAAGACATATTTATGATTATTCTGACCGATTTCAAGTCGAAATTTTTACCACATCTATTCTTGAGGGTTCCATAACGTCTAACAAAGGTAAAAATCAACGATTTTGCGTCAGTTTTAACCATAGAATCACTTACTTGACTCACTTATTTCTTGGATAGGAATACGTTGGTCCTAATATATAAACATAGTTTTAAATCAATCGGATCAAAACAAAGATTTACTTGAACAGGAGTTTGCTGTTGGTGTTGGTGTTCACGTACTTGTGGTTCAACATGTGCAATCAATAACGAAGTCTACAAGAAAACAGGAATGTAAATCACGGTTCATATTCATGTTTCTTTCTAGTAGAAATAGTATATAAAATTGTGTGCTCACCTCAGTTTCTGGCTTGGGTCGCTTTAACATTGATTCCGCAGATCTGAAAATCAAGAATGTATTTCTATATGTTTTCATTATTTTCACAGAATTACTTGTGTTCACTATCATCAGTTCGTGTGCGTTTCATCAATAGATTAACGCCGGCGGGTGTGGATATTTGTGTTGTAGGATGATCCACAGGAGTTGTAGCTTCTATTTCGTTCGTGAGAGGAAAAAAACCAAATTAGCAGTGCATCATTGGAAAGGATTTTTAAAACACATACGAGTACTAATTGTTTCTGATGAGGCAGCAGTAGTCCACATGGGTGCAGTAGTGACAGAAGATGTTGCGGGCGCTGTCATTGGTATAGCAACGCCAATTTGACGGCCTGTTGCTGGAGCCATCGGAGCAACGCGAGAAATTGCTGGCGGATCCCTATCAATTTCACAATCATGGTTAACTATAGAAATTCCGTTGAGAACCTACTGAGTCATCGGAGCAGCAATTGCTTGTGGACGTGCGGGTTTTGGTGTTACGTCTTCCGATTGTTTGGCAGTCGACGATGCAGCAGCAGTCGATGATGGTGTTGGCTAGAAAAATAAACAATACGTCCGTTCAATATCACGTTCGTTCAATAACTACTAACTTTATTTGCTAATAATTCATCAACTCTTTTTCGCAATCGTACGATTTCTGCCATATGCTCATTGGAATCTGTATTATCAAATAATTGAATGATATTTTTGAGATCATTGATCTCGTATTCGTATGTTTGTCGAATGCTGTCAACAAGACTGTGAACTTCTAGAAAAGAGATCGAAATTGTTCACAAGTAGAAACACGTCTGAATGAAATCGAACCTGTCAAATCAGTAGATATACGAGATTGTTTGGCATTTGCTAGCTCCATTGTCAATTGAGTTATACGACTTTGTTGTGCTGCCATTCGAGTTCGTGCTGCCACGAGTGCTTCGCGAAGTTTAGTCATTTTTTCGGTCAAATCACCAGGTAACGGTCGATTCTAAATGAAATTCAACCGTTTTCATCTTAGTCTTTTCTTTCTCATCGAACTACTTTATTAGCTTCGGCTGTTGCTGCAGCTGCAGGGGCACCGTCCGTTGGTCCTGTTGACAACAAATCATCTGTATCCGCCGATGCTGTGGGTGTGGCAATGGCTGGAGTTGGAGCTGGAGTTGGAACTGGAGCGGCTGCATTAGCGTTCTTATATTTAAGAGCAATATTTCTCAACTAGCATGGAGAGGAGAAATCATTCAAAGCTAGATTTTAACAATTCAAAGATCAATAACAAACTTTAGTAGTCATTTGTTTCAGTTCTTGATTTTCGTTTTCCAATTTTTTAATGTTCGCTTTGAGATCTTCTGTTTCCCGAGCTTGTCGTTCTCTGTGAAGTATAGAAAGACGATTTCACCAATTGGAAACATCTTTTCACTTACATCTCGGCTGTTTTAACAGTTAATTGTTCATCTTTCACACGTGCTTTATCTTCTGCTTGTTTAATCTGATTATTAAACAATTGATTCTGTTGGTTCAATTGTTCAATCTTCGTTTGAAAAGTTTGACTTTCTTTTTGATTCTTTTGTTTGTCTTGTTCATACAGTTCACATTTCGATTGTAATTCGCTAATCTGCTGTTGATCATTATCAAATCGATCTTGTAATGCTTGCAATGATTGATTTTTCAAAGTGAGTTCTTCGATAATCTGCTGATCATTCATATAGCTTTGTTCTAATGTATTACTTCGTTCTGTGAGATGAGCATTTTCCATGCGAATACGTTCGACATCTTCTATCAAACGCGCATTTTCAACACGAACGTAACTACCGAACAAAAATGAAATTAGGATTCCACTGAGAAATTAACTTACTTATTCGTTGCTAATATACTATTCCATGTTTCATTCACTGATGAGTCGGTTGTTGCAGCCATTGATTCACTTTCTTTTGCAGCCAAATGTGTTGATAGCTAGAAATAAATTATGAACAGATTTGTATTTTTAGTGAATAGATGGATATGGCATACCTTCATCATTAGTGCGTGTTGTTCCTTGTGTTTCTCTTCCAATTGCGCATAGCGTTCTTCTACTTGTTGTACCAAATCCTGTTGAGCTTTGAGCATATCATCTTTTTGTAGAATTGTTGTATCGTATTGTTGAATCTGTTCAATCAGTCGTTCATTTTCATTTTGGAGATTTGTTATTTGTTGAAGAAGTTCGTTCAAGCGTTGTTCCAAATCATTATAATTGATTTGTTGTTGCTCAAGTGCTGTTTCCAACTGAATAAAAGAAACATATTCGTTCACAAGCTCAAATCATTTCGCATTACCTCATTTAGTTTCTCTTTCAATTGTTCGTTTTCAGTCAATGTTTGTTCAACGCTTTGCAGCTGTTGTAGAACTTGATTCTTTTCGTTGAGAATCTCGTCATATCGTTCATTAGATTGGAGTAACTGAAATGAAAGATGAATGAAACTTTCAAAGAATAAAATTTCTCTTACTTCAGCTTGATGTTGTTCATTAATGCTTTGAATTTGCTCATTTAACGAACGAATACTTTCTTCGTGTTGATTGACCAATGATTGATGATTGAGAATTTCTAAAAAACCAAACACAAGACTCTTCATTCCAAATCGAAATGATTCTCTTTTTACCTTGTTTGAGTCGTTCTATTTCACTTTCATAATCGTATGACTTTTGCGTGTGAGCCTAAGTGAAGAAATACAGTTAATGACAGATTCTCTTGACGGAAAAACTTTACTTGTTTGAGTTTCTCCAGTTCTTCAGTGGCTCTTTGTTCATTGACATTCAATTGATTAGCATTATCAATATTCGATTGAATCAATGTTTGTTTCACTGAACAAAACATACGAAAATAAAGTACCGTTGTCTATTGAGATGAACTTACATTCTAATTCATTATTGGCTGCATCGAGTTTCACTCGAAGCATTTTGATTTCTTTCTCATAATCTCCCAATTGTTGTTCGAAATCTACGGAAACGAAAGATGAGAGTGGGTTGTTTTTAAAGTTTCGTCCATCTTACCAGTCTTCGGATTTGTGTTCGCATTTGCTTTCAATTCGATTTCATTCAACTAGAACAGAATTCATTTCTGGTAGGAAAATACTTAGACAAATACTTTACTTGTCGTTGTAATTGTTCAGCTTTTTCCTTTTCTGCAAGAAATTTCGTTCGTGTTTCTGAACTGTTGACTTTCTCTTGTTGAAGATTCTGTGAAATTTCATCTAAGCGTGATTGATGTGCACGTTCTGCTAATTCTTTTTCACGTTCGTTCTGTTCAATTCGTTGACGCAGTTGTTCATTTTGAGCAGTTAAATCATTTAATTTCGCTTCAAACATGGCTTTTGTTTTCTCTTTCGTGAATTCTGCTAAGTTCTAAACAGAAACTTGTGATTCTTCGATTTCATCGAAATTCAAAAGAAGTTTTTACTTGAAGTTTTTCAATCACTGGTTGAATCTGTTCATTTTTATTAATTTCACTCTTTAATAACATGCATTCATTTTCTAATTGTTCGCATTTGATATTGTCAAATTTACGTTCGTTTTCCAATGCAGCTAAACGACATTCCAATGACGCTTTTTCATCTTTCAATTGACGCAATTCCTGAAAAGAAAAACGAATTCGCCGACATTTTAAAGTGATTTCACATAGAACAACTCTCTTCATACTGTTAAAACATTGAAATATTGCTGTTCTTGTTTATTTCGGATCTGTACGACCATATTATGTCGTTCTTGCCAACCATTAATTTCCGTTCGAAGTGAAGCTATGGTCAATCGATTCGTTGCTTGTTCATCATTGATTACATTTAACTACGAACACATTCATAAAACATCTTCTGCTGTGGAAAAAAGAATTAAACATACTTTTTCAGTCATTTGTTCAACTTCTGTACGGGCTGTTAAGAGTTCATATTGAACTGACCGAATTTTCTCATTCGACGTTCTAGGATAATGACAATGAGGATAATAAGGAAGTGAAATGGAAATCAATGTACCTGGTAAGATCTTCCTTTTCATTGCTTAATTGTGTATTCTTTTTAGTTAAAGTGTCATTTTTTTCTTGAAGACGATTAACTTGATCGCGAAGATTTTCTAATTGATGAATATCAACCGATGGATTATTTGATGATGTCTAAATCACAAATATGTGTTTATTTGGATCTGTAAGAATAAATTTGGATCTTACGGATTGCGACGATGATGAACGTGATACTAATAAACGAAGGAAATCTCGTTCTTGTATAAGTGATGCCATCTAGAATGAAAGTTTAGTTGTTTTTCTCATTTCGAATTCGACAAACTTGAGTTTCTAGAGCATCTAGTTGATTTCGTGTTTCTTTTAACTTGTCTTGTTGTTGTTGATGTTCTTTTTTGAGTTCGTCAAATCTCGTTCGATTAAGATCTTCATCATCGGCATTCGTTCGTGCACGCATTTCGCGAACCAATTTATCTAATTTTTGATTAACATGTTGAAGTTCAACGACATTTCTATTTTATCAAGCGAAAGAAGAGTGTCTTTACGAGATAAAGCAATGAAATTATACCGAAATGTAAGTGGCACTTGTTGATTAGGATCGAATTCCGGTGATATCTCACGTTCCGGTAAGCGTTTACCAGTGCGCAATTCTTCAATTTCAGACAAAAGAACTTGAATCTAGAATGCAGATATAAGATTTTGCTCAACTGTTCATGTTGGTATTACCTTTGTAGATAAAGATTCGTTATCATTGGCCAAGAATTGATTTTCTCGTTGAATATACTGATAGTTTTCAATACTTTCTCCAGATAACTGGTGCAAATCGGACAATTCCTTGATAACAGAAAGATATGAAGTGATTTCACAATTTAATTCGTTTTACTTTTCTTGCATCATTTAGTTCACTTGTCAATTTAGCGATAACTTCAAATGACGCTTCGTAGTCTTGTTTTTGTCGTCGGAGAATCGGAGCTGCTTCTTTGACCATCTAAAACAATCGATTATCTTTATGTTTTCTTTTTTTTATCAAAGTAATTCCTACGTACGGATGAAAGTTGCTCATAACCAAATCGAAAACGTTCCTTGCCAGTTAACTCCAATACAAGCGCACTCTTCAACTGCCGACATTCTGGACAGGTCTAGCGGATGAAACAAAAAACAAAGTCTGTTTGTTCTCCATAGCTAAATGTGCTTACTGTCGTTCCGGTTGGTGCGGGTGATGACGTCGATGTTGATGAATCAGTTGAACGAATATGATTGAGTGTACCATCAAGAAAATTTGTTAATTGAGTTAGATCAGCACCTGAACGATATATATATATAGCAAGATGATTGAATGCAAATATGACTTACCTTTACTACGAATGGATTCAAGTAATTGAGTAGTATTATCCAATTCATCTTGCAATCGACGGATGGTTTGTTCTAAATTATCAGGAAATATTTTCACACTTTATTCGTTGCAAATGTTAAATATGATATTTTTATGTGGATTATACGATGAACAATAGATCACACGAAAAAAGTTTTGATTGTGTTTTTTTTTGTTGTTACTCATTTCGTTCGATGTTATGACGATTATAAGCACACTTCCTTGTCTTTGTCATCACGTATTTCAACAGAGGTATCAATCTTCGGATAATTTTATATGCTAATTATATAAATTAATTGAATAGGAGTATTGTGTCCATTCCGTCAATGACGCAGTTTTATGTCCTTCGGTTCGTACTTTTTCAAGCAGAGAAACTGAATGTTTTCAAAAACAAGAACGTTCTTTTCCAATGTGAATATTTCCTTATTTTACATTCAATTGATTATGAAGTAGAATCGACACATAACGAAGTACGAACGCCTAGGAGATCATGAGTGTCCAATAAATACTTTCAATCATTGCGCACTTTTACTCATCGGCATACAGAAGAATATACTTGTTATATCCAATTGTATACTATCTATGAATGTTGATGACTCTTCGAACAACTATATTTCAATTTGAATTCATCGTAAGCGAAAGCTTAGAAAAAGTTATTCGGCCGAAGTTCCGAAAACATTTTCATGACTTCAACAACACCCATATATATGTATATTTGTTTGAATGACGTCTATGCTATGGAGATATTAATATCATAGAAATTTAGATCCAACGATAGATATTGAAAAGGTCCAGTACTCCCTACAGTTGTTGTCATGTCCTCTGACAATCGAAAACGTCTCTTTCATACACGGAAAACATTTCTTAATGAAAAACTGAAATTCAGTAATAGACCATAAGAAAAATAGGCATAGATACACCTTGAAGATACCCATCGTCGTTCAGTAAACACTCGTTATAGAAATAAATTAGCATAGAAGAAAAATAACTGTATGTTAGGTGTTGGTCTATTTGCAATGCTAGAATTTCAATTTTCTCATGTACATGTATGTAAACAAGCAACGAAGAAACGTTGGAAAGAGAGAAATTCTTCTCTGAAGTCACTAGAGAAATAGCTACGCTTGTTAGAACAAAATTAGTCTCTATATAAATGAATTAGTTTTCTTTATTCAGGCACTCAATCAATATCAAAGCAAGTCGGTGTACAGTAGTGCCTGAAGTATTGTTAGTGAACGACGAGAGTTAAATTTAAAATTGAAAATGCGTTCTGAAAAAGACAGTGCACGAGGGTGAGTCTCATTCTATTCTCTACTGGCGATCTTACTTATTTTCAATCCATATTCTTCAATAGAATTGGCAACAATCCTTCACTTCCATATCTTCTTGGCCTCTGCTGTCTAGGTCTAATTTTATTCGCCATTGCTTTAACAGTTGTTATCGCACTCATCCCAACTTATTTGCCTGACAAAGGAGATGGCATCAGTAAAGGTAAACAACTCTTTGATACTTTCTCGTTAACGTTCTGTGTAACTGTTGTCTGACATATGTTTAGTTAATGCAACAAGTATGGAATCATGGCTTCATGCTCAAGCAGCTACGACCACCAGTGGTAAACGAGCAGCAGCAGATTCCTTAGATACATATGTCGGCTGTCAGTTCGGAGCATCTGGCCGAGAACAAGTTCGTCAAGTCGTAAGTTTCTCTCGGTCTCAGGTTTTTCGAAGAAAATATCTTTGTATGGTATCTAATTTAGTTACGCCAATGCTTAGTATCTCCATTGGCTAAGGATGTAACCGTTACTAGCGTTAATATTGCTTATACGGCTGGTAGTAAGAAAAAACGTTCGTAAGTGATAAAACTAACCTTCTAAAAATAATGGCATAAAAACAAATCTGCCCTTTTAGCGCTTTGGGAAGAGATGCTCGTGCGTCTGATGTCCTTAGCTATGTCATTGGAATGATCTTTTCGTATGACAGTGATTGTCTCTATGGCTGTCAGACAAAGATTGGCAATAATATTCAAAGCTGTCTCTACAATCTTCCTCCAGGAAACTTTGCTTTTAACGACGTTCCCTTACTCAGAGATGGTGTATTGGTCTATACCGCATCGAGACTCCGAACTCTACGCATCGCATTCGTTTCAGCCATCCGTAAGATCTGAATTCTATTGAGAGAAAACGATTTGTTTACTATTTTTTCGTTTAGTTTCGTCATTGAGTCCATTCCGACCCGGATCAGGTCCTGCAACTCGAGCTACCACTCCATCTACGGCAACAGCTGCGACAACCGCTATGAGTGGCTAAGATGTTTTCAACACTTACCATTCTCCGTTGACTGCTTTTCGAACATTTCATTCAATGTCTTCATTTCCCCTTTGATCACATCACGTTCTATATTAATAATTACACTAATATATATATGTATTCCCGATCAAAACACCAACTAACCTGACGTTACTTTCACTAACAATTGACTTTGTTCATCATATTTTTCATTCATAACAGAGTTCTTCTTTCCTAATTCGTCAATCTGCGTCTATTAAGAAGAAACAAGTTAATTTTTTTCTTTTTTCTTTTTTACGATGAAAGAATCATGGGACAAACTTTAAGCGACTGTATGGTTTTATTTGATGTAATTTGTTGATTTTCCATCTGACGTATCGTTCGTTGGAGGTCAGTTTGAAGCTAAATAAACGATAAATGCGACGATTCACAATTACGTTCAATCATTCGTATAAATATAAAACATGATAACAATACCTGTTCGATCCGTTGTGCTTTCTCTCGCAATTGTCGATCAAGATTCAGTATTGCTTCGTTCTTTTCATCAAGACCAATATCCAATGAACGTTTCTGCGCAAAAGAACTTCAAATCTCTTGCTCTTTCGAAACATAAAAAGACAAACTTGTGCTTGCGATTGTCCTTCGGTTGATTCTAATTGCACAGTCAGTTGCATGATTTGCGTTTGTTGATCGATAGCCAATTTTTTGCTTTCTATCAACGATTGTTCTAATGTTTGCAATTGTTCAGTATACAATTGACGCTCTTTGTTCCACAATAGTTCCAAGCTCTGAATGAAATATAATCATATTTGTCAACTAAGAATGTGTGCTGCTCGTGTATTTTTTTACTTGGAGTTGTGATGTAGTGGTTTCCAATGCTTGTAAACGCTCAATTGTAGCATTGTTTGTGTTATGTACTTGACGATTTTCTTCTTCTAAAGCTTCGCGTTGTTCTAGAAATGAGAAAACGATTCGTGTGTTTAACATTCGTTTTATTCAGTTGAAGAAACATCGGCCTACTTTGGAATTCGTAAATATCCTTTTCTTTTTCGCTGATTGTATTTCTTAGATGTTCACGTTCAGTTGACAATTGTCGAACTTGTTCAGACAATGATTCCTAAAATAGTACACGATTTACACTTACAAAACACGAACACATCTTTTTTAACAGACTAGTTTCGCATGAGATTGTTGTCCATTTTGTTGTACAGCTGTTAGCTGTTGTTGAAATTCATTCGATATTTTCTCTATCAGAGAAGGAAAATCATGGTATAGTAGACCTTGCGAATGCACAACTTACGTATTTGTTCATTTTCACTGCGCAGTTGACTTTCGATTTCTCGTTGTTTGACCACTTCACTACAAACAGTATCATATTCACGTGCTAATTCATGAAATCGTTGCTCTAAATAAATCAAATGGAATCATCGAACAAGCTCAACATGAAATATAAAGAAGACAATGTCTGAGCGAGCGAACGAACGAACGCATACTAATCATGCAAGGTTAATATCTACTTTACGAATCAAGTCACACGCGCACACATAGAGAGAAAGATCAAACAAGGAAACTGATCGATGGAAAGAATTAATAAAGATGAAAAGATTTATCTATGTCAAAGAAATTCTTTTGAGTTTATACTAAATATCCGATGATGAATCTAATTTGTATGGTAAACCTAAAAACACATGGGACATGAGATAATAAGCATATGATTAAACATTCAATTCACCATTTGCTTGAATAAACAATTCTTCTTGAAACGATTCATATTCATCTAATTGTTTATCTTCAACAACATCGGTTTCATTCATCATCGCCGTCTGTACTTCGATTTTACTACTAGTATTCTTGTGATTATCATAGAAATTCTTGGGATTTCGTGCATGGCGACAAACGACATTAACTTGTTCAGCACAATCTTTCGTAATACGATACAAATTGTAATCGATGCCAAATATAGTTTGTAAATGCTTGTCAATGATACACATTCGATCTTCAGCTAGTGCTTGAGTATTACGCACACGACCATCCAACGAAGCATTACGTAATTCTTCGTTTGAAAAGAATTGTCGAATTAGAAATGTTAGCAATCGACCAATAGCACGCTTTTCTCCATGAATATAAGCAAGTTCAGTACGACGACGGACTTGATCGTATTTTCGTTTTAAAACAAGACGTGACAAGCCAGTCGATGGATCACCAAGTTCAATATATTCCTAAAATACATTAATCAGAATTCAGTATGATCTAAATTACCACAAACCTTAGTCGATGTAGCTTTTCCATTAGTTTTGGCTGGATTTTCTAATGGGAAATTTCCGGTCATGCTCATATCAATCGGTTGTTGACAACTGTCTTCAATAAATGACGATGACGATTTCGGTACTTCAATTGGATCTAATTCCAATTCGGAATATTGTTTTGTCTATATCAAGAATCGAGTTCTTCTGTCGAAAAAAAACGGAACCATTTTGTTGTCTTACATAAAACTGTTCGTACAATGTTTCAATATTGGCATTCAATTGATTTAAATATAATTCATTTTGATTGATACGTTTGATCAATTGATTGATTGTCGTAGTTAACTTCACTTGCTCAAGATTGATTTCGTGCACGATATAAATCAATGTTTCAAGCATTGGTTGCAAATTACTTGCTTGATCAGGATTCATCAGAGGTAATGATACAGAATTCGAGACGAGTTGTCGCTTTGTACGTCGTCGTTTAATCGTACCTTGACGAAAAGTGAATCCGATTTGGAATGTGAAAGGCATTCATGTTAAAAAGTAGCATTTCAGCATTAGCCACATGCAATGATACGTACTTCGATGAGATTTGATATTGAACATTAATTCGAGAATAGACGATTACACAAAGAACAAAAAAAAGAGAGAAGAAAAAAACGAAATGCACAAGAAATTTAGTTCGTTCGTTCGTTCGCTTAGTTCAAAAAATAATAAAGTTGCAAAAAAAAAGGAATCAATGTATTTGGTAAATTTTAATTCTACTACCTGTTGACGATTTGAATTGATCAAACTCATCATTGATCGAACGTTTTTGAGTTTTCAGTTGATTGATATAATCAATCAAATTCTGCTTTTGATTCTCACTGATCAATGTATCATCGAGTTGTGAAAGATCGAAATCGAGATCATCAGTTGTGTTTGCCATCGCGTTTAACTTGGATTTTTCTAGTGACAATCAACGAACATCTAGAATTGAAATGAACACAGACGAAAGAGAAAATCGTTGTTTTGTTTCTAATTAACGGACACACGCGCCAACGGTCGATCCCTGTCTGTTAAATGAAAAAAAGATATATGTTTGCTTCCCCATATGGATGACAAATTTGGTAAAAAATGGATTTAAATCGATGAAATTGTGAAGAGTTACGTCGGAAAAAAACATTCGAGAATATCTACCATTAAAATAAGAAAAATTAAACTGTAAAAAATTAGTTTTAGCTCACATGGATTGGTCGATACTCGGTGACCAATCAGAATTGTGCGATGGAAGATCAGTACAAAATGACACATTTCACGATTTGAACATATTAATTTTAGAGAAATTATGGATGGCGAAGAAGGCACACCAACATTTCTTACACAACGTCGATCGAAGAAGAATCGTCAAACTAAAACACAACTAGTATTTGATGAACAAGCTCGAAAGTAAGTGACTTTGCCTCCAACAAAATGGTCATTAGTATCTTTTACTTCCAGAGAATATTTAAAAGGTTTTCAAAAACGTAAACAGGAACGTCGTGAACGCGCACAGAAGGATCTGGAGGATGAAATTAAGACGGATTTAAAAAATCTACGACAAAAGGTAATGTTCTACAACGAAACCATTGACATCTATGTATTTTTCGATATTTAGCGTCGTGATGAGATGAAAAAACGACATGAAGCATTAGGTTTACTCGATACAGTTGAAAACAACACAAAAAAACGAACTATCGAGTTGAAAAATCATACGATTGAAATAGCAGAGATCAGCGATGAATTAGTTTCAAACAATGGTCTATCCATGGGTTATAATCAAGCGAATGACGATGATGTCAACGAAGAAGTAGATTTCTTTCTTGTACTCGTTAAATTTTACCACAATTTCTGTACATTAGGGTGAAGAACATCATGAGTCTTCGTCGCTGAAGAAACCGAAGTATGAAGCGAAAACATATCTCCTTGTTATTCTTAATCGATTGTGTATTTTCAGGAGTAAAACACCATTATCAAAGAAGATGTCTTTATTACAAAACATGAAAGCACCAAGTTCGATGAAAAAAGGTCATCATCCCAAGACCAAACAAAGACGTTCACATGTAAAACTAGGTAAAAATGGTGGAATTCAAACAGCATCAAAGAAGAAACGAATCCGACGATGAAGTCCGATGTTTTCGAATTGTTTTGTTTTCGAATTGTTTTGTTTTCGAATTGTTTTGTTTTCGAATTGTTTTGTTTTCGAATTGTTTTGTTTTCGAATAAAAGCACAAGCGAAATGTTTCGTCTGTACAAACAAATCAGTTGACAAGAATTTCCATTGTTTGTTTTGATGTTTTCTCCTGATATTTAATGTTTTCTTTCAAAACAACTGCACAGAAAAATAGTTCGTGTCACATATGACAGACAAAACGGTATATGTATAAAACGAAAGAAAATAGATTCAAAATGTTTTCAGTTCTGATTGAAAACAACGTAAAATGACCAAACACGAAAAAAAAATGTATTCAAATTCCACGATAAGAAACAAAGGATATTCTCATTTGTATGATTAAATCACTTTCTCATAATCAGCTGTTTCTTCGTCTCGAGATACAGACGCGGTCATGAGAGATCTATCGGCCACACAAGCAACCATAGCAGCACCTTTGCCACTACCTAAAAGAGTTTATAAAACGAGAAGTGATATCAATGATCGTCTAATGAACATTTCCGAATGGCTTACCGTCGTCTGATAGTGTTAATTGGAACTGCAAAGAAAAAGAAAAAGAAAACGATTTGTTAAATGTATGAATTTATTGTATATTATTAAGTAACAAATTTAACTATGTACATGCAGCGTAATAAAGAACAAATTCTATACAACAATCAACTAGTTATACTCTTGTCAGTCTGTTTCAACGGAAATAGACGACATTCAGCTGCAACTGTTACGGCAGCACCAATACCGCTCGCTTCATCAACAGTTTTTGTTTTGAACTAAAGAGATTGATGGTTTTGGCTTTTTAAAAAAGAATTTCACAATTTTAGATGTAGACAGATTCGACTTTTTACAGGGATATTCAGACGAAATTCTTCTCTATGACTTACTTTAATGTCTTTATGAACTAAGGCTTCCATACATCGTTCCATATTGCGTTTAAAGCGTGGATGATATCGATAAAGTGAACCGTCAACACCAACTGTTACCTCACTCTTTCCAATTCGATTAATAAGAACAGCAAGACCTAAGGTTTCCAGATAGAAATATCCAGCAAAGATCCAAGAGTGTGAAATACATACCAGCACCAGCCAATCGAGCAGCGCGTTTCGAAACTTGCCGGCAGATATGTTGAACAATAGCGCAATCATCATAAGTAGGATTACGAATACCAATATCTTCTAGTACTCGTCGCGTATTCGAAAACTTAATACCTTTTCAACAGAATCGTACAGATATTTAAAAAAATGATAATACGCAAAAAACGAATTATCCCACCTTCATCGGTTTCCACTGTCGAGACGAATTTAGTATAGAAACCACCGCGATCATATAATGGAGTTTTGTAATCTCCATACGTATCCCGATGACCAAGAAAAAGTAATTCCTGTTGAAGTAGGTCGAGTATAATTAGACGCACAATTTCACCCATGTACATTCCTGAAATCATTTTTTCGAAGCTAAAAGAAAAACACAGAGGCATATATTGACATCGACATGCATAAATTGTTTACATTTGTTTGCCCGGATTGATTGATGATAGATCAACTTCTTCGTCATATTTCGTTCGGATAAGACTTAAACGGTCATTATCACCAAATGCACCCCACTCCATATTGATAATAACTTGTTTGGGCTCGTCATAGTCCGCATCCCATGTGCCCACTTTATCTAAGTTTTCAATATAGCACGCATTTGTTCCTGTTCCTAAGATAAGGCCAATTGATGTCGATGGATCTTTGTAGGCACAAGCCATCAATGTGCCAACAGTATCGTTGACTAAAGCAACACATTTTGCATTGATGCCCTAAACAAAAGCACAGCATTAATACGAATAGAGTTATAAGCGATATCTCGAAATCAAACCTTTTCGTTAATTGCATCCTGTAAAAGTTTCACTACATCTTGGTTAACAACACCCGCACAACTAAAACCTTTCGTCCATCCTGTTAATCGAGCAGAAGCAAGACCCTCTTGTTTGCACGGAAATGAGAATGTGAAACCTAGGAAATCTCTGAAATATATCCATCCATATCAGAATGTGTTTATTCATACCTAACGGATAACATAAACCTGTGTGTATCAGATTTTCTTTTAGCATAAATTCATATAAACATTCAGCCAAGTGACGAAATAACTAAATTCAAGACAAAATCTCATTTTGTACTAAAAAAAAAATGAAATGAAATCATTAACATACGTATTTACCATCACCAATCATAATCGATTGTGGGATAACGAAGATTTTGGAAGTTAATTCGACTTTATCATCACCACGTAGATCAATGAGAAGTACACGAAAATTTGTTCCACCAAGATCAAGCGCGAGAACTTTACCAACTTCAGTTCCGTTTGGTATATTTCGTACGTAGGTTGGAAACATCTTCACTGTTGCCTGTTTATGCGTAGCTGGCGAGAGACCAGCAGTCATTTCTTCTTCTAGGATATGCATTATATGCACTAACTGATCGTCAGTTATCTTCAGCGAATCCATCACTTTTTCAATCTAATCAAAGGAAGGCTTTTCAGACACACCCACATTTACCTCCAATAGACAGAAACGAGGATAACTCATTGACTCGCTCGACGACAAGGTACATTATTTACACGAACTCCTTGGCATTTCTATGCATAAATTTCATGTCTTTTAGATTAATTGCATTGAAAGAGAATTGTACAAATCAAATAGACATTTTTGACGCAAAGTCAACATACGATAGACTAGTTATTTGCAATGTAAATTTACGTCCTTTTCTCCCTTCGTTTTTACGAATCATAGGTTATTCAAACACAGCACTTGAAAGATTGACAAGCATTAATTTACTCAGAAAAAAAGAGAAAATATACTTGTTCCCAATAGTTCTACTCCTTTCACAACCTAAGAATTCGTGTACGTATTTTCTATTTACTAAATGTTCTTTCAAGTGCTTATGAATCGTTTTTGCATAACATTATCATAAAAACAAAGCTCGTGTCCTTTTTCTCATCGAAATGACGCTCCTATTTTTCTCTCATACGAAGTTATTTCATTCACATTCCGTCAACTCCATTGTTATTGCTCGAATCAGTAATATTATTCGAAAGAAAAATGTAACAGATTTTTCACATCCACAAATGGTAATTACCTGACGTCATTGTATTTAGTTGATATGAATTCTTTTCAATTAACATACCTGATCATTCAGTTCAGGATGTCGATGGTGTCGGTTCCGATGTTTTTCAGGTGCCGCAACGCGATATCCAACATACACTGCCGCTCCAAGTATGCACGTTGTTGCCAATCCATATGCTGTTTTTTTGACCATCGGAGCAATTAAATCATCTTGCAGTATGTGAGCAATATTGAGTGCCATGCTATCCGAATTAATTCAAAAGTAAAATCTTTCTATATCGTGGAATGAATTCGTGTTTTAGTTATTTTTATCGAGAAAAAGAAATGAAAATGGATTATATGTACGTACATTGTTTACTTATATATATAGAAAGGGAGAAAAAAAAGAAAGAAGGGAGAAAAACAAAACGGAATCGTCTCGGACGAAACTATGTAAATTAGACCTCGTCAGAAAAGACCAGGCAGTAGTCGAATCGAAGGTGTGTTTAAACACGAGGTCTATCGGCGACAAGAAAACATGATCACTTTTCTTCATATATATATATTAAATCGACACATATGAAAAAGCACTACTATTATCCCTTCTGAATAGTTAACAAAACGAAACAGCGTCATGTCTGTGTCAGTTACAACTTTCACAATCGTTATATAGAAAATGGCGCAGCTGTAGTAATATTCTATTTTTATAATAAGCTTTTTTTTTCTCTTCTACGTATCACGAACGATGAGTATACCATCGACTGAAACTGATAATATTGATGATGATGATGATACGACTATGACACTGCATGATTTATCGGATACGACCGTTGCTACGCAAACGAGTTCGTCATGGTATTCAGTTATATCTGATATCAATGCAAATACTAATCGGTCTGTTCAGGCACATTCGCTCAATACTTGGCTGAAAATTTGTTTGGTTGAACCGGATATTCGTTTGACTACTGCACAAGAATGGAAACTGCGGACATGTATGAGGCGTTTACTTTCTCTGTGTGATCTGCCTTTGAAAATTTCGTGCGTCAACGCAGAAGAATTTGTTTCGATTTCGAATAGAAGTTCTACCATTCAGGTTGTTGATCAAGTCGGTCTTGATAAACTAGAGGGAGAGAAGAACCTTGTTTTTATTTTTTTGCTATTCAAGGAGCAACAAATGTTATCAATAGTAAATCCTTCATCGATTAGTCAATCAGGGTCAAAGCAGAAACAGGTTTATCCTGATCAATTACGACAATTGGGTTTATATTTGCATATTCTACCGGTGATAAATTCAGCTACGGATGTGTTAGAAGTTAAATTATTCGAATGTTATGCAAAAACTTCTCCAATTATTCACATATCAATTATCAAACAACCGAGATTAGTATTCCATATTTCATTGAACGTGCTAATATTGAGTTTAAGAAGTTCTAATTCGTTACTCGAATTACGATTTTTCACGAGAGAACACGAAGCTGTACGAGGATATTATTATCAATGGAATGAAATAAAAAATGAATACAAGAAGTTAAATATAAACGTAGAAATTGATCAAAGTTTAATGAATGACTTTCATTTGACAAAAACACAATGATGATATTTACCGAAAGAATGTTGTCCCTTCAACCTAACTTATCACAAAATTCAGTCTAGTATTCTTTCCCACAGCCATCCGATTCTGAATTCCAACATCGGAACAAATATGTCAATTAAAACTCATCTCAAATCCATGTTGCATAGCAGTATTTCGTTATTAATATTCAATGCGTAGTTTCTCTACGTAGAAAATAAGAATAAATACTTGGAAATATGTACAAAGATGCATTTCATGCCCCCCATGAAATGGAAATTCCAATTAAATACCGATGAAATCTTTTCTCAGAAGAAATTTAGTTACCGAAATCACATTTCAACACATTCCTCATTGCATTCCAAATTCACATTTGACTTCGAGCAAAGTTTAAAAACAGGCAACTATTTCTGATAATGAATATGAATGTGGAACTTGAAAATCATTCAAACGTTAGTTTATTGATAAATTAGAAAAGGTTGAAGAAATTGGCGCAGTCGAGGAAGAAGGAGGGGGAGGAGGAGGAATATATTGCACAAATTGATTTTGGCCATAACTATTATTGTTGTACATTGATGGTGGTACTTGTGTCTGATTCATACCTAGAAAACCACCTGGACGATATACATCTTGAAGATTCATTGCGTGCGATGGAATATCGTATGCACCGACTGGTTGTGGACGGTACGGATCGAATTTTGAAGGTAACATTGGTACAGACTGTTGAGCAGAACGATTCGAATCACTGATGTTTTGGCACTGATAGACGGGCGGCTGCGATAAACCTGATTGACGTATTGGAGTGGTTTGTGCCGGTGGTGGATAAGATAGTTGATGCTGTACAGATGTCGGTTGTGACGAATATACTGTTTGTTGAGTTTGAAATGTTGTATTTGGATGATATTGTTGCTGAGAAATAGAAGTATTGTACATCGATGGAAGTTGACCATAAAAATTTTGATCATATGAATACGAATGATGAAATTGTGGTCGATGATATGGCATGGAATGTTGACATACTGAAGATGTCAATGTTGGTGGTAGTGGCGCGTACTGTATCGATGTTAAATCAGAATGAGTTGGTGATTGTAATTCGTGTGAGTTACAATTCGGCAGAGATGTGTATGTTTGTGCTGATATATTTGAAAAGAACGAGTTAGTCGGTGGAATCACATTCGAATAAAAGTTATTGTTAGTACTTCGATGGGACATGGGCGATGGGATGTAGGTATTCTCGTCAATTTTCGAAGCTGATCGATTCGCTGTCGAACCCCAAGAATCGGGTTTCATTGTTGGTAAATAATCTTTTAGTCGTGGCCGATCAGAAACTAGTGATACATTCTTCTCCTGATATATTCGATCATATTCAACCGGTAATTCTTGCTGTGATTTGAGACTGATAAGACGTTCATTCAATGATGTTAATTTTATTGTTTGCTACAACGTAATAAATCGTGTATTCTCTATTATTCATTTATTCAGACGTGCATTACTTTCTTATAGAATTCAATCCCTTCGTTTGCTTTGGATAATGTATCATTAAATGATTTATAAGAATTAATATACGCTTGAATTAATTGTTGACGACTATGTAAATAGTAACCAAGAGTTTTCCAGAAAAATCTTCTGGGTCAAATTTCTTACCTTTCAGAGATCATTATCATTTTTGCTCGCAGATCGGCTATATCTGCATTTGCGTCTGATAGCGATTGAAGAATTTTGTCTTGGGCAGTACAATTTTGTTTGATAATATTTATTAATTCTTCGTGTTTTTTCAGTTGATCAGAAAATAGACTCTGAGAGAGCAGAAATGAATATATAAGAAAGAGTTTCATTCTTACTTTATGATTTTCCTGTCGTCGCATGAGAACAAGTTTTGTAATGTCATCAGCTTCGATCTTTTTACGTAGGTCTTGTACTAATGTTTCGCGTTGTTTCTTCATTGTTTCCACTTTTTCATTCAGTAGACTCAAACGTGCCAATTTTGATTTGTTATTCTCGTCTAAATTCAGCAGAAAACTTCAAATCAGAAATGAAGCTTTTCCTTTTACCATTCAACTCCATCATCATCGGCAGAGATTTTTCGAGTTGATCAGGTGTTGAGCCGAGAATTTTCAAATGATCGATTATTGACGTCATATGTCGATGTAATTCGATATTACTATCATTCGCTTGGGACATCATCTCACGAATATTCTTCAGATTCGTTTGTAAATCCTTATGGTCTTTGTTTGTTTTGATAAATACATTAACTTTTTCTATCGCTTCAATTGATTGTTCAAGTTCAGTCAATTGAGCACTAACATCATGATGTTGACTATTAATCTCTATTAAAAAAAGGGTCGATGGAAAATGAGAATTTCATGCCAAAATAGTTTTCATTGTAATACTCAAAAATACTCTAGTGTGCAACTTGAAAGAAGCTTTCTTCCTATTAGACATGCACAGATAGTTTTTCACATACGCTGCATAACAGAAATCAGATCTCGTGTCATGTTTGGTTGATTAATAACTCCAGCAGAGCAATCTAGTAAATCACGTGGCAAACGAAGATAATCGTTGTTCAAGAGAAGACGATCCAATTGTAAACAATTTATAAATGATCTTCAAAAAAAGATGAACCGCTCATAAATCTTCTATGAAAAGTTTTTCCTTACTCGAGTTCGCGAGATTTTGCATCGGTCAAATCGACAATTTCACGCAGAACTTTCGCCTTTTCTTCACTATATTCCGATGCAGCTAGATGAATATCCTACACACATACGTATCCATACAACTAAGAAGTTTTCTAGGATGCGTTACTTACCAGTGGTACTAATTTTTGGAAAATATCTGTCCCACACACATCGGAATTTTGGCAATCGAAAGCCTGCGATTTGGCTACAACTGCACCTACAAAGGAAAACCTTTGCGATATTTGAACTGTTCGACAATCAGTTCTTATCTACTACCTCGTACAACAGGCAAACTCGATAAAGTCGGAACTTTTTCGAAATATACATTGTCATTATCACGTTTCATTGATTTGTATCTATATCGAACAAATATGAACTTTGATTGCACGAAGAACTCTAGACCGCATACTTTGCTGTGATGACATCAATAGTAAAAGCGTGTGCATCTTTGTACACAGATGTTTTATCGCTGGAAACTTTTTCGGCATTTTTCCAACCATCTTTCAATCGTTCAACCGCGTTCTCGAAATAACAGACAGCTTCGCCACGTTTTTTGCTTTCCTCCGCGATCATACCACAACAGTAATATGTTACAGCAAGATAATACGATAGTTTATATGTTAATGCAGTTCGCCATTCCTACATGTGATACGAAACTCGGTCGAAACACGACAAATCCTTCCAACTTACTCGATATTGTTTCGATATGATTGAATTCACTTCAGGCTTCTCAAGATTACTTAATGCCATTTGATAATACTCCGAGATTTGCTTGGCAATATGAGCATTCACCGAAGGTGGGCGTTGATCGAGTACTGATTTCTCTAGAACTGCTTCATGTGCTTGCGCCTATTCAAATTTAACACTTCTATATCGAAATGACAAACAGTAAGCCTCACCAAAAGAATCTCCACTTGACAAGTTAATAATTCTGAAGTGAAATCTAACGAATATGGTGTGTATTGATCTCGTACTTTTTCAAAGCATGCTGCCGAATATCGAAAATAAGTACAAGCATTCTTCATGCTCTAGAACACATCAACTACCATGTTAGCCCTCTCTTGTTCTCTCTCTTTATCATAATTATCCATACTTCATGTGTTTTCCTCGATTCATGAGCTCCTAATTTCGAATAGATTACTCCGATATTATATAGAATACACGCTTCTTCATATCGAATGTCGTTGTAGGTATTTTCTTCTCGCTGGAATCCATCCTCCCTGAAAACAGGAAGAAGGCTTTTTTAATAAAGGTCTTTCTACTTCAAATAGTCTGTTTACCAAGTAAACCGAACTGAACATTCGCCATCAGAATACATTGGAAAACGATTGCGTAACAATTGTAATTGACAATAGTATCGTTTAAGCCATTGAATCCCCGTTTCATCTACTGAGCAATTAATAGCACTCTACGAACAAACGAGTTAGATTAACAAATCTTGTCATTCTTTCATTACTTGTCGAAGTTGATTGATTTGATCGCATTCTTTCGTGAAATTTTCACCGTTTTCTTGATAATTAGCAGTGATAAACTAAAGAAGATCGAAGAACTGATAAGACGTTCAATCAGGATAAGTCGACTTTACGTTCGGAATCTTTACACATAAGTTGACTGACTCAAGAGATGATTTGAGATCGAAGCCTATCGCAGGAAGATGTGGACAACCTAGAAAACAAGATGATGGAAATCCAAAGATTCTTCTATTTTTGTTGCAATTAGAATTACCTTGCATACTAACGAACAGCAGAAAGAAACTAAAAATGAAAATAAAAGAATCTTTTCTATAACTTCTACTTTGTACGAAGAACTAGAGAAAGAGTAAGACGTAGTTAGTTTAGATCAGTAGAAGAAGAAGAAGAAGAAGAAAAAGAAAAAGACGACGACTAGCGGTTGGCTGATTACATAGAATGAAGAAAATGTCGGAAATAGATGACTCATTTCTACTATCTTTACGCCTGCTTTAAATAGTTCAACTTATCTTCTTGTTTCTTTTCTAATGAGCGAAGAGAGAGAGAGAGCTAAATTACGTCGGAATCTTTCTTTCATTGATGACTGAATGATTATGTCAAACACTATTAGCAAATTATCATCATTCTTGTTTTAATAGATGTCAAATCAAACTAATTCATCTTCTCTCATCTATTTCATTAAATTAATCTGCTATTTTTTCAAAGATTAATAGCAGCAGACAAGAACCAGACAAATTTCTATGATATTTTAATCTTGATTTAAAAGAAAAAGAACGTCTACAAGGCTTTCAATGCATTCAAATAATTACTTCCTCAAATCTCGTCTTATTCATTATACGACGAGAAATTTTATGCCTATGAGAGATCTATAAAAAAAAACGTAATTAAGCTTCGTATAACGATAATATGAACAGCGGAATAATAGATTAACAAAGATCAGCTATTAAATGATCAAGGTGTCTGCAGTTGTTGTTTTTTCTTCTTCTATTAATATTCAAATTCACTTTTTCTTGCACTTTGCGTACTTACGAAGGTTATTCATAGAGCGTACTTTTTAATCAAATGTGTTGTTGGATTTCCCTAGATGGAAAGAATAACTACTACGACCAATGTCGCCGTGCCGTCAGCAGAAAACATATCGATATTGTGTGTGACACGTACAGGCAATTGGACTTGCCGCACCAAGCATATTCTTTCAAGTCTTAAAATGTTTCTCTTGGCACCTTGTTGACATTCTCACAGTTAGATATATAATCGATAGAAATGGAATGTATTTTTATGAATCAACTTCATCGTATGATGATTATGTCATGATTACACATAGATCGACGATCGGTTTGTCGTTTTTGATGACATCAGATATCTATTTCTTCTATTCTTTATTATGTGACATGAACAAGAACGAAAACTAGCAAAAAGACAACAGATTACACAGAGAGAGAGAAAAAACAAATCACCGGTATGTTTAAGAATGGAGAATATCTTCAACGGAGAAATTCATTTTCATAAATATGTTCATCTTGTGGTAAGGCAATCCATTGCAATGTTTCACCGCCGAAGATGAACGGAGATTTTGTTTCCGAATTATCTGTTTGAGTGATCTCTTCCGACGTTTTCGTCTTCACAGTCCGTAGATTTTTCAAAACTTTTGTTAGTTGTTTCATAGAAAAGAAGCATGATGGTGTTGACGTTGTTCGATCGCTCACAACTTGTTCGTATTGCTTTTGGATTGTTTCAACATTGTCGAGTATTTGCTGAAGTGTATAGTTCTTCTTGTTCATTGAACGGATCGAAGCTGTTCGATTGTGATAAATGACTTTCGATTGTCGTGGAAGACTAGTGTCAATATGAGATAGGCGATCATAAATGTGTTCATCAGTGGAAGAAGAAGAGATGGGTGACGATGAGGTAATCATATTTTGTGGAGAAATATTAACATAGATATCCACAGCAGTTGAATGATGATTGTCGATACGTACGTGGATCATTTTATGCGATGAAATGAATGAGTGTGAAGACAGGTGTGTGCATTCATACTATCGATTGACATAATTGAAGAAGGAAGGAAAGAATTCGTCGTCAGATGCTCAACAAATTTCGCTTTCCTATTCGTCGATCGTTAAGGAAAAAAGAGAGAAAGGTGTCATAACGAGCTAAATATTACAATGATGTACAAGCAGATGGATCGATTCGTTGAATGAGAAAAGAAAATTATCTTTGCTCTCGTTGTTGTTGTTGTTTTCTTTCTCCCTCTCTCTTCATCATCCGGTTTCTCATAATGACACATCGAAATAGGAAATGGTTGTCTAGTGATTATTAGCAATTGAAAGAAAACATGAATATTCACACAATTGATCTCCTGGTGATGTGTAAGAGTTAATTGAGTTCAATTCTCAAAAGAATAGAGGTGTCAAAAAGCAACTGAGTATTCTTCGCGCAGAAAATATCAAACTGTTCAGTCCGAGATTTTCTTTCACGTGAAAACATCGATCTTACGTGTCTCTGATTGCTCTTCTTCGAATATTTTCCGTACTTCACCTGCTACTGTGAACATAAAAGAAATGATAGATAATTGGCTAGAGCAGATGCATATGTGAACACGAATTTCTCAGTTAGATTAAATGGTTTAACATAGAAAGCTATGTCAGATTATTGCTGAAAACAATACAACGTAAACTTATTATCTCATCTTTGATTTCTAGAACTATTCGTTGAATATAGATGGTCAATAAACACAATCAATCGATCTTGTATTACAAGAAAATCATCAGTTCGAACAACCGTTTTTTTTTGACAAATAGTTTGTCTTTGCATACATGTTTAATTTCAATTGTATCAGCATATCAAAATTATCACGTGCATAACAACGCACAGAATCGGATGGTATTGTAACTGAATTTTTCTATGCAACTTGTTTAATAATCTTGAATAATGATAAAGATGAGAGTGAAAAAAGATCGTTTATTTTACGCAGATGCTTTTCCAAAAAATGATTTACGACCTGTTTTATTGTTCGATCGCATTCATATACGAGTTTGTACCATAGAAATTAACACGTTTAACCATCGGATTGAAGTTTCATGTGAAAAACTTCGATTTCATCTACGACGAGCATATGAATCGAGAATCGTAGTACAATTTGACAGATCGGTGCTCCCAATTAGATCGTTTTATTATTTACTGCTATTGAGATGATTTCAAAACAAAATCAGAAATTTAAATATGTATGTATGTCGAGAAATAAGCAACGAAATTTTGAAAAGGGCTATATAAACGCAGTGCGGAGTACGGTACTCGAAAAATATTGCAAATATTTTCATGAAAAGATGATTTAGTGTTTGCTACAATTCGTCGCCTGTTATTTGAACAGAAACTGGTAAATCACACTCCAAGTAATTAATTCTATCTCGTGTGAGCGTTTGACTATTAAGAATGCGGAACCATGCGGGTCCGTTGGTCATTCGACATACCCAGATGACGAATAACAGATCGAAAAGATTCTTATTTTCAATAAAAAAGAACAGTGTTAATTATTAGGCTAAAGGCACTTTTATTTCCACTTTTCTTTTTCAGTACGATTGAAATATATACTATAATTATAAACCAATATTTGATCGACGATATTCTGTTTTTAAGTTTTCTCCTTCTATTGATTCGGGATGTTCGATTAGAGAATTTTCAACTAACATACATTACTCTAACCGAGAATGATATACAATCAAAAATGACATTTCAGATACAATACACTGACACATTGAAGACAAAGCGATCGATTTCTATCCGTTAATAGTTATCAACAAATTACAAAGAAATTATTTTCAACAAGAAGACGGCAATAGTTAAATAGTCAGTTTTATTTTCATACATAATTTCAATTTTCTTATTGATGAGATTAACTGTAAATTATATTCACGTTTACAATTGAGCTTCACAATAATATATGTTCATAATTATATAGTTTATGACATTCAATAGATGTCGTTCTTTGTCGAAAGTCTGCCACTGCTTCTTTCCTATTGCATACATTTGAAAAATAATAATTATGACAGAAAAAAAAACAATTGTGATTACTTTTTTTGCTCAATAAATATCAAATAACTTAACAATATACACTGCGTGACTCATTCGCTCATCTTGCTTTTTTTCCGAATAGATAGAGAAATGTATGCTAAACATGAGCAAAAGATAAATACATATGCCATGTGTCTTTGTGTCTCTAGCATTACATATTGATTTGCCATTGTACTAAACAAAACTCAATCGATGTCAAGAGTTTTGATTGTAAAAGGGTTCATTGATTGACCTTGGTGATATATCTATGTTTCTTTTTTAGAGAAAAAAAAAGAATTGTTTTTTTTTCGTTTGGAAAGTTATAAGAAATGTCAACACTCACGAAACGTCCTATTGGAGCACGAGCAACATCCAATTCGAGTGGAACATACACTGATTCTGCAAGTAATAATTACAATGAATCGAATGAACATGACCGCGATAAACGAAATAAAGACGATGAACATGATAGTGATGATGATAAAGAAACACGATTGACTTTGATGGAAGAAGTACTTTTACTTGGGCTCAAAGATCGCGAAGTTCGTCTCTTTGAACGTTGACAAATATTTCAATTAGGTCTTTATGTCTTTATAGGGTTACACATCGTTTTGGAACGATTGTATTTCATCCGGTTTACGCGGTTGTATCTTAACTGAATTAAGTTTTCGTGGTCGAATCGAATTAGAAAAAACTGGCACACGTCGTCGAACATTAGCCAATCGCAAAGTTGTCTTACTCGATGATACCACTACCGGAGATGTTTTACTCGATGAATCATTACGACACATCAAAGACACACAACCAACAGAAACAGTACAAAGTTGGATTGAATATCTGAGTGGTATGTAAAAAAAAAGAATCGTTAAACATCTGATAATTATAATATAATAATATTTTCGTGCTTTGAAATACCACGATATGTCAATAGCTTTAAAAATAGTACATTCCTTTTGTATTTTTGACGAACAGTGCACTTTAAGTATACTTGCGTATACCCACTTGTGTTCTTTAGGTGAATGTTGGAATCCAATGAAATTAAAATATCAACTTCGTAATGTTCGTGAACGTTTGGCAAAGAATCTCGTTGATAAAGGCATATGTAGTACAGAGAAACAAAACTTCTTCTTATTCGACATGACAACACATCCTCTCAACGATAGTGTTCATAAGTTAAAATTGGTTAAAAAAGTTCAAGATAGTGTTCTAACACGTTGGCCAAATGATCCACGTCGAATGGATAAACGTATATTAGCGTTGATTTATCTTGCACATGCAAGTGGTAAGAATTCGTCATGCTTCATTCAGACGGTGAAACATTCTCGCTTTTGCTTGGGATTTAGATGTTTTAGAAAATGCGTTTACGCCATTATCAGATGAAGATTACGAAGTAGCGATGAAACATGTACGTGAATTGCTCGATCTTGATCCCGATCAAGAAACGAGTAAATATGACTCGAAAATGGAAGTCATGTGGGCTGTCGTATCCGCATTCAACAAATGAAGAGAAACTTGTCTCTCGCTTTGCACATTCTATTCGATCGATCGAAACGGATTCTTATCTTTATTAATTTTTCTTTTGTTCTTTAATTTGGCTGCTATAAGTTTTCTTTTCTTCGTCTTGTTTTCGATACAGTGAAGTACAATATTCAAATCTGGACGATAGATGGTTTTATTTATTTAAAAGACATGTAAACTCTCGTTTTCGCTGACGCGTCAACACAACAGATCTATCGGTATTTTTTTTTCTTCAATGTTTAATTCAAGTTCACATATCTTTCTAGCTTTGTCTTCAATTTTTTTTTCCTTCTGTGATAAATATGCACAAGATGTATAAGAACACTAAAATAAAAAAAAACCAGTTAAATACACAAAAAAGGACTTGTTTTTCTCTTCTCTTATTTTTCTTTCAGTGACAGAATGAGAGAACCTCGTATACAGCAGCGTACTTTTTTCTCCTGTTTATTCTCCGCTCGTTCCATAGCAACGCGAGACAGTGAGTAATATTTCGATGAATAAACTATCAGATAGGAAGAAGGTCGTTTTCCTCTTATTTATTTACTTCATTCACTTTCGAAACCGAAGCAAATCTTCGATTTTTATACACAGATACACGCGTATGAATGTGCGTAGGCGATTAACGTCAATATGCGAGACGATTAAGCAATGCAAGTGACGTCAGAACAAACTGTGAAAAGTATCCGCATATAAAGAAACCAATAGAAACCATGAGTTCAGTTGTTACGTCAAACAGTGTTTTTTTCTCCACAATGTTTTCGTTTTTTTTCAGATGAAATTTATAATTTTGCTATCATCCGATTAGAACATTCCGTACTTGTCAGAAGAGATGGGTCAAGTTCTTTCTCGTTTTAATATTCATTTACACACTCGTATGAATCAGTATGAGAACAATCTGATACCAATTCATTACAAGTGTCGTAATTGTGGTATACCATGTGATAAATCGAAATCGACAACAACGTGTGTCAATGCAAAATATACCCGAACAGGTACGAAAGAGCAACCGTTAGTTAATCGAACGGTTGTACCAGATAACAAAGTTCGTTGGTCAACATCTTATGATTATCATCCAGTTGAATTCACATCCGAAAAAGTTAAAAGCTCAACGAAGGAATATGTTGATCGCGATCCTCGATTCGATTTAAGTGTAACAATTCCATGGAATCAAGATGATCGAGGGTGTGATAGAAGATCATATCATGGTATGTACAAAATCGTTGGGCGTGTCCCACAAAATCCATGTGGACGAACGGGTATAACTGGACGAGGACATCTTGGTATGTTAAAAGTACATCTTGACAACAAATCAAGTAATACGATTTTCCTTTCGTAGGTCATTTTGGTCCTAATCATGCTGCTGATCCGATTGTTACACGTTGGAAACGGGATGCCAATAATCAAATAGTTATGCATCCAACAACGCAAAAGCCTATTTTACAATTTGTTTGTATATTACGAAAAGATACTCGGGAATACGCTATACCGGGTGGAATGGTTGAGAAAAAAGAGAAAGTTACCGATACGTTACAACGCGAATTTCATGAAGAAACATTGAATTTTCCAGATATGAATGAACGCGACAAGCAAAGATTACTAGCAACAATAAAAGATGTTTTTGAAAATGGTGGTATTCGAATCTATTGTGGTTATGTCGATGATCCAAGGTACTCCAAATCTTTCATCTCAATGACTTTCGTTCTTATCGGTTTATTTTCTTTAGAAATACAGATAATAGTTGGATGGAAACAACAGGTACACATGTCTCGGTAGAAGATCGATGTCTATTTTGTTTTCTATGTAGCATACAATTTTCATGATGGTAGCAACGAACATCTGGCATTGATCAATGTTCACGGTGGAAGTGATGCTTTAAGTGCGTTTTGGCACGATCTAGGTTCGGAAACACCATTGTATGCAAGTCACGCCGAATTTTTGAAGAAGGTCGCCGATATTCATCTAGCACACTGGTAGATAAAAAAAAGCGATCTTTGTTTAAAACACATATATATATATATATATTTATGTCTGTGTCTGATACATTCACTGTATAGCTTAATTAGCTATTTTTCTGGCATGAGAATGAATGAATAAATACACATTATTAATTGTTTCAAACAAAGCATAAAAAAATCATTTCTGAATAGGCAAAACACTTCTTTTGTCGTTTCGTATTCTTGATCGTCAATGAGTGTAACTATTCGTTCTTTTTCTCTTGTTTAAACATTCGACATGACGAACATTTGCATATGTAAAAAGACTTTCGATGTGCTTATTTGTGTTTTTTTTAAATCTTTATTCCTGAAAATATTCAAAATATCGTGGCTGATTCGTTTGTACATTAGTTATTTCTGGCAGTGCTCGTTGTTCTATATCGAAATACCCATATGTAACTAAAGAACCAAGTGCAGCACCAGCTACGGCGGATGTGAAGATCGCTATTGGTCGTATCGAACGAAGTAAATAGCCGAATAAACCACCGCTTGTAAACGCAAATGCTAACAAAAGTATTCGTACGCATGTCAATCATTTTGCGGCAGTTTGCTGCTGTTGGCTACTTACCCAGGTTTTTTTGCCAATCAATATTTTGATAGTCAGACATTGAGAAAGAGCAAAGGTAAAAAAAACTGAAATACAATCGAACGCGCTTTATTGTTAGAAGGGGTAAAAAGAGAAAGATTGTTTTCTATTGTACTAAGCAATCATCACATTGATCGAGATTTGCTAGTCGTTGATGCATGAGATCTACGCGTTGTTGAAGATCAGTGATTTGAATAGAATTTGTTGATAAACGACGGGTGGTGGAGAGATCTGTAGTAATATCGTGTAATGGAAGAGTATCTAAAATTCAATTGAATGATCATATGATTTGAAGTGTTGGTATTTACTGTTGAGCATATGGATCGATGTAACCGGTTGAGTGAGAAGAGTTTTTGCATAATCAAATAATGATTCCAGCTCAGTGATATTCGATGAGAGATCAACTAACAAGTCATTTTCGTCTGCATTCTACAAATAAAATAGAGTAGTGCATTAATCGATTATTTTGCATTGTACTTTTTCTTCAGTTTGTATAGTCTTTTCAGATGAAGTTGCTTGTTGTTCATGAACTAGACGAAGCTGAGAAATGATAATGATAAGAATGAGATTCCCGTACGATTATTTTTTACTGACTAAATTGTTGAATTGATCAGCATGTTGATCAGAATTTAGAGATTTCAGTGATAGAAGATGATTTGTTTGTTCGACAATCGGATCATTTTCTTGTTGTTTCTTCAGATGGTTTATTTCTTTAAGCTATGAGAAATATCAAACAAGATTTTTGGATTACAAAATCAAATCGAATACGTTTTCTCGGCAGATTTGTTTGGCGACCAACAGTTGTCCTTCAATTCGGCGAATCTCCCGTTCAATGTCTTCATACTTTCGAGCCATTCTTATATCTATTTCGAAAATTCTTCCAATAAACAACGAGATCAATGATTCATTCTCATGGTCTTTGTTTACTCTATATACACGAAACACACTCGAAGTAAATCACCGTTGACAGTTCATGTTCTTAGATGATCTAATTAAGAAAAATATATAATAGATAAATGAAATTAGATTATTTCTGATTTGTTCTCGAAATGAAAGAAGAACTTTACTTGAGTATCACTATCAGCAATAGTATTCCTTCATGATATTCTTTTTTGAAATGTAATCTAGGTCTGTACTCAATGATTAAAGTATCGTATCAAAAAAGTATATTGATATGGCGTTTGAAAAGAAACCTGGATGTAAACGTCATGAAGGAATGCGGAATTTCGTATCGAATGAGGAAGTTACACACTTCTTGTTCGTAACAATTGTAATTACGTAGCTGAAAATTCTCTCGTCATTTTCAACATCGAAATGACTTTTTCTTCTGTTTTGATCATGTTAACCTTTCAGAAAAACATGAGCACATATTCCGAAGATTCTTAAAATAATTCTTTGATGTCTCACAAAGGAGATTGTGTGATTTATTCTAACGAACTTCGCGTACATTTTTTGTCAATGAATGATGTGCTTTAGTGCAATTATCAAGAGTTGTAACAATTCACGTGGAAACTAATATTTGCAGGGCGTATTTCTCATTTATTTGTCATAGTGTAACACGACATCCTGACAGAAAAAGCATGTTGTCAACCACAAATTCGACCGACATGACTTACGATTGTCACATATGTTATAATCAACGATAGCATCTGCTGCAATTAAATAGAGTGAGTGGAGAATGGAACCTAACTAGGGAACATTTTGAAATAGTAAATGTGGTTATTTAATCAAGTTTATTGGAAAAAGTATATTCCAGACGTCGTTATTAGTAGATGATTGGTGAACCAGAGAAAAGTCAATGCTTAGAGAAAAACATGAACAGTTTATTGATTATTCAAGAATGAGAAAATCTTTTTTCAGAAGATTTTGACATTTATAAGTTATATTAATCCCCGAAGCATCGTCAGGAACTTTCCTGATCATTGATTAGCCGCTTAATGTAATACCTATATCTTTTTATAACAATGTTTCATATATGAAGTCTTTCTGCTTCGTGTACGAAGAACAAAACAACAGTTGGAAATCCTACATTTCCATGGCTAACAAATGATGTCAGTAATTTCTCATCAAAATACCAATTGATTGTTAATTCAATATTCTCGACAAGACAACATCCTGGTGTTTTCTCACAAAGATCAAAAGTACGAATATGATTATTGATTACGTTCTCGGAATAGTAATTGCCGAACTTGTCAACAAACTAAGTACACTTTATTCTCGTACCTGTAGGTTCGTTCAGTAGTCATTTGACAATAAATTATAGTCATGAAAACGTGATATATCTATCGTAACGAAAACTTCCCGTGTTACTCTTTCACTTCTTGAAATATTGATCGTGTGTTCATTTGTTATTAATCAATCCCGGAGGAAATCTGTCAATATTACATTTTCAACAAAATCAACCGGTTCTTTCTTCTGCGAATCGGATGACTGAAACATGTTCGATGAATTTAGTTGACACTAATCTTCTGATTTTCTAATTAAATGCCAAGAAAACAAGCGTGTATATATCGTAATGTTCCGTCGAGCGTACCGCTATCATGGTTTCAATTGACATTCAAGAAAAGCTATTAATGATTTTCTTTTCGAATTGACAAGAAGTATCTGCGATCTCAACATCTGATTGTTTGAACAAAGAATCTGTCAAATCGAGTTGACAGCGCGCATGCTGTTTGTTTCTCCTTTTCTTTTGATAGCACAATAAATAAAATATAATTAATTATTTATCTATATAGATATGCGAAAAAAAATCTTCGCAATCATTTCTCTCTCTCTCTTTCTCTTTCTATCGTCGACAATCATAATCAAGAGTTAAAAATCTACTACTTTTTATCGAAGGGTCTGGTGAAAAGGGAAGGCATGAAGTACTACTAGTAGTCAAATGGTTGAATATAATGAGAATCGACGTCATTGCTCTCGATTTAGCACGGAAAGTCATTTCTTTTCTATATCAGCATTTTGACTTTTTTCCCTCCCCATTTGTCATTATTTGCGATTAAATTACCGAAGTATACAAACACCCACCATTGACATACACACTTATTCTGTAGCTGACTCACACTCGCTAATCGATTCATTAGAAATCTCGATAATTACTGTTTTTTTTCAGTTGAACAACAGCATTGAATAGAGGAGCAAGCGAATACAAATTGGTTCTCGTTTTCCTCTTTCTACTCGAAGGAATAGATCAGGAAAAACGTGCTAGTAAAGAAAAGTGACAATTGTGTTTCATTGACCTGGTTTTCATTTCTCGCAATAGATTAAGCGTAAATACAATGACGGAATAACATTAATACAGGAAATTTTTCTATTTTTATCCTCAGTTTCGATCTTCGGCATGGATTTAAACGACATTATTTTCTCCTCATGCATAGTCTTCAGCATACCGTCAATTTTACTCGGTAATTTAGATTCTTTAAGTACTATCATGTCTAGATGTGCTTGATTTATACTATTACGCATCTACTATCACTACTTCATTTACAGATCTCCATGCTTTTTTCTTCAGAGTGTGCAGTTGTTTACAATTTGACGGTAAGATAGATCTTTTGACGAGAATGTCTGATACACTATGTCCCCTATGACATATTTCTTTCTGCCGAAGGATAAATTTGTTTAAAAAAAAAGAATATTGTTCGGATTGTATTTCAACACTGCTTTCTGTTCGACAAGTGAGAATCAATCATTGTTGTACGCAGATAATTTGTGTGTCAACAGATCTAAAATACTTGGCGAAAGAACAATCATGTTCATGACAACCTTGAACGATGTTTTTTCTTGTCTTTGTTGACTTTCATTCCTTCTGCAAGAAAACAAATCAACCTTGCTCGACTAATGATGTTTGTTAGGTAGATTTGCATGCTGGTTAACAAACATATCTTAGTTTGATTCTTCGCTATATCAATAAAAGCGACCTGGTAACTAGATGTTCATTTCAATGGATGCGATGATTAGGTAAAACTCGTGTACGTTTTATTAGATCCAGATAGGAAAATTTTCGCTGGTACTTTTTATGACGAGACGCCAACATGGCAGAAAAGACGAGAGAGCAAAACATCGTGTAAGCAGCTCAATATTAATTTTTTTGTTAATACGCACTACCCTCTCTCGTCTTTGTTGTCTGTTTTTCTCTATTCTTTTTCTGCGCTTTTGCACGATACTACGCCCGAGTTCTTTTCTTTTTCTCTGGCAAATATCATGAACTAAATGGTAACATAAATTTTCAAGTTATCTGACTTTGTTCTTCTTTTTTAGATTGAAAAACGATTAACATCCGTTTACTGATGTCCGCATCGAACGCTCGCTTGAAAAGAAACCTCGAAGATGTTTAATGAGATTATTAATCAGTTTCAACTAATGTTTGTCAGTCTCTTTTGAACTTTTCCATGGCGTCCGTAAATGTCAGTGAAGGAACGTTCTCCGATGTACTCAAGTGGAATTTTCGAACCATTAGTGTTTTAACACTGTGTGGGATGATCACTATATTGACTATTTTAGGTTCGTCGTGAAGAATATGTTGATGAAAATATGCGATATTTGTCTTCTAGGCAATGGTTTAGTGTTGATTTCAGTTAAATTTCGTCTTCATGCTCGATCCTACTCAGATTATTTTATTGTTAGCTTATGTTTAGCCGATTTTCTTGTTGGTCTATTCGTCATGCCATTGATGACCGTGCATTCGTTACATTTGCGTTGGCCATTTCATTATCGTCTTTGCTATGTTTGGATGGCGATTGACTTTACTTGTTCAACAGCATCGTTTCTCACACTTGCTTCAATGGCCTTGGATCGATATTGGGCTTTGACAGGTAGAATTCCATATTCTCCATTATGAAAACTCAGAAAGAACTTCTTTCTCGTTCTAGCACCGTATTTTCATCTACGGAATCGATCACATTCGTCAATATTAGTATTTATTGTTAGTTCATGGGCGATCCCATTTGCTATATGGCCGAGTTCGATAGTTATTGCACATCATTATGCAACAAACAAACCAGACTGTGTTCATCCTGCACGTCCATATATAATTCTGATCTTATGTACATTTTTCTATTATATTCCATTATTGTTTATGCTTGCTTGTTATTCAAGAATTATCGTTAACATAAAAAATATTGAAGTTCTCGTAAGTTAATTGAAATCTCTTAAACAGATGTTCACAGAAGGACAAACAGATCAAAGTTTGAAACATCCGGTCAGAATAAAAAAAAAGGAATCATTAATGAAAAGACTAATTATATGCCCGATGAACTCTTTTCTTACAGTTCTTTTCAATGTACTTCACATAGAAACAGATCTGAAAGGTCTTCTGCGCAGATCTTTTTCGTTAGTTTTGCATTTCTAATGAGCATAAGAGATGAAATCACTTCAAGACAATATATTAAAAGAAAATAAGATTATTAAAAAAAGCATGACAACTTATTAAAATCATAGAGTAATAAGTTATAAAATAATATTGTTTTTGCTTTCATCTTCAAGTATAAATTAAATCATATTTCATGTCATTCGACAGATAGATACCGTTTTTTTTCCTCGAATGAATTGTTTTCTTTCTATAGATACGAGGCACTTGGGACACAATTAATTTGAATGGATCATCAAACGACTTGAAAACATCTGTTGTGGCAACGGCAGCAGGAACGTCACCGATTTATAATTATCTGCATCATAACAAGAGTAACTCAACTACAACATCATCGTCGATGCCTTTATCGTCACTACGAGCGCTTATTTATAAATATTTTCAGCGAAACCGAACAAAGAAGTCCAATCGACAAGATATTCTGAGTGTAAATGAAAAGCCTGTTAGTGTTCACGAAGTTGTGATTAATCAGAAACCAGCTGATGAACATCGTCATCATGCGAAAAGACGAGCGAGACGCTCAACAACTGTGTTAAAAGATATGAAAATTAAAAGCTTACCTACACATGTTGCTCGTCATCCCCCGCGATACACAACGACTGCAACATTTACGGGCCAGAAACGTTTTACTGTTGAAGTCAATCAAGACAACCGACAAAAAACCCATCAAGACGAAGAACATCAATTAGTTCGAGCTCGTCTCAGTACTCGTACGTCATCATTACCAGCTGCTCGTTGTGTGTCGTATTATTATTATCAACAACAACAACAACATCAAAATCACTCTCAGACAATAATCACCAAAGCAATTATCGAAGATTGTCATCATCCCACTCTGCCTCCCTCTCATCAGGACATTGATCACACTCATCAACCACATGTACCTATCAACGAACGTAGTCGATCACTATCTCATTCATCCGCGCAATGTCCGAACAAGAACATCAATAACAATAATAATAACAACAATGGTATCACTCCGGTCGATCTCTCGGACCATAGTTCATCATTTGACAATCCTCTCGACGACGATCATCGTCGGTTTAACCATAATAATCCACAGTCACATTTATCTACATCCTATCATTCCAGTCGATACAGCCAACGAGCTGTAGCACAATTTTTACATGAACGACATAAAGCACGGTTACGACGTAATCAAAAAGCTAGTCGAATGCTGGGTAAGGAGAATTTGCTATTTGAATTTGAGTACATATTTGCATTGTTTTTCTCCGACGAAAAAAAGAAGAGCAATTTTATGGTAATTTCTATCATTTTTCAACGAGCATGTAATCTTCAACTTGATAATTTTTTCCTATTCTGAATTACCTCGGAAATACTCAAAATTCTCTTATTGAAAAGAACTTCTCGTGCAAAGATCGCTGCTAAATAAAACATTTTGTAATTGCAGGAATACTTCTCGCTGTTTTTCTCATTTGTTGGCTTCCATTCACAATCTCTTATCCAACAATGATTTTGTACCCAAATAAGTTCCCAGGTGCTCTTCAAAGTATTATTTTCTGGTTCGGCTATATCAATTCGCTACTCAATCCGTTTCTCTACGTGTACAGTTCACGAAATTTTCGTCAAGCGATTATTGAAACTCTGTGTTGTTACTTTCGATTTCGATCACGCCGGCAATTACGTTATCAATGGTCACTTCGTCGTCGACAAAATTAGAACTAAAACCTTCGTCGTGTAAATTCAATTGAAAAGTTAAAATAAAAGCAGTCAAACTGTCACGCGCTTTGTTTTTTGTTCTTGACAAATGAATCTGAATGAGAAGTGAAAAATAGAAGAAATTTTTCTTTTGACAAGGAAATTTTTGGTAGAGAAAAATACAATTATGTCCAGCAGTTTTCAACAGAATATTCCCAGTAAATTATCAGTAAAACTAACACGATCAGAACCTATCGTATCCAATATCCAACAAAGCCAACACCAGATCAATCTGATGCATGAGATTATCGACCAAACGGATCAAGATCTTCGTTCGGCATTGCAACATGCCGACAACCGACGAGAACAACTTGATAAGTTGAACATGCGCTCAGAAGAAATGTTGAGCAGAAACGAAAATCTCGTTTTTGGTAACGGAACCAGGTTTTAATTATAGAATAGCTTTGCACAACACCTGATTAATTCACCGAAGGAAACATTCTCTGTGTTCAGACATCTGTCAGAAGTATTTTGCACTTTTCTCTAAATAGACGACATATACGATAGCTGAAAAGAGCACCAGATTTCAATTACCTCTATCTCATGCAATCCTAGCAGACATGTCATAAACTCATTAGATGATATAATATATTTTCATTACAATCCGAGCTTAATAGTTGTTGAGGATTTATTGTAAATCCTGGTACAATGACATGTTTCGTAGGCAAATATATTGGATTAACGTTTGAACCTTTGCTTCTTTTTTTTCCTAGGAATTACTAATTATCGTAAAATTCAGGAACGCGATCTTTTTTGGCAACAGTTTCGCTACGTAGCATTGGGAATTCTTACAATTGCAATCATCATATTCATCATTATTCTGAGCATGATCAATAAACGACCAAATATTGACTCACATATCATTAATATTCAACATTTGAATGAGCAGAGCACGTCGACAAAAACGGTCCTACTACAACAAAAATCATCGAAAGGAAAACGAAAAAGAAGAAAGATATAAAATGATGTATTTACTTTCTAAATTGAGATAGATTGTACCTTGATCCGATGTTTATCGAAAGATTCTTCGCGCTTTTTCATCTGTCGTTTTCTTCTATCAACAAATTCGATCATTTTCACTAGTTCATTGCCTTGTTTTTTTCCGTCTCTTATGGGTTCACGTGCTAGTTGTAATAATCATACTGATGAAGTTGCGATGAAGACTGTCTCCACGGAAACTAATGATCGAACACGTTCGCATGTTTATATAAAAGATCAATTTCAATTAAACTTTCTCGATTGCGATTGTTGTTGTGACACGACAAAGATGGTCGCCAATTGTGATTTCCAAGGTATTAACATCTTACAAGATCTATACAATATGGTAAGTCCATCGTATTCAGTTTACGAAATAGTCTCTAGTTTAGCATGTTTTTCAGAAAGACCTATTTGTTCACGCCACAATAGTTTCCTTGCTTTACAACATTCCATTTCTTTCTATATGTAATATAGAAGCGGATTGTTATAATCGGAAAACTAAGTTGAGAAAAATTAGAGCCTACCGATTGTAGCTTCGAGAACGCAAACTACGCTTAAAAATCAGAGAGAAATTTAATGCGTATTGTTTGATGATTTAGGTCGTTAGTCCTGAATATAAATTAAATTGTCGATGTTCGTGTGGTGATGATAATAGTCAGAGAAAACAAACAATGAAATTTGGTTTAACTGGCTTTCCACATGCACATTTAACATGCGATGATTCTGCTTCATCATCATGTCCTATATCTAGTGACTCGCGAAAATAAATCATTGACAGAGGGCGTTGATTCCACGCGTATAGGTTTTAAATAAGCCAATACACGATGAGAATATACTATAGTAGTAGATATAGAAAGACAGAGTAGATAGCGTAAATCAATCAAACTTGATAATAATGTATTTATCTAATTGAAATCAAAATCGTTTTTGACAAAGTATGAGTGAATACAATGCAAATATCCAACCAGATGACAACTATGCTGAATCTGTACATGGTGATGAATACGAGGATATATTTGATGATCTTAATAATTCTGGTGACGACGAAGTAAATCGTTGAATGTTATTCTGACATATGAATATGTTTTTGTTCGTTCTTATTGTTATTAGGAAGATCGAGCAATCATCATAGTGGGAATCTGCGCACAATGGAAGAAAATCAAAGCAAAGCCGATGGAAGAAATTTTACACCGGCTTGAGCAATACGAATTTTTACGTATTCTTATTTTTCCCGAAACTACCATACATGAGAAACCTGTTAAAGAATGGCCGTTCTGTCACGTACTCATTAGCTTTCATAGTAAAGGATTTCCTCTTGCAAAAACACAGGAATATGCACGTTTACACAAGCCATTTCTTATTAACGATCTTGACAAACAATGGGATATTATGGATCGAATCAAAGTTCATGAAATCCTCCGAGATGCTGGCATCGTACAACCACGATACGGTGTACTTCGAAGGACACGGAACCCAGGTAAGTACATGGCATCATTCATTTCGAATTGTTAAAAAAATATCATGTTTCACTTAGATGGAACATGGGAAACATTATCTGCTGTTATTGAGCAAGAAGATCAAATTGAAATCGATGGAGAGATATTCCATAAGCCATTCGTAGAAAAACCAGTTTCGGCAGAGAATCACGATGTCTACATCTATTTTCCATCATCAGCAGGTGGCGGTTCACAGCGACTGTTTCGAAAGGTGTACACATCGAAAGTTGAACATAATACTCATTCTTTAGAATATGTTCTTTAGATTGGTAGTCGAAGCAGTGTGTATACATCCGAAAATGCTATTCGTAACGATGATTCCTATATTTATGAGGAATTCATGCCTACAGATGGTACAGATGTTAAGGTACGCTCTCGAATTTGATTAGTGTGGAAAGGAACAATTTGTTTTTGCAACTAGGTTTATACTGTTGGTGCTGAATATGCACACGCCGAAGCGAGGAAGTCTCCTGGTCTTGATGGTAAAGTCGAACGGGATGAATTTGGTAAAGAAGTTCGATATCCAGTTATCTTACGTGCTGATGAAAAATTAATCGCCATGAAAATATGTCTCGCTTTTAAGGTACATAGGGCCTTCTATGATGGAGACAGTCGAAAAGTAGTATCTAATTGTAATTTTTAGCAAACGGTGTGTGGTTTTGATTTACTTCGTGCTGAAGGCAAATCATTTGTTTGCGATGTTAATGGTTTCAGTTTTGTTAAAAATAGCACGAAATATTATGATGATTGTGCATCTATTCTCGGGTAGTTACTTGAGGATTCTTCTTCGTAGCAGACTTTTCTTTTGTAGACATATGATTATGCGCGAACTATCACCCCAATTATGCATTCCGTATCCGATAGCGTATCAACCAGATGATCCGCCCTACGTGCCAACGGCGTTTGGCACCAGGATGGAATTACGTTGTGTTATTGCAGTAATTCGACACGGTGATCGCACGCCGAAACAAAAAATGAAAATGGCTGTTTTGCATCCATTGTAAGCAGGAGATTTATTTGCTTTGAGTAGTTATTCCTTCACATTTTTCATTGAAGATTTTTTCAGTTGTTCGAAAAATACAATGGACCAAAAACCGGTCATCTAAAGTTGAAACATCCTGGTCAACTTCAGGTTTGTTCTGCATACTAATTCCCATTGTATACTGTTATCTTTAATTCTTTTGAAGGAAGTTCTTGATATTGCCCGACAATTATTGTGGGAACTTAATGCCAACGAAATAAATGTAAGACAGGAGAAGTTTCCTATTTCGTTCGAGAGAAAAATTGTTTTATTTCAGCAATTTCCTAACTCGCCAGAAACGAAAGGAAAACTAATGCAGCTAAAACAAGTCCTAGAGCTATATGGACATTTCTCTGGAATCAATCGAAAAATTCAATTGAAATACTTGCCGAAAGGCTTACCAAAAAAATCCAGTAGCGAAGATGGTAAATATGTACTTATCAACAACGTCCGATTCATTCACTCTTTATCTAGAAGCATCAGACATTCCTTCACAGCCGTCACTACTGTTGGTCGTCAAATGGGGTGGTCAGTTAACTCAGACAGGCAAAAGTCAAGCTGAAGCACTTGGAAAAGTAACCACACATCTGTTACCGCATTGATTTGGAATGGTTTCCTTTCGAAGGCTTTTCGTAAAATGTATCCCGGTGGTCAAGGTGCTGGTGGTGATCGGCCCGATGTCGGACTTCTCCGTCTACATTCGACATTTCGACATGATTTGAAAATCTACGCATCCGATGAAGGTCGTGTACAGATGACTGCAGCTGCGTTTGCAAAAGGTTTACTAGCACTCGATGGTGAACTAGCTCCCATACTTGTACAAATGGTGAAAAGCGCGAATACTAATGGCCTACTTGACAATGATGTAGATTCGACAAAGGAACAACAGAAAGTAAAACAAGCATTACACGATTTATTAGCAACGGATCGACCTTTTACTCCTCAAGATTACGACATTGTATGTATAAACAATCAAAACAAAGTCGTTCATTCTGACTGATATTTGTAGATCGCACCGACTCGCTCCAAATCATTGATATCATCGATGGATTTTATTAAGAATCCCGTAACTATTTGTCGAAAAATCGTTGAATATATTCATGAAATGACTGAACTAATTCAATCACGTATTGTAAAGGGCACTCTGGGTAAATATCGAACTAAATTATTTCTATCGAAATTGGCTGAGTCCTTGTTTAGATCCACTCTACCATTCCGAAACATGGGACTTGTGTTTAAGACGCTGTATGTCCCAATTTGACATCATTCATCTTCATTCCATTTGCATATCGTTTCAGGGCTTAAATTAGAAAAGGATTTCCACGATACTCAAAGAGATAAGTTCAATATATCCAAAGTACCTGATATATATGATTCCATTAAATACGATCTCCTACATAATAAAACTATTCTTCAATTTCCACATGCTGTTGATCTCTATCTTTGTTCAAAAGCATTAGCTGATATCGTTGTACCACAAGTGAGTAAACACTTCCGACTTCGTTTCGAGCACTCGACAATTTTCCAGGAATATGGTATGACTGTCGAAGAAAAATTGAGTATCGCACGCGGTATTGTTACACCATTATTACGTAAAATTCGAGCTGGTATGTTCATATTTTCGACTCGTTCGAAATAGTTCGTGTCTTTCTGCATAGATCTTCAATGTAATTTAACTGGCGTTCTTACACACGATGAACATGTGAATAAACTCGATCCAAGGTAAGGAAAATTGTTCTGAAAATATGATGAGGACTGTGAATAGAACATTCGATGACATTGAATAGAATTTTAAAAAGAAACTCTCCTCGTATAGGTACTTGAATCAATGTGATTCAGATCCAATCAGGTATCATTGAATTTCTCGTGAAATATTTGTTTCCGCAGCTCTTTTATTAATGATTTCTTTTGATTTTTTGGTTTTGTTTAATTCTCGTAACGATTAATGGGAACAGATTTCGTTCAGTTTTTCAGAGAATTAAAAGTAATTGGAACACATGAGTTCATTCTACGTCTGCATGTTCATGCATGTAGGTTTGCGCATCGAATGATAGTTCTAATCAATCTATCGACATTTAATAATCTTTTTCGTTTTTCTTCAAGCTATTCCAAGGGTATTCAAACACCTGGACGACACGTTCGAACACGACTGTATTTTACTAGTGAATCTCATGTACATTCACTTCTAACAGCTATTCGTTACGGTGGTTTATTAGACGTAAATGAACTTATTACCTTTGTCTGTCAATGATGAATTCTTTTCGTTTTTAGACATCGTCAGATCAACAATGGAAACGTTCAATGGACTATCTAGATACTGTTTCCGAATTGAACTATTTAACACAAATTGTCATCATGTTGTACGAAGATTCGAGTGAAGAGGAAAATTCTGAGAAACGTTTTCATGTTGAATTACACTTTTCACCGGGAGCTTATGGATGTCTCGGTGTTGCACCAGAAGTAGCAATATTCTACACAAAGAGAAACATAAAATCGACTTTATTCATTGATTTAGATCGATCCTATCACATCGAATGCAAATAATATTCGCACAATTCTACCAAAGAGTAACCGTGAAGCAGCGCATAGTCCTCCAAGACATCGAGCAAAAGTATCTTTACCAGACTCGCCGTTGTCAGTCATCATCGAGCCACAACTTTCATCATCATTACCACAATCAGAACTAATTACTACAGCATCAAAAGAAAACGAAACAGCTGATGATTCTAGTCTAATATCTGCTCGCAGTACTAAATCACCAGAAAAAACTGATCCACGAGTTATTAAACAACGCTCGTTTTCGACCAAAACAATCTACCGTAGCAATAGTGGAATGACACCGAGTCGTTCGTCTGAACAAACGAATATCGATACATTACATTCTCCATCTACGCAAAGTACATTCATATCATCCATGATTATTTCTAATGTCTCTCGTAGGTCCTCCTCCTCCTCATCATCATCGTTCGATGAAACCAAAATCATTGGAAGACGACGAATCTGATCTACAACGTAAGTTCTTTTCGTTACAGCCCATCACCTGTTGTTTTCTGTTCTAATCATTATTTTGCAAAGGCAAAGTTTTGAATCGTCGTCTCTTAGGTGGGACACAATCTATGTAATCACGTCTTGTGGTGCTGGCATTTGATATCCCTTAGACGTTCTTTTCTCTCTAAAAAAAAATAACATTATTTGCTAATAATCGTTTTGCTGCTTGATGTTCCTTCTAGAAATAACCGCACAGCAGTCTGAATCATATCCTTTAACCTTGCCGAGAATCCGTCGAAAGTCGAGCGCACTATTTGGTATTTACTCGAACAAATCTCGTTTTCAAGCAGACATCACAGATGATCTTGATTGCTCACGTCGAAATTCGGGTACACTATACAATGCGTGTGTCTTGTAAAATTAAAGAAAACTATCAATTGTCTGATTTACCTGATTCACCTGCTCATATCGTATCAGATTGCCTCTCTCCAACAACATATTCACATAATTTACACACACACACACATATTCATATACATATACATCTTTTTTCACTAAAACTTCTTGATTGTTTGTGCTCATCTGTTTTGGAATCGCTTATTAGTATGATTTCCTGATTCCTTTAGGTTAATCATAATCATTCTATTGATAGATATATCATCTTCGAAGTCTTCTATCTTTATATGTTTGTTTCTTCTTAGAAATATCCTTATTGCCACATAGTTATTACAATACAATACATGGAGCATCACCCGATAAACATATATGTAAGTCAATAGCTTATTTTCAGTAAATGAAGTTTGTTCGTTTAGTTTCAGCTAATTATCCACCATTAACAAGTATATTCAGCACAAGAGTTATTAGTGGTGCGAAATCAACACCGGAGTTGAATAAACTACTTGAACACAAACATGCTGGACGTACGTATATAGATAATGTATTTTTTATAGAAAAAAAGGGGTTTCTGCAGTAAATATTGTTATGACGGATATCTGTAGAACTTTGAGTTGTTTACATATGATGATTAGATGAATGAAAGCTTTCATATTTGCTTCATGCACATCTCTTCAACATTCGATTTTTCTCTATGTGATTTCATATTTCTCCTGCAGTCTTTCTCCTTTACATTCTAGTTATCTATTCTGACTCTGCAATCGTTGCACCATTAGAGACATTGAATACTAATTTAAATTATAAAATTCTCGATGATTTTATCGGTAAAATCACTGATTCCAGTATGAAATTTTCCTCTATTATCGCTCATACTAACCCGACTAACTCTCCCATTCTAAACACAACAAACACACAACCAATACTCGTACCTTACGGTAAGTTGCTTTTTCCTTGCATTTAGCTTCATTTTTAAGTGGTTTTAGTAGTAAGCAATCGATTCAGTGTTGAATCAGTTGATAATAACGGTCTATATGGCAATGATAAAAAGCTACGTGTTGGCTTTGGCAAATTAACACAGTATTCGATCAATACAATAACCGAACTTCCTGAACGAACTCTTGAAGAAGAACGCTGAAAGAAAAGATATGAAATTGTCCTTGTGTAAATATACTCAAGTCTTCTTTTTTTGTCTTCTCATTCTACATTAGGATAATGGGCTTATTTATCTATTTATTTATTGTATCTGTCTTAGCGGTGACGTGTATAATGAAGATTATATTTCTATTTTTTTTAACTATCTAAATGTGTACATATGTATCGAGTACTTAATAATTTTTTTATAATTTAAGAAATGAAGAGAAATCGTAAACTAATAAAAAAACCAGAATTCGCTCTTTGTTTAGTTTCTCTCCACGATGTTCAGCATACCAATTTGAATTTCATTAGTAGATATGGAAAATTTCATGCACGCATTGCAGTTCGCTGCTTTTAAACATCGATTTCAAAAGCGCAAAGATCCTGATAGTACACCTTATATAAATCATCCAATAGGAGTCGCACATATCTTGAGTAATGAAGCTGGAGTTCATGATTTCGATTTACTCGCTGTATGTGATAGAAAATTGAATTGAAACGAATGTGTACAAGTGTTTTCAATCTTTCAGGTTGCTCTGTTACATGATACAATCGAGGATACTGAGACAACATTTGACGAACTTCAGAAAGAATTCGGTTCTCGTATTGCTGGTATTATTCTTTCATAATTCGAAGTGAGAATTCGTTTGTATATATATATCATAGGTCTCGTGATGGAATTAACGGACAATAAGGATTTAGACAAAGCTGAGCGCAAACGTTTACAAATTGAAAACGCGAAAAAGTTATCAGCGGATGCTATCGTTGTTCGTCTAGCTGATAAAATTTACAATTTACGAGATCTGAATCGTGTCACACCTGTTGGTTGGTCGGAAGAACGTGTCAATGAATATTTTGAATGGTCTGCTCAAATAGCTCGACAAATAACCGGTTACAATGCTCAAATGGATGAAATTTTGAAAGATTTATTTCATCAACGGAATATTCAATTTTGAACGTGAAATTTCCTTTTCTTTTTTTGTAAAGAATCCGTTCGAATAAAATATTTGATAAATTCATTAAATGATTCATATCATGACGTTTAGATGATTATTTACAAACCTGATATTTAGACTACTGAAAAAGTTAATCATGAGTTTTGTAATTGATGATTAATCATTAGTGTTTCATACTGATTAGATTGGCATTCGTATAAAGTCATGAAATGCTTATTAAGATTCTGATATCGAATAAGACCGATGTGCAATCGGTTAGATTGAATGATATGTTTGCTGGAGTTTTTCGTACATAAACCATTAAAATTCCGTTTTTTTTTTGTTCGAAAAAAAGGATGCTGATGAGGAATTTATGTTTTTCACTCGTTAAAATTGTCAACAATTTTATCTCTCTTTTTTCTTGTTATCTATTTATCTATAAATACAAAAAAAAACGAAGGTCGAACTTCACTAGACTTTCATTAACATTGAATGAGAGAGCTGTGGACAAACAAGTGTACGACGAGTAGGTAAACGATGAGATTCAGAATAGATTTATTCCTATTTTTACATTTCGTAGTGAGGAAACTTTCATAGAAAGAACTCCTTGGTTCCAAAGGTAAATCAAAGGTGTTGTAAATAAAATGAAGGACAAAACGTTTCACGCCATAGTTCACATACTTCTCACTTGAAAAAAATGATGAAACTGTTGTTTGTTCTCCGATCTCCTTAGATAAACGAAGTGTAGAAATGTTCTTTCTTTTCTCGATTTAAGATGACATGCCGAATATGTGAAGGTAATTCTTATCAGATTTCGTTGGGTTTTTTAAATAGATACAGATTAGAAGCCACAGAATGAAGAGAAAACTTTGCAGTTAGTCAAAAAACCAAACAAAACGAAGTGTTATTTCGTTATTCTTTCTTTTTCAGACGTTAATTTCTGTATTAAAAACTAGTAAGCGTTTAAATGGCTGCAGGACCGAAGAAACTTACTATGCAAGGAGCAAACCTTCGAGCCTGCCGGTTGTATACCTGGACTGGTTTTAATGGACTTGGTTTTGATCTGAAAACTCCATCCACCGCACCGCATGAGATTGCGTTGGTTGAGTCGAATAGTCCAGCAGCTGCAGGTGGTCTCAAAATTGGTGATATTATTCTCGCCGTAAATGGCAAAGATACGATTAAAGCTAAATACACTGACTTTACTAAAGCTATTAACAAAGCTCGAGCTAAAAAAGGTCCAGTCGAATTACGTGTTATGGAGAAACGTTATTATGATGAAGTAGTAAAGCAGAAAATCAAAATTAATCCTAAAGAAGCCAGAGTAATAGAAGCACCGCAGGCGCAACCAGCTGATCAGGCAAACTTTCCGCAGAAGGAACGTATATGTGATGTACGTTTAACAGATGCTACTCAGTCGTTTGGCTTTGAACTGGTTAATGGTGACAGGAATATTGGTGTATTTATTCAAGAAGTCAGTCCAAATACGCCAGCTTCTATTGCAGGATTGCGCAAAAGTGATCGAGTTATCAAAGTTGACGGCGAATTAGTTGACGATAAACCAAGTCAACTTTCATATGATAGAATCAGAGAGGCAAAGAAAAATCTGGCTGTAAAGCTCCTTGTTATGGATACGAAAACATACAAAAATTATAAAAAAAGTGGTCCGCCACCATCAGCACCAGCTCCAATGTACGAGAATCTGACGAGTGGTAAGAGATTGAATAACTTCTCTTTTTTCTTTATAACTTAAACTTCAATATAGTGACATATTTTCGTTTCATTTGATTAGGTGGTAAACGTCAGACCGATGACGAGAGCGAGCCCGATGACCGAACACCAACATCACCTCCACCAGCGTCCGACCAATACGAGACTCCTGGAATACATGCAATCGTTCCAAAACCATCATCCTCATATCCGACAACTACAGCAGCTCCACGAGATGACTCATCAGATGACGGTTTGTTTACAATTTGTTTTCTCGCCTTCCGAGAAGAAATGTTTAAAATTTATATTTAGAAACGTCACCAGCATATGTTTCTACATCTCCCAAACCATCAAGTGGTATAGGAGCCGTGGTGCATGCACATCCCGTTGTGCCTGGTGCAGCAGGAAAAAATTTACCACCAAATCGACGAAGATGCGAATTGCGACGTGATCGAACATTGGGTTATGGTTTCACGACTGACTACGACGGCTCAAATGAATACAAACATAAAATTATTGATATCACAGCAAATTCGCCGGCTGATAAAAAAGGTAATTCTACGAATCAGACATAGTTTACAATCATAGGATATCTTCAATTCATTGAAAGGTCTGCGTAAAAATGATTATATTCTGACCATCGATGATACAATTGTTCAAAACATGAATAAAACTGAGTTCACCAGTTTTATGCGCTCGTCAGGAAGCGCTGCCGAATCATCTGATCGACCTTTAGTATTGCAAGTAATCAATGAAGATCAGTTGCGAAGTCGATCGCCATCAACACGGTCAGAACCTATAGAGCCTCCAAAAGTTACTACTTCTGAAGTTTATCCCGAACTACGTCGTTGTATTATTCGAGTATTCATACATTCGTTCTCTACAAAGCATTTTCCGTATGCTTTCTTTACGTTTTAGCGGTCAGCAAAATATCCTGACTTTGGTTTTCAAGTTGATCAATCATCAAATACATACAGTGGTGCAGCTGGTTTTCAAATTAAACATCTCAAATCGAATTCTCCAGCTGACCGTACAAATATTGAAAACTACGATTATATTATTGAAGTAAACGGAAAAAATGTTGAAAATGACGAATTGGAAGATCTTCGAGACAACATTAGAGATATTTATAAAAATAAGAACAACATCGAACTAGTAGTGATCGACGAAATCGGCTATCGATGGTACAAAACACGTCATTATCCTATTGATCCAAATTCAGCTAAGGCTAAAGTGACTCGGTATGTTTCGTAATTTTATTCCTTTTTCAAAATCATCAAAACCCTGTATTTTAAACTTGGCTAGATATGTTACACCTGCCTCACCTCAGAGCAGCCGAAAAAGTAGTATCAGTACAGATCCACCAACTACAAGTAGACCTATTGTGCAACCTTCCACATACGAGACACATATCCATGAACCGCCACAAAGAGATGATACAGACAACTATCGTCCATCTCATCACGAAGATAAAAGTACCAAGCCGCCAGGAAAACAAGTTGATTTGACCACAAGTCCAGATGCTAATTCGGGTATGACATCAGGAAGTGGTCAAAGAAACCAGTATACAACTACTAGTAAAACTATCTACGTTTACTTTTCTGGAAAAATAATTCATTTGAATTTTTAGCTGCCGGCCAGTTGCCATCGTCTGGTACAGGATATCCACAGTCACAATATCACAATGGAACATCTTCATCACAACTCGTAGGTCAATCAACATCTAGACCTCCATCACGCGCAAATGTAATTGATCTTATGTCTGAAAAAGGTGTTCTTCGCTATTATAATTTATCTAACGAGCAACGGGAGCCTTGGGGATTCCGTTTGGATACCCACTATGGTAAACATGTTATTACAAATGTGAAGCCGAATTCATTGGCAGGTAAAGGATATTATTCACTATCTTTTACAAGTAGAAACTGTTTTTTATGATGATCACTTAGCATCTGCTGGTCTAAAGGATCATGACTGTATCATCGAAGTCGATAGTAAAAGTGTCGAAGATAAACCAAATTCAGGTACGAACTATTAAGAAATCTATAGAAACCTTAATCTAGCAAGGTTCGCCATCGTCACAATATATTTCTGTTTTTATTTTAGAGGTGCTTCATTTACTGAGGAGTGCGTCGGTAAAAGGCAAGATGAGTTTACTAGTTGCACCTCATCTAGTTTACCAATTACGGAAAAATTCAGAAACATTTTTCCAAAAAACCAACGAAGAAAGTTTTTACAGTAATATTCCTTCTCAATTCAACAATGGTCTGTCATCAGCGAGAAGAGATGATATTATTAATTTATCACATGAACCATCCGATCCACTGCCACGTAAGAAATCTATGTTTAATTTCATAGAAGTCTCCTAATTAATCACTTGTTCATGTAGGCAAATGTTTACTTTTTCGCGATTCACCATCGAACAAGAAATGCGGCTTTGAAGTTCTCCAAAAAGAAGGTTATGAAACACCAATCGTCTCCAAAGTATATGCCGATAGTCCAGCTAAAAAAAGGTATGAAAAACTGTATTCTGGATAAACACCTCATACTTTTGCTTTGTTTCCAGTGGTCTAACAGAAGGTGATCATATTGTTGCGGTTCAATCAATCAATGTTCAAAAGTTCAAATCTGTTGATGACGTGGTTGATCGTATTCGCCGGTATTTTTACGAAACAGGCGAAGTAGAACTCCTAGTTCTGACTGGTCCAGCGTTTCAAGTCTTAAAACGACGTGGTGGAAATTTAATAGACCAGGAATTCGATTATCAATCGCAAAACGACAAATCAATGCAACCGCGTTTATTGAGATTAGACTTTCAGCCTGATGAATATATGTTTGGACTTTCATTTCGTCGTGAAAACTCGCTATACATCAGCGAAGTCGAACCAGGCTCATCCGCCTATTGTCATGGCGTCAAACCAGGCGATATCGTTCTTGAAATCAACGGTCAAGATGTGAAATACACATCAGTGAGTGAAATTAAAGCACTCATCGAAGAGAGTAAACAAAAACGAGGCTTGGATATCTTACTTATTGATTTTGACGGATATAAATATTCGGTAGAACACGCCATTCCATTGAATTCACTTTTACCTTTCGTGAGAAAACGAAAAGGATGTAAGTAGAAACTTCATCTGACCTTCGATCTACTTTGCTTTGTGTTTTTAGCTACATCAGATAATATTCGCCATACGATGTATTTATAAACAAAGAAAATTAAAAAAATACTGAATAAACAATAACAAATGCTTTGTTCAGTAGACGCTTTTTTCCCTGCAGTAAGATTCTGTTTTCATTTTGTTTGTTCATGCTTTATTTATCGAGAATACATTGCGATAGTTCGTTTATTTCCGATTTGATTTAGTATAAATGTGTACAAGTTGCTGATTATTCGAGATATTTGTATTTTGATTTCATAGTTTCATACGAAAAATAAATTTCTTCGTTTTCTTTTCCTTATTGCAAGTTGCATATGTGCAGAAGAAAGTCAAATGTCATATCAAAATTTCTTTATGTAACAAATTAGACTAACAAAAAATCAATGTAAATTTATCTTATTATTCTAACGAAGGTTTCGTCCGACTTTCCGGTGGCCACCACGGTCGATGCACTTCATTCCATAACGTTGATTCTCTATTCGTTTCATTTAGTTCATCATAATCAAAAATCTTCCGCCAATCATGTGTTGTTAATTGTGCTTCATCCTTGTAATGAAACAAACGAAATAAAAGTACAATTGAATCTACAATTTCACATACAGTAACATCGGATTGAACATCATCTAGTTGTGATTTCCAATCTATCAGAGAGAAAATTCAGCATTCAGTCGTACTGATCAACTGTCCTACCTTGAATCCAATTTTTTGCACGAGACATCTGTCCTTGAGTGGTTAATTCTGGCATACATTGACACATTGGACATTCGAAAAGTTCAGCTGAAAAGAAATAATCTGTACTCATTAATGGACAGATTTGACCGTCCTGAAATTTACCTGGGATCGCTTTTTCCGTAGACTGATGATCGTTTTTAAATGTTGGAAAATCACGTAAGGATTTGTGGGTCATTGCAGCAAGAGGCGTCACTATTGTAAAATTCGTTGGCTCAGCATAATACGATAAACAAGTCTGACATTGAAATAGTGGCAGAAATCTGAAGTAAAGTTGTTAGGAATGAATGCTGTTTGAGGTGGATAGAACAAACCTTGTTGACCAGTAATCATTTGCACGTTGAAAGCAATCTGGTGGTTTTTTGAATACATTATCAGGATCAGGATTCCATGTTTTCTCTTCATTTTTATCGACGATTTCATCGAACATTTGCACATATATATTACCCGCACTGTTCAACTATAAACATATGATCAACTTCGAATTGAATCAATTGGTTAGACTTTACTTGAAAGAGAAGAAATGATTTCGGATTAATTGTATTTGGCACAACAGCTAGATCTCGTGTGGGTACATCGAAATAGATCGATTGTGCTAATAACAATTCTTTCTTCGTATGATTAGAATTGTTTTTCAAATAGATTCGTGTATTTGATATAGGACAGACTTCCCATGAAGGACTCGTTTGCGTTAAACGACGATGTTCATCGATGCCATATTCAAGAATATTTGTATTGAACTGATCGTTGATCATAATTAGATGTTGATTATTCCACTGCGTTTGAGTGAACGATGCGGGTGGACGTAATAATTCATGATGGGAATGAATTGCCTTTTTCAAAGAAGAAGAAAAAGAATAACAATCATATTTTGATAATTACAATTGTTTCCTTACAGATCGATTAGGCATTCGCGAATCGATGATGACTAATGAATAATCCGTAGTAAAAACATGTTGATAGGGATTCACTAAACTCGTTTTATAACCACGAATGATTTCTGTTTCACCTAGATATGGATGATTCGTTCCCATTTTGAATAGTTCTTTGTATGATTCATTTCGTACACGTATATCGTATAGAATGCACGAACTTTGATGATTATCAGCAATTGTGTACAGAAATGGTGACGCGTCCCAATCGAGAAAGATTTGTCGAGGAATATGTGAAGCAGGAAGTTTTTCATCTGTTAACTGATGAAGATAAGTGAATGTATCATCATTGAAAAGATAAGTTCGATAATTCTTGTCGATACAAATTGCATTCGAAGAAATATATGGATTGAATGTTAACGCAAGTATCGATGCATGATCCGACGTTTCAGCATATGAAGTCATCGAAGAGTTGCTAGTCGTTGTATTATATGAATAAAGTGCCAAACCATTCTAAAAATATATATACAGAAAAAGAATAGCTTCATCTCTATTCAAATAGTCTGAATATACGTGATTTGCAACGGCAATGGTTAATAACTGTTCATTTTCGACAAAACAATCTAATAGTTTGATTGAACTCGATGTTTCTATAACATGTCTTCGCTGTGGAGTATTGGATAAATGATCAGTAGTGCTCGACCAAAGTTCATCATAGATATGATCGGATAATGATTGAATATCTAAGAAGAAATGAATGAATTCAAGATATTCAGGGGTGGAAGATTTTCTTTACTGAGTTGATTCTTTTTTGTAACATAGATCAGATGATTCTGTTTGGCAATTAGACGAATCGAATTGTTTTTATATTTCTACAGAAAACGAACGTTTCGTTAAATGTTCACGGGTAATATCAATGTACTCATTGGCATTTACTGTTGACAATGTATATTTATTCATATGAGTCAAATCTTCCATTGCAACTACAAGGAAGAAGTATATTTGTAATCATAGCGAAGAAAACCAACATACTTGAATATGTAAATGGTGGTGCTGTTGCTCGAAGAGTAGATGCATGAGCAGAGGGGACGATTTTCTGCATTACAAACTTTCGATTAATCGAGAAATCCTACGCATAAGAACAAACTTTTGTGATATAAACAAGATTTCACACTAAAAATGACTAACCATAGTAGTGACAGGCCATTGATCTAGTAGAATCTCGTGTGGATGATCATCGTATGTTAAACATTCAGGATAGAGAAGATCGGGAAACTCTAAATTTGATGTCATTTCGTTTTATTTCTAAAAATAAAGACAGTTGCATTAATGCAAGTCTGTCTGCCACTTTTATTGGATAGCATCATACCAATAAAAAATTTGACATGTTATCTATGAAGATTTTGATAGGAATACTGATTGGAGAACTGAAATAATCCAATCGTTAATCTGAGAAATATCTATGCTTGTTGGATCGATATTAATTCTGCTGTGAAAAGTCAAATATGACTAGTTCGAAAGCATGCCGTTCGTCTACAAGTCTTGAACAACCGTATGGAAATATCTCAACACGATGTACACCTGGTTGGCATCGGCGTCCATTACCAAAAATAGCTATTCCATTTAATTCTGATCATGGCAAACGATTGTTTCGCGAAGCACTTCTCACTGATGGTTTACATGGATATTTTAGCTTAGCCGAAACATTTCATACACAAGCTGAACCATCCTATTGTGGTCCTGGCACACTTTGCATGGGTTTGTTCTACTGATTTTTCTCCATAAAATCATTAGTTCTACTCTTCTATAGTATTGAATAGTTTAAATATCGATCCAGGTACAATCTGGAAGGGTAATTGGCGTTATTTTGATGAACATACACTTCGTACATGTGATAAACGCAAACCAAAAGAGAAACCGCTAGAAAATGTTTTAGAACAAGGTATTACATTTGAAGAATTCCTTTATCTTGCTGAATGCAATGGCGCATCGATTATTCCATATCTTGCTTCGAATACAACACTCGCACACTTTCGTTCAGCTATATTAGCTGCTTGTACACGTCGTTTAGATGATGTTCGCCTTGTATGTAGTTACAATCGAAGTGTCCTGGAACAGACAGGTACAGGACATTTCTCACCGATTGCAGGATATCACGTCAAAGAAGATTTGATTCTAATTCTCGACGTTGCAAGGTTTAAATATCCATCACATTGGATTTCAGCCGAGTTACTTTGGCAGTCAATGTGTACAATTGATCCCGCAACCAATAAATCTCGTGGATTTTACTTAGTTGCAAAATGGCCACGTGATTTCTCGACGCAATGTGGTGTAGATAATTGTGAAGACGACAATGAGCAAAATTTAGCAATCGAGAAAAGATTTTGTTCGTCCGAAGAAACTCTATTATTATTCATCGAAAATCATCTTCGTCCGCTCGCTAATTCGAATTTATCATTCGAGTCATTAGTTATTACAGTTCTACAAGCATTGCCATTAGTGGTTATACAGCAAACGACAAAATGGACGTTTGATGTCATGCAAAAATATCGTCTAGATGCTGTTTCAAAGTCCAAATGCGCTCAAGAATGCCAGTGCGTGAATATTTTTCAATCCTATCCATCATTTTTACCAGAAAATGTCAGTGATAATTCCGTTGTTGACGATGCCGATTGCCGAAAGCCGTGTGCTCGTGTCACTCGTTCACATGTGCATGCGTATGCCATGCCGACTCGATGTGCTCTCGCCCCTTTTATCGAACTATTTCAGATCGAGAGTAATCGAAAATTATATGAAAAATTCGAACAGATGAATATCGAACAATACTTAACTTTGACAGAAAATAAACCGATGTACTTATTCGGTGGTTTGTCATCGATGGTTGATGATAATGGTATGATGAAAAGAATTGAATACGGATTAACTGCGATCTTTTTCTATGCACTTCGGACAGACACGTTTCTTTCGTCTGTTGGCTTACTTGATTCAAGTAATGTGTCAAACGAACTGAAAGATGAAATTAATTATGCTAAAGCTTGTTTTGGATTGTAAAACTTGATTTTTCCAATAAATGCGTTTTCGGTTTGAGAATCTATGATGATATTGACGACATCTATGTTTGTCTCAGAGTGAACGTCAAAACAGAGGTATTTCTATCTTAACCACATTTTGTATGTCAGTGCAGTTTATGTGTACATATGAATTGCCTGATAGAATTTTCTTCAGTGTTTTCTTAGAAGATATAAAATGAAAACTCAAAGTCATCTGTTTTGACCTTTTAGATGGCTAACAAACCGAGCGCCCCAGTTATGAATCCTATCGAACAATCAGGAACTGATTATCTTCAAATGCATCGTATATATGATCTTTTTCATAATCTATCCGCATCTTTAGTTTATAATAAACCAGGTAATAATGAAAAAAAACACAATTGTTCTATTAATTATTACTTCATATTGCAATTTTCTTCGCCAAAATCGATTAGAGGATCCAAAAGCATTCATGATAAACTATCTTGAACAATTGAAAAAAGCTCGATTAGCCGGTCTGGCTTCTCCGTCTCTGGTCGATGACAAAGATCTAACGTCTATTTTCCGTATGTTGGATCCTGCAGGTCATGGACACATCACATATTCACAATATGCCTCTAGTAAGTTCCCTTCTCTTTTCAAACTAATTGATTCAACGTAAGCGTTCGTTTCTCAAGCAATGGAAGCTCTTGGTGTACCTACGTATAACACATCACCAGCTGGAAAAGACAATGATCGTATTACATTCGAGACATTTTCACAAGAAGCGTAAGACTAATGCCACGCTTTGAAAAGATCTCTTTGACGAATGTTTTGTTTTTCTAGACGAAAACGGCTGAACGAATTGAATGCTACATATCATTAATGATTTACATTTGATTGCTCATATAATTTTCTCTTTTCTTTTTTCTTTCCATAATAATTATTGTGTTCCATGCAAAAGATGTCTTTGGTTTCGAGCAAATGTGATCTTGGGAATAATTTCATTCGAAATGACGAAACAAAACAAAAGCGAGCACCCGTAGTAATCGAGTAATTCCATCTTTTTTGCTATTCTTTGTTTGTCTGTTACCAATAATAACAAATTTCATCAAAACTTTGACTTCAGTACAGTTCATGGATGAATGTTGAAATAGAAGAATAAACATGATTGGTAATTATCAAATGTGAAATAACAAATCAAACCATACAAATTTGTGTTCTTTCTATATGAGAAACATTTCAAGGAGAGGATTGATATTAGATGAAATAAATAATAACGAAGCTGATTCGTCTCTCTCTCTATCTCTCTCTCTTCGTTAACATTTTCAGTTTTGGGTTCCTCGCAATAAGTAGCGTTTAATTACGTAATTCAACAGAGAAAAATGATCGATTATGAGTTTTATTACGAGCAATATCGTCGGGAGCCGAAAAAGTCAACGGCTAGTAAAAAAGATCTGTTGGATTATCATTCAGCTGTTTCAACAGCCACTTCCAATAATTGGTCACAACCTGTCAAACGATCACTTGCTACAACATGTATCGATGGCAGTGAACTACCAAATACACATGAGACTCCTTATCAAGTTAAAGATTCGTTTCCGAAAGGGAAGTTTCGACGAAAACCACTCGTCGCATACGAAAAGAAATCGCGAGAAGCAACATCAGTCATTGATAGTACACCAATTCCATCTGAAAAAAGTCGATCATTGTTGTCAATGACTCCAAATCAGCCTGATATGCAACCGAAGAGTACATCCAGTCGAATCACTAGTGCTTTTGTGTATGACGAGAAGGATAGTACTGCGAAGCTTTATGGACGTCGTGCAACGGCACATGCGAACGGTTGGGTACGTCGATATAAATCAGTGAATCAATCTCATGTAATAACGAATTTTCTACACGATTTGGAACGACATCAGAAACATTTATTCCGAAAGCGAACGTGTCAACCGCAACCACCACCGTTCTCACCTTCATCGTCCGCGTCATCATTGGATTTGGACTTTCTGTTGAATAAACGTAGACGAAAGAACGGTGTCAAGAAGTAAAAAAGACGAACTAGACACGTGGAACAAAACATCGAATTGCTTTTTTCTCATCTTTTGAAGATAAAAAAACATGCTTCTCAATATGCTTTGAAATACACAACTCGTATGTAATAAAGTCTTGTACTCTTCATCAAACCGTCTGAGCAACAATGACCTCTATCGTCTGTTTGTATAAGATTGTTAGTAAATATAAAGAAAGAAAACAGGGATATATAGTAGTCATTCTATAAATAGTATTATTTTTCATAAGAGTGCATTCAATGACTAGTCAAAAAGTTTATCGAATTCTTGCATTCGGAGACAGCATCACTGAAGTATGATTTTGCGACATATTCAGCAAACACATTAGACGTTGTTTTTCTGCTGGTCTAGGGTTTTCATTTTGCTGGATTTCGTTTTCATCCGTACACGATTAAACTAGCAGAATTAATCCGAAATCATTGTGAATGGACGTATAACGGTTCTTCCGATCGACCACAAATTGAGGTAAATCGACTACTTAAAAGGTTCTCTTCATTCTTCAAATTCAGGTTAGAGTATGTGGTCGAAGTAATGAGTGTGTACTTGGTGGTATGATCGATCGTCTGCGCACAACTCTGTCCGATGCCGTTGAAGAAGGCCACTATTATCGCTGGATCATCATCTTAGGTGGTATTCATGATTTGGGTTTAGGTGTGAAACCTGACATCATTTTCGACGGATTAAAACAGATGTATAATATGGCATATGAACACGGTGCAAATGTGGTGGTGATGACTATTAATGAAACAGGTCGTTTGAAAACAAATGATCCTCGTGATCTCGATCGACATACATTGAACACATTGATCAAGAAATATGCATGGGAAAATCACTATGCTGGTGGACGACGAACCTTCTGTGTAGATATTAATGAAGCTATTCCATGGCACCGGCCAGATTTAGAGCAAAAGAAAATACTATGGGATGATCACATGCATTTGACACCCAAAGGTTACGATTTGATTGGTACACTGATATTTCAAACCATTGTTGATCATCTGAATCTACGAGATATTTAAAACGAAAGAAAATTTCATCCGAAACTTCTTGCTCAGTCTTTTATCGTCTTCTTTTTTATACCAATGCAGGTGGATAGAGAGCCGTCTGTCTAATTTTATCATTCGTACATAATCTCGCATACTTTTTCTTTCATAGTCTCCTCTTGTTATTGAAATGTAGACGAAAAATACAGGACCTCTTCTTTGTTAAGTTATTGTAGATTAATAAAATTATTTTGCGAACATATTAGATAGATGTTTTTTCCTGATTAAATGTGTTAAATATTCATTTTATTTTTAAAATAAACAGGCTATAGTTGTTTGCTAAAAATATGTCACGAGGTGTGACAAGGTCTTGTTTTCTGCAGAAAGTCGAATGTACCTAAATACACATCTAGACGGTAAGCAACTGCTGTTATTTTTGCAACGCGCCGAGAAATGTCGCGAAAAGACAATCAGGTCCTCTTTTAATATGCACACCAACGGAATCAAATTTATATAGGTAATTTCTGTGTAACAATGAATGAGCTTTGAGATTATTTAAATTAATGTTGATGAAATCTGTTTTTCTGTTATCAGTCAAAAAATTTCATTGAATGGTCTCGTGTGAGTTCTATGAAAAGACACATCGGTCGACATGTGACGTGAACGCCGTCCGATGCATGTTGTCAACACGTATGCACCATCTGATTAAAATCAAATGACATAAACAACAAATCTGGGAATAAGAAAGCAACTTTATTTTGACATATGGTTTGATCTTGAAATAAATTTTCATCGGCAAAAATCGACCAGAATCTTGAAAGTCAAATATTCACAAGGAAAGCCTGTATGTTTTCAAAACGACATTTCCATTACTTTTCGCATGTTCGCCATTAATTATTGAAGAAATTCTATCTTTATATAAATCGATGTTGCAAATAAGTACTTTCATATTTTGATCTTCTTCTACCAAAATGTTAGCTTTGGTGCTGGTCGCCTTTATTACCATGCTAAGCATGGGCATCATTTGTCGTAAAGTAAGTCAATGACATACTAATAGTCTAGTCAAATGCTCGACGTATCGTTTATTTAGAAACGCATTTCTGATGAAAACAACGAGTCAAGATTGACGGTACCTTGGGGACCTCGTCCTTGGCCTGTTATTGGTAATCTCCTTCAATTAGGTTATCGTCCGTACGAAACATTGTACCGCTGGTCGAAAATGACAAAATATGGTCCAATATTTCGCCTTCGCCTCGGCTCACAAACGGTTGTTGTGCTCAATTCATCACCGATCATTCGCGAAGCCTTACATGACCATAGTGAAATATTTGCTGGTCGACCATATCTTCATATGATTCATGAAACATTACATGGCAAAGGTGTTATATCAGCTCCATATGGCCGAGAATTCAACGACCACAAGAATTTTCTTATTAAAAATTTCAATCGATTTGGTCGTCGGCGACGATCATCTCTAGAAAATGGATGTCTGGATGAAGTACGCTTTGTTGCCGAACAAATTCGGGAACAGCAATCGTCACCGTTTCGTGTCGGTAATATGTTAAGTCAAATATCATGTAATAATATTTGCACATTAACATTTGGCCGATACTTTGAAACGATGAACATGAATCATTTATTTGAGAAAATCAATGAGAATTTCAATCAAACAGCAACAATAGCCTGCTTCAATTTCTTGCCATTTACACGACGATTTCGCAAGAATATCTTCGAGAACGTCAACGACTGTAATCGTGTCATACAGAAGTTGGTTGGCGAACGCGAAACCAATTTTGATAATGAATTTATTACCAACATTGTGGATGCTTATTTGGATGAAATGAACCAACATCGACAACGAAGTGCGCACTTCTCCAGAGAAAATCTCGATTCACTTGTTCAAGATTTATTTGTGGCTGGAACAGAAACCGTATCAAATACATTAAATTGGGCAATCTTTTATATTGTTGCGCATCCACATGTGCAACAGAAAATTCACGAAGAAATCGATCGAGTAATTGGCAAAGATCGACCACCATGTGAGAAAGATCGTTCGCGAATGTCTTATGTTGAAGCTGTCTTACTCGAATCGATGCGTTGTCATTGTGCTGGACCTATTCTGCTGCCACGAGCCACCACTCAAGATATAACATTTCACGGTTATTTCATTCCAAAAGATACATTCATTCTGGTAAACATGTGGTCAGCAATGAAGGACGAGAAGAATTGGATCGAACCCGAAATGTTCAAACCGGAACGATTCTTGGATGAAAATCAATCTTTACGAAATGTTAACAATCCAGCAATGATGCCGTTCAGTGTTGGTAAACGTGCATGCACAGGTAAATATCTTTGTGAAACATTGATTATTTATTTTCGAAAGTCGTCTTCTAGGTGAACAAATCGCCAAAATTCAATTATTTTTGATTCTTGTCAGTTTATTTCAAAAGTTTGAATTTCAATTTTCAAATGGCTGGACTCCGAAAGATCTCCGTGGTCAACCTGGTATCACCCTTCGTCCACCAAACTGCCAATACGAAGCCTTCATTCGATAAACTATTCACTTGTAACCCTTAGTATCCCTTCACTAAGTCCTAGTTTTCTGTTTATATTTTGCAGAAAGTCAAATTCAAATGAATAAATGCATAGATAAAACCTATTTCGGTGAAATCTTTTCGAATGAATCAATAAAGCAATGCTTTTGCGATATTTTATTGAATACGGTGTTAGGAGAGACAAAATAGAGAAAGAGAGAGAAAGACAAATGTGCCAAATTACACTAAAGAATATGAAATAACAGGTAGAACAAACGAACGGGTATGTTGTTTGGACAGTTGACAAGTCTAATACATATATATGTCTGCTGTTTAATCTTCTTCAAAAAAAGAGTTCGGAAAAGAAAAAGAGAACTGATAATCGCTACTAAAAAAGCTGGCACACATTCCATCATTGTTCGCCGATTTATGCTTTGAATGAACCAACAAAATTTTGAACAATTTCTTTAAGTTTAGCATCCGTTTCAGGGGTGATTTCGTTCTTTGAACGGACTGATTCAAGAATGTCTTTATGTTGTCCTTTCAAGTGTTGTAAGAATGCTTGTTCAAATTTGGTGATTTTAGATGGATCGAGTTTATCCAAATGACCACGAACACCAGCATAGATGACACATACTTGTTCTTCGATGGCCATGGGCACTGAAAATCAACGAAGATGTTAATTACGTTTAATATCAGCAATGCAATTTAGTACTAACCATATTGGCCTTGTTTAAGTAATTCAGTGAGACGAACGCCGCGGTTAAGTAGAGACTGAGTAGCAGCATCAAGATCCGAACCGAATTGGGCGAAAGCTGCGACTTCACGGTACTGAGCCAATTCAAGTTTCATTTTACCTGAAACCTACATCGAAGAAAAACAACGGTTCATTTAAACATCTATCAAAAACTATTTCGTCATACATACTTGTTTCATAGCCTTGGTTTGAGCAGCACTACCGACACGTGAGACTGATAAACCTACGTTAATGGCTGGTCGAATACCTTTGTAAAACAATTCAGTTTCCAAAAAGATTTGACCGTCAGTAATTGAAATGACATTAGTTGGGATATAAGCAGAGACATCACCTAGAAGAACATGGAGATTTTCTTTCTCATTTTATCATCAGACATGTGCGCCTATTTACCAGCTTGTGTTTCAATAATGGGTAAAGCTGTCAGAGAACCACCACCGTGACTATCATTCATTTTGGCAGCTCGTTCGAGAAGACGACTGTGTAGGTAGAAGACATCACCTGGGTAAGCTTCACGACCGGGTGGACGACGTAACAGAAGTGACATTTGACGATAAGCGACGGCCTGGAATAAAAGAAAGATAGAGACTTAACAAAAACCAATGTCAAGGGGATTGCTATCGTACTTGTTTCGAAAGATCGTCATAGATGATTAAAGCATGTCGGCCTGTATCGCGAAAATGTTCACCCATAGCACAACCAGAGTATGGTGCTAAATATTGTAAAGGAGCGGCATCTGATGCTGTAGCAGCTACGATAACTGAATATTTCATAGCATCTAAAGAAACGATCGATTAATACTTGAAGTACTCAATAGAAACAAACAAACCAGCGTCAGTAAGACGTTTGACCAATTGTGCGACTGTTGAACGTTTTTGACCAATGGCAACGTAGATACAATAGAGTTTCTTCTTTTCTTCTCCGGCATCATTAAACCGTTTTTGGTTGATAATTGTATCAATAGCAACAGCTGTTTTACCAGTTTGACGATCACCGATAATCAATTCTCGTTGACCACGACCAATGGGTACTAAACTGTCGACGGCTTTCATACCTGTTTGCATAGGTTCACGTACGGATATACGTGGAATGATACCGGGTGCTTTAACTCCGACACGAGCTCGTTTTTTCGTATTCAATGGACCCTAAAAGCACTCGTTTTGAACGCATCTGGCATCGCAAGAACTTACTTTGCCATCAATTGGGTTACCAAGAGCATCAACGACACGGCCAAGAAGCTCATCACCAATTGGTACGTCGACGATAGCACCTGTTCGTTTGACGATATCGCCTTCTTTGATTAATCGATCGTTACCGAAGACGACAACACCGACGTTGTCCGGTTCCAAGTTAAGAGCCATACCCTACGAACCAAATCGAAATTATCGCAACTGATTATCGCAACTACGAACACAAACCTTTAAACCACTAGAAAATTCCACCATCTCTTCGGCTTGAATATTTTTTAAACCATAAACACGAGCGATACCATCACCAATTGTTAACACACGTCCAGTTTCTTCAAGATCTTGTTTAGATTGATGACCAAGAATCTTTTGTTCAAGAATTGACGAGACTTCTGGTGTTGTTTGTGCTGATTGAGCAGCTGCAAAACATGTTGTTGATGTCGACATTGGTCGGGATGTTGATGACAATGCCAAAACATTGCTACTTCCAAGATACTACAATGAAACGATAGACACAAATGGTGAACAGAGAACTGACGACGAACATTACTTTAGCTGATTCTGCACTACGAGCAAGAGCCCGTTGACGAACCAAAGATACCAGAGCTCGTTTCATGTTTTTTTATTCAACTATTGTTGTTAGTGGTTATATGTGAATAAAAAAAATAAGCAAAAGAAAAGAGAACTATGTGTACAGAAGGGTTCCACAGTAGAGGCTTCTGCGAAACTTTGATGGAAGCTGAAAAACAAAAACTATTCATTCGAAACAGTTGAGTGATTATATTCTTCTCGAGAATATTCTAAAGTAGATTTGAAAATTTTTCCGAATAATTTTTTTCAATATCAATCAAACCATCATAGAGGTCACTGAAGTTCTTCCCACAATTGATTGGTTTTATTCATTCATTCAATCATCGGAAATTGTTTAAACTGAAAAAAAAACTCAGTTCAAGTCTTTTGTTAGTTGATTCCATTTTGTCTATGTTAATCTCCACAACTATTGGCCGGTGCTGATTATTGAACAGTGAACATCACATTGGAAAATGTTTGTATCTACGAATATCAACGATGGATTTCGATAGCGTTGTTTTTTCTTAATCTTAGGTCGACTGGAAATACTCTTGAAGAACTTCATCGATTTTTTGAAGATGATCCCGATGATTATCTATTGGAAAGCGAAGCTGAAAGTCGTTTAAAAGCTCTTTATTCATGTCTTGTTGTACGACTAGTCTCAACTCTTGCTTTTGCTATTCTTATCTCGTTTTGTTATTAGAATTCAACATCACGGACCATGTTACAAATCGGTTTAAGTGGTTTATTAACTTACGTAAAAGCATCCCAGCGAAGTGCGATTATCGATGAATTATTATTATCAAAAGATTACATCTCCGAGATCATCACTATTGCTGCTGATCATTTTACTACAGTTAGTTAAACAGAACTGATTTCATTTGAAAATATGAAATGATTTCGTTTTATTTCAGGCACCATTATTGTCAGCTACATGTCTTTATGAATGTATGTTAGCATATCCGAAAAAATTCTCAACATTTCTCATTGTATGAATGTTTTTTTTTCTTCTGATAACAAATCAATAGTAATATTTGATTTTCATTTAGAACAAATTTCGTCCAGTATTACCTCGTATTATTTACAAAAAGATGTCTGGTCCTAGTGAAGTAAATCAATCGTTCATTCATCGAAAAAATAAGCACAAACGATGTTTTGTTGTAGATATCTTGCAAGTGTATTGCGCATTTGTCTGTTCTTGGCATTCCATCGAGTTCGAAACAAGCAAAATCATGGAAAAATGAATACGATCGTTATCTTAAAATCGCGTCTCTTCTCATTGATCAACTTTATTCAGGAATTAATGGTAATGCTCAAATGAGATCGAACTTTTGTTCAATTGCTTTGCTTTCTCAGATCCACTCTATCCAGAAGTAACCGATCTTGAAGCAGCATTGATTGCGGAAGTTGGGGATGTCATTTCATCATCGGATTATGCAGCGATTTTCGTTAACTGTTGTCATATATTGAGATATTTGTTCTTGTATGTATAAATGATATTTACCCATGGGATTCTTTTATCGCTTTTAATGAATATTTTCAGTGTGCAATTGGAATGTTCAGTATCAGTTCCATGTGAACGAACATTTAAGTTAATATCAAAAGTCATTTCAATCACCAGTCAACAATTCGTATGAAGACAAATCTATTCTCTTTTCGCTGTATTAACATTCCTTTCTTTTTCTTAGAATATTCTTCATCGTAAACAACATTTACCGACATTACTTAGTTCTTGTATTCAATTATGTGATACACTTGTTACATTGTATGAGTTGCTTTTCATATCGGTTCGCAATTAGCTTTCACTTTTTTTTAGTAATCCATCGTCATTTATGTTTAATATTCGATCAATATTTTCATTGATTATTTCATTACTTGATCTTGTACGTCCTCAAGCGGAATATTTGTGAGCAAAAGTTTCGTTTCGAAATGAATTCATTGGTTTGTTTGTTTGTTCATTTTGATTAATAGAACATTATCCACGAGTATTTATCAGTTGTTAACCAATTTATTCGCTTTATTTCAACGGCAAGTTCGCATGGATGTTGATGTTTTACAAAATCTGATTCGTTGGATTCTCAACGATACAACAATCAGAACTCGAACAAGAATACCAGTTGCATATCTATCCAAACCGGATCCCAAGCTCTCTCGAGCAGCTATCAATTGTAAGTCAATGGACAGTTTTCTTTTCGCATTTTCCTCTCTGGTGTTCGATTAGGTACGCAACAATTACTCAACGTCTATTCAGATCATATGCCGAAAGATCAGTATATTGTAAGAATTGACTCTCGTTTGTTTTTTTTTTAGGAGGAAAATTTGTTTTCGATTGTTTAGCATATTCAAAATCATTTCATTCATACGATTTTGGCTTGTCAAACGACGAATACTGTAATCAATAAACCATACGATGATGAACTATGTCGTGTTGGTTTATATGACATTCTCGAATGCTTATTAATCAACGAAAGAGCGGATTGTACAACTATTATTGGTATTAGCAAAGATGTTATTGATAATGCAGCTCTATTAGATTCATCTGTTAAGGTAATTAGAATGAGTGACGTCAAAATAGTAAACTTTACCTATTTCAGGTGAAAATGACTGTACGAAAATTGAAACTTATCTGGCAACAAGTCCACGATTCGTCCAGTCAATTATACCAACCATGGTCACTTTTAAACATTGACAAACCACGAAGAACGACTTCTAATCAAAATGTTCATTCAACTATGACAACCAATGATTTTCATAATGTGTTCGCTCCTTCATCCATGCCAATGATTACGAATGTTCAATCTGCATTACCTGTAGTAGCAGCAGCATCGTCATCCATCACGATGCTGAATACAGAACCTTCGCCTTTGAATAATTCTCAATCTCTCTCCAAACCAGCAGTATATAAACCACCTACAGAAACAACACCAAACATATTTTTACAAGCACCAGCAGCAACAACAACACCGGTTATACCAGTTGCATCTACATCACACGATATTGGATACAAAGCTCCATCAGCTAACTTTGATATACCAGTAGCAGGTAAATTGAAAACAAACGAACATTGATCATATATGTTATTGCTTTTCTTTAGCTGGAAATAAGGAAGAATTTCATCCTGCTGATGAGCGACAAGCAAAACGAATGAAAGTAAACGAAATACATGCTGTAGAAATTGATAATGACGAAGATGATGATGGTGCTGAACGTAAGATCTTATCCATTTGTTGTTACTCTTACTGAAAGATTCCTTTCAGATATTTTTAATGGAGAAAGCGAGGAGGAACTTGAGAATGAACATATGGACGATTATGATGAAGAACTTGGCGAGGAAAGTGAAGAAATAGATGAAAGTGATGAACTTGATGACGATGCCAATATCGATGAAGACGAAGGGTCCAACGTAAATTCCGACGAAGATGATGAAAATTACTTTCATTCTAATGGTATTAAAAAACCGAATCAACATTTAGGTATGACAAGCTCGTTTGTTTCTTTCGATATAGTAAAGAAAACGAGATACGGTTAATTTTAGGTGTTCATCAATCGAATGTCGATTTACTTGGCATGGATGGTGCACCATCAGATACGTATCTTCAAGCGATGAACGATAACTCTCATAAGAAATTTCGTCGTCAAAATCACCTCGATCACCAATGTTCATCTCATCACCCATCATCAACAGACTTTTCACATATAAATAATAATGTCATTCCAAATCCGATGTATCATTCAGGTCCATTAAATGGTGATTGTAAGGGTACGAATAAAACACCTCTGGACAACGGTCAAACATCATCGACTAGTGCTGCAAATGCAAGTCAAAACGCAGGTGATGATGATGATGATGATGACGATATTGTATTAGTTAGTGATGATGATAGTGAAGATAAAAAACCAGAAACAAAAACCAATAGTATGCATCTATTTTGAGAATAAACTTTATGAAAATACACTCACGAATGATTTAGATTTACCTTCTTTGCAACCAATCCCATACATGAGTGATTTGCCCATAACATCATATGTTGAAACAGTTACAATCAAATCAACAACTACTACGACAATCATAAAGAATGATCCTTTGTGTGGAAAGGATCTATACGACGATATCGATAGAGTATGTATTGAGCTGGTAAAGTACTAGTCTTCAATAAAATATATAGTAGTATTTTCGTAAAAGTCACACCTTAATAAGTACAGTTGTGATTTCGTCTTGGCTAATGAGTTGAAGTAGACGAACGAACATGTAAAACTTTGAAGGAAATTATTTTCAATTCAAGATTCTCTGCATCAGTAAATTTTCTCTTTCTTCTTTGAAGGAAACCATGGATTCACTTCGTGATGCTGTAAATCTTGTCAGTGATGATTATATGGTATCAACAGATGAACAGAATTAAATCGTGAATTATATTTGTATCTTTTATCATGTGATGTATGAAATCATTTGAAAGCATACGTCGTATTAATTCATTCGTTGGTAATGTACATGTGATGATAGTAGGAAACAAAAGAAAACTAACTTTTCTCTCTCTCTCTCTGTCTCTGCGTGTATTCATGTGTGTTCGTGATAAACCTTTTTTTTTCTTTCATGTCTTTAGCCGCTCAGCAGTTGTTCATTTATTGTTGTTGTTCAACTTTGTCACTGTTATTCATTTTTCTGCTTACATTTCTCTTTTTCTCTCTCATATAATCCGTCTGCTGCTTTAGTTTCGCTGTCAGACGGATGAGAAACAACGACAATAAAAAAACACCATGCAGGTAAACTATTGCAGTGGTTACTTCATCTTCACTTTGTAGATAAAAGCAAAATCAAAATAAAGAGTAAAGAAAAATGTCTTCACACAATAGTTTGAGTAAATAAATAACTTGTTTAACAGTCGATTTTAAACTAATCCTATTTCATGTATTTAATTCAATAGCAATTGTGTAGCTTTTCGAAGTTATACTTTATCATCAGACAAACAATGGAATGAACGAAAACACATAAACACACACATATATAAGTAAGAATATATTTTACAAATGTAAAGACATCTAATCATATTGTCGAGTTATTTTTTTACGATTATGTCACAATTTGATCGGAGTAGAACACATGGGTATTGAAGAGAGAAATTTTTTTGAATAAACTTACTCAACAGTAAATCTCTTGCTTCTACAGAGGTATTCACATTTATAAAATGTCTTCCTACTTATATACGTGTGTGTTTTCGTTCATTCCATTGTTTGTCTGATGATAAAGTATAACTTCGAAAAGCTACACAATTGTTATTGAATTAAATACATGAAATAGGATTAATTTAAAATCTGCTGTTGAACAAGTGATTCATTTACTCAAACTATTGCCTGTAAGCTTCACTAAATGTTCAGTTGTATATATAACAATAAAATATGCGAACTAATTAGTTATCGTGAGTGACTTTTGAAGAAAAAGAATACTGCGTATTGAAATCGAAAAGAAGTTATCCTTGAGTGAATTTTTTGTTTTTGGAAATAAAGAAAAAGTTCATTTTGATTTTCTTCGTCTTTGTTTTCATTCTTTAAAAAATAAATTAACAACCCTTTTGTAGACAAACTTGCTTACATCTGAGAAAAATAACTACTAATTTGATTTATTTCTTTTGATGATATCAATAATCAGATACTTTCACGGATTTCGACGAACAATTTCGACTATGAGCACAATCAAGATCGCAACTCATAACGGACATTTTCATTGTGATGAAATATTCGCTTGTTTCCTCTTGAAAAATCTACCTCGATACGCAGATGCAGAAATTGTCAGGTTAGTTGAACCAATTGATTCAGTTCGTTGCTTGGAAAGAAAACCAACTTCAGAACACGCGATAGAAAAGATATATTTGTTGATTTAGAACTCGCGATCCAAAGGTTCTAGCTGAATGCCATACAGTTGTTGATGTCGGCGGTGTCTTCGATGCTGAACAAAGACGTTTTGATCATCATCAAAAGTAGATCATGCATTGATATGATTTTCTCATTGATTTTCATTTTTATGTCAATAGGACATTTACAGATACGTTTCATTCTCTACGACCGGAGAAACCTTGGACGATCAAATTGTCCAGTGCTGGTCTAGTTTATGTTCACTATGGCAAAGAAATTATAGAAGAATTGCTGAAAAAAGAATCTCTGGAAGAACATGAACGAAACCATTTGACTGAAATCTTGTTCGATAAAATGTACGAAAATTTCGTGCAAGAAATTGACGCTATTGATAACGGAATTGATATTGGCGAGAATATCAAGTAAGTAACGAATCGCCTATTCATCAAAATTTATGCATTTTCTTGTTATGAAGATATAAAATTAATACGAATCTTAGCGCACGCATTGGTTTCTTCAATCCAGGCTGGAATGACCCTAATCCGGCCGAAACGGAAGAAGTGAATTGATTTAACAAAGTCAAGAAAATCAGAAAATAAGTTATTGTACTTTCAGACGGGATTTGAACAAGCCATGCAATTGATTGGTAAAGAATTTCTTGATAAATTTCATTATTATATTCGTCAATGGTGGCCAGCAAGAGCTCTACTTGAACAAGCCATTGCTAAACGTTTCGAGGTAAGATCTATTCATTGATCAACTACTGTTCTAAAAATCGATCGTAGATTGATCCATCCGGTTCTATACTTGTTTTCGACCGTTCATTTCCGTGGCGTGAACATCTGTTTGACATTGAAACTGAACAAAAAGATACTCTTGGCGATACAATTAAATATGTACTGTATCCTGACTTGAACAAAACTTGGCGTATCCAAGCTGTTCCATTGAACAACAAATCATTCGATAATCGTTTGTCATTACCAAAACAATGGCAAGGCTTACGCGATGATGAATTGAGCGCGAAAGCTGACATACCAGGATGTGTGTTCGTGCATGCATCCGGTTTCATTGGTGGTAATCTCACTTTTGAAGGTGTTCTAACAATGGCCAAACGTTCGTTGGAAATAGGAAACTCCAACAAGCGTAAGATTGAAGAATGAATAACACTGTTTTGTTTTCTGAATATCAACTGAAGCGGTGTGAAATATAAGAAGAAGAAAAAAAACACACTTGACAACAAAAGATGCACAATCACTAAAACATATGAAGAAATATATATCAACATTGAACATAGAAATGTATACTTGTGTACATAAAACGAACAGAGTCACTACGGTCTTTTTCAGCTCCTGTCAAATCTACTATGAATGACTAGATGACGTTCGATTATGCTTTGATGCAAAGTCAACTCTAGTTTTCTTTCTTTTAACTACGTACATGAAATCAGAAAAGAAAAACAAACACCGGTTAAGAACTAAGTAAGCGATTGTTCAGCTGGTATAGCATATTGATTTTTATTTACGTTATTGAATCGATTTGTTCGTTTTTGATAGACGTGACGTACGTATGCATGGCACGTAAGCACGAGAAATACCAATGTAACTAATGCGACAATAAATGAGACCGTAACCCAGCTGATGTACTGTTGTTTGCCTATTGGTTTTTCACGAAATTCAGCCGGAATGTAATTCGTTTGATTAATCATATAGCCAAGTGTCCATCCCACTTTACCTGTTGGAAATTTGTTCGCAAAACTTAACCGTTTTAAATCTTCTTCCTTGAAACCAATTGCATATGTGAGTAGAAGCCATGTGTACCATGCATCAAAACATAAGGCACGCTTATGTACTTCATTATGTGACGTCATTGATTCTTGCTCGTATAATGCTGGATAAGGAGTTTCACACTAGACGAAAGCGAACCGATTGAAAATGAATAGTAATCGATTGATTCAATGTCTTTTATCTTACCACATTCACTAAGCGTTTAGATATTTCCTCCGCAGAGAAATCTTTTAATCTATATCGTTCTTTGGTTATTCCCGGTGACGGCGACATGCCTAAAAGATGTCGAAGAAAAATTCAAGATTTATTTTTGTTGATAGAACTAGTTTTGTTTCATATACCATGAGCTAAATTATTGAATACATAGTAGTAACCCGACAGACCAATGAAATGAATCTTTGATGGTAACGTTGGTTGAAATGTATGATCAAACGTGCAGTAGTCTTTTTTAAATGAACAATTCACTGTTTTGTCATTACGTTTTGCATCGAATAAATTAATCAGACGTTGACGGCAAAGACTGGCATTACCCGATCCAACAAATGTTAATGACGAGATATTGAGATTTGGATTGAATTTTTGCTGTTCATTCAGTGTACATGGTGAGCCGAAGACTTTCGAAATTGGTATAGTATCGTTCGCACCACGAGCTAAGCATGGGTCACGTATAAGAATTCGCGTCGAAGAAGGCAAATAGGTTCGATTAACATTAATAGCCGCATTAACTAGACGAGCACGATAGCGTCTTAACGCTTCGTTTTTACCCCAACACAAGTAACTATGAGCATAGGGGCTATAAATAGTATCGAATAGTGTTATATTCGTTGTAAATTCATCCGGAATTGGCTCATCGTCGATATTACGTACATCTAAGGAAGAAAAATGATAGAACGTGCAGAAAATTTGTTTTTTCTTTCTTTCAACTGACATGTAAATGTAACCTGTGTTGACGCACCACCAAGATCAAGTACTCCAACCATGTTTGGATCGAGTTCGTCGGGACTACCATACGGATTTAGTAGTTTCTGTTTTTCGTGACGATGTTTAAATTTTTCTAAGAGAATATTTGTTGTTATCCATCCGTCAATGGCTTCTTCCATTCCAGTCAGTATGCGCACCTATTATAAATCAAATTCAAGGTCATTTTTCATTGATATACGTCGAATAGTATTGAAAATAGAAACAGTCATCAAAATTTAATTGATTTTTGCAATGATATGTGTAAAGGATATTTCAATGCTCTAATAATTTTTCATTGAAATAGGATATTGAAAAGAAAATGTTCCCTGATGTTTTGCATGTTTCTATCCCGAGCCCTTTATCACAAGAACATGTCCTATCAGGCTCGTCTGAAAGTAGTTGAATATGATTTGGATCATCGATTTGTGGATTCAAATCAATTTGAGGAACTTACTTGTCGTGCAGCAACGAATTGAAATGGATATCTTGAAAAAATATCGCGTATTGTTTCCATGATTAGACTTGAACGTGTTGCATTACGTAAGCGGGAGAGGCGCATGCCGGCAGTAGCACCAAGAAAAATTGGTGAAAATTTCTGACGATTCGAAGGAATTTTCGCTACAGCTTGTTCTAAACACGGTCGGAAATAATCGTGCAACAGATCGAGATTGTGTTCGAAATCAGATATAGCTTTCAGTTTATTCTTTTCACCCTTCTTCTTCGAATCATCAGTATTAATTGCAGCTAATCCACAAACGAAATATTCATTGACAGACGACGTTGTACCTAATCCATCGGATTTATCTGCTGGCCAGTGATACACAAACATTTCCGTATGTGAACTTCCAGCATCAAAAACAATGGCATAATTTGTAAATGGTATGACACGTGCACGATAAACAACTGTTAAATATATGACGATTAAGGCTGCAAATGTGAACAGAGTTACAGCTACTCCTTGTATGAAATGAATTATTGAACGAATACGTTGTTGGCGTTTTTGTTTCTGTCGTTGTTCATCCATAATTAATTGTTGTCAAGGATTAGATTTCCATGAAGAAAAAAAAAACGATTTTCTTTTCTCTCTGAAATACCAAGAGAAATTATACATATCCATCAAGTTGCATTGCATTCAAAACTGTCACTCTTATTGATAAATACTCGTTAATAATAACACGAAAAAAGACTTTACATTCATACGAAAATTTCATATGAGAAACTCACTCGACTGGTGTCTTTATTTAGAAATAATGATCGAAAGAAAATGGAAAAAGTTTACCTCAATCGACGAATACAACGTCATATAGAAGTTTAAAGTAAATAATAAACGTGATCAGTCATTCGCTGTGAAAGTAGGAAGACAGATATTGAAGGAAATCATAGCACAACTTTATTAATTCTAGAGCATCAGCAATTTCTCACTTTCTTTCTTAGTAATCTGATATAAAAATATAACTGATGACATGTATAGCATTTTTCTCCTCTTATCTTATATTCGTCTCTCTCTCTCTTTTTCTTTCTTTCTTTCTTTCTCTCTCTATTTCTTTTGTTTAGTCGATACATAACTAAGTTATTCCACTTAAAAATCAGGTGTACCCTTTAAAAATCGGTTTATATCATCGCAGTACTACAAAAATTGAATTAATAATTTCTGTTTACTTATATTTTGATATGATCGATATATTTTCAGACTGAATACGAAGTTATGTTTCTTTTTCTCGTTTCATTCTTTTCTTTTCTTTGCTTGTCATTATCGCTTACAACTTACTTCTGTTAAAAGCACAAGAGAAACCTTATCAATTCAGGTAGCAACACTTGTCTTCTCTCGATGTCCATTCGAATATTCTATTCTTCATATATGTTCGTCATCATAAAACTTGTTTTCGTATAAGAATCGTCCCATTCACTTTTCTATTATGTCTATATAACCATTGATAATTCTCTCTTCCGTCAGTAGATAAAATCAATCTCGAGAAAATCATGACGTAAAAGGAAATAGATTTAAAGTACTGTTGGCAACGATCAACACCATTAGGTGTTTTCATATCTCTCCTTTTCCGTATTTAATCACTATTAGCTGAAATGGAAAAGCATCTGCTCATTTTTCTTCCTTTTCTTTTCTCTGTTAAACGCACATTTCGCACACAAACGGAAGAAAACAAACGTCACAATAAAAATGACTGATAGAATAGTTAATTTCTGTTTTGTGAGCCTTCTCGAAAATGTCATTTCTCCTCAGTCGTACGCGTAAACAAAAGTATATCTCAAGATGGAATAAACATATGCGAGTTTTATATAGTTCAGATATCAGCGTCTGAAAATGAAGAATCATTATCATCATTATCGAATAAACAATCATATTCTCACGTATTCCTGTGATATTTATTGGGCTCTCGAGAAAGGATGTGTCAGCGGTGGTAAAGATCCTGATAGTTGATTGACATGGGACATTGGTGGTTATTAAGCTTGTCAATAAATAGAATTGCAATTAAAGTCAACGAGCCGGCTTGTCATCATTTGCAACATTCTCTTTATTAATTGCTTGGGATATTAAGAAACTATTAAACAAGACGAATCCTTATTGACTATTGATAGGAATGTTATATTTCCAAACAAGATATTGTTTAGATAGAGAAGATAATCGATTTAGGTTGTTTTTCTAGACTAAAACAAGAAGTTTCTCTCGGTCCTTTTCCTAGTCAATCACCTTGTCAAATGGTTTCCTATTCACATTCGGACAAAGAAAATCTGCTTGTAAGTGTATGCTAAAACGATTATGTCAAGATTATCGATCGGCTTCCTGGTTATTTCAATAAACATCGCATCCGACTCAATATATATAATTAGAATAATGTCGACGTTTAATTGACGCTGATCATCAACCAAGCAAAGTCATCAAAAATTGAAATAAATATAGAAACTAAACGAGAAAAACACGCCTCGATTATATCCTTAGCGGCTGTGCAAATATTTCTTTGAATGTCAGACAAAAGTGCACTCATTACAAAGATATACGATTGATGAATATTAGTAATCAACTAATATGCAGTATAAAATCTAGGGTTCGCAGATCGACATGATAGCTGAGATAAAAGTTAGACAAAGAACAAGAAATGTAAGCAAGTAAACATTGCAAAATGTGTACTCTCTTTTATGACAAATCCAACACCTCGAAATATTTCATGCTTAACTAAAAACTAGTTACTGGAAAAACTGACACTTTCTACATATGAACAAATGATACATATCAAATGTTATATCTTCCATGTTCGGAATTCTATCTAATAGAAAGATTCCTTTCATCAAGATGATATATTGATATGTCATCATAGATAGAAATATATCACAAGCTCACTATTATATGTCATTGTCTCAAACATTAATCAGGAGTAACATATTGATACAGATCATTAAGATACAAATGTCAAAATTTAAGCACCCCATATGGTTTATAATTGTTCTCATCTAAGAAAATATTCCTTTTCGATGGAATGTTTTCTCGGTTTGTCAGTAAATTCGATACAACTGACCGTTTCATGCTTGACGAAATGAATAAATTCTTTCTCAGAAAAGACAAAGATCTGTTCCCAATCCTATGAGACATAACAAGCGTGTTGGAGTACTAAAACATACCCTAGTAACAAATGATCTGATGAAATGTTAATCTATTGATAACTTACGGTCTACGCTAATCGATTCTGACGGATAGAAACCGACGACTAATGACGTGAAGGTATTCTGAAAGAAATCAAATGTTTCACGATGTACTAAAACGATCGACACTTTTACCTTTTTAATCAGTACAAACGAGGCTCAACTAAAAAGACAATTCACATATATATATGTGTGTGGTTTGAAGGCAAATATAAATATATATACACTAACAACTGAAGACGTTAAATGTTTCATTTAATCAATATTTGCCATTGAAAACATATGAAATAAAATATGAATTTTAAAGACTTCTATTAACTATCTATACTGAAAAGAAAAGAAAAAGAATAATATTGATTATGTTTTAAATATTTATTAAACACGACATAAGATTTTGAAGGTGAAGAATTAATTAGTCATTAGTCTAGTTTTAAGCATAAATCCTGTATTAAAAGGGGGGAAGCGGTCGAGCTGGTTGGACAAAATATTCAAACTCAGTATTTTACTGGTATATTTTATGTCTATGCCATAGCGTAAGAAAAATACAGAATGAAATACTTTAATTGCATACGAATACGTGCTAAAAGTCGGAGTTCCCGTTACAGGAAGTATCCCCCATCGATTTCGGTAATGAAAGCTCATCCATTTGTCAATTTCAATTCTTACCTGTCATCTATCAACCGTCGAACCAGTAAATGGAAAGTACCGTTGTGTCAAAGCTAAAGTTTTCCTTCAGAAAAGAGAAAACTCCAACAAATTTATCGAATTGATTAACTATAATTCGATTTCTAATTTCAAAAATCAAAGCAAAGTCAAACTGATTTCTATCTCATATTATCAATAACAAACTAGTATTTAGTATGAGATAGTCACTGTGATTTTATCTATTAATCACCTGAAAACACTCCCTCTGTCAACATACTTAGATTGATCCAATCAAAAGTATCTATTGTACGAAAACAGATAAGTTGATTTGATTTATTTCACTAAGCATGTGATGGAGTACGTGTCTCATATATCGATATGACGAACCATTCAAGCGTTGTAAGCAGCCTTGTGTGACTATGTTGTCGAAAGTGTTTTCAATTTGAAAACAATAATAATAAAATAACGATACTCATTATAATATTTCTTCTAGAGCACGAAAGAAAAAAACTCAATTGAAGAAATGTTTAAAGAAAAAGCACCCTTGTGAGTCAATATTTGATGAAATAGGTTTGAGCGTTGTTCTCTTCTACATACGTGTATAGATACGTCGAATTGAATTAGAAAAACAAAAAGCTATTGAACCGACTATAAATTGGTCTAGTATCATAGAGAATACTTGATCATGAATGACAAAGCAACCTACAATACTAATGCCATATAAATTCGGCCTTGTGTTAAATAAATTTTGACTTTATAATCGTACAATAAATATTATTTTTGAAGTTAACATAGCATTTCTTTTGCTTCACCGTTTTTCAATAGCGAATCTTGTCAATGTTTAACCAAATCTTATTTGACTCATAGAGCCAAAATCAAATACCATTCATATCTTTATTATACTTTACTTACTTCCTATACGCTAAACAATTGATTTATTATTGTGGTGTTAACATTTCATATCCAAGTTAAAACGCTCTCCAACGTTTTTTTTTTATTACCAGCGAAAAATCTGAAGGTTAAAATCTGCTCGTACATTTGTCTATCTGATTTCTAACTGATACAATTCGATCAGTTGATCCCGAGAGAATCATTAGGAAAAATAAATAATGACACTTTCATTCGATTGACTAGCGTACGTCAAGAAGGAAAAGTATAGTTATGATGCTGTCACGAAGTCAGAGACATTAACGTGATAATGAAAAGATCGATTCTTATCTAAAAATAACGAGTTTGTTTTCGTACAAAACACTTGGATTAACGCGACACGTTAATAATGTGCAGTTGAAGCACACGTACTCAAAATCTTTCTTTTACTTTTTCTCCGCGTCGAGCCAACGATTGATTGTTGGCTTATCACCTGGATTCAGGTCGTTGTGTCTAAGTACTATAGAAATCATGAGATTCCGTCGTGTGAATAAGTATTTCTTGTTAGTTAATAAGAGCAAAGAACGAGAACAAGAATTTCGAAGACTATCATATAGAGACCTCTATTGAAACAAATATATTTCACGTTTATATATGTATGAAAGGTCACCATTCGGTTGACCATGCATATTGAAAGTTGGTAAAAGATTCTCTTTGATGAAAAAAAATAAATTTAAGACGAATTGTTTGATAGGTGATGAATCATTATCTCCAAACTTTTCTTTTCATATTTATTTGTTCTGTTGTCGATGATTCTTTCTTTTTTTTTTCCGTGCCTCCTCCTACATTCTTTGCCACGTCTCATCATATTTTTCGATATATTCTGCTTTTCGAATGAACATCAAATTTCATCGAGTACATTTTGCAAACTTTTCTAGATTTGTATTGAAAAGCGTCATTATTCAAAAATGGGTTTAACAATATCTTCACTATTTCAACAATTATTTGGCAAAAAACAAATGCGTATTTTGATGGTTGGTCTCGATGCGGCTGGTTAGTTTTCATATCGTCTTTCTTGAAACAAAACAAACATATCGTTTGCTTTTATTCGTCTAGGTAAAACAACCATTCTCTATAAATTGAAACTAGGCGAAATCGTCACAACAATTCCAACAATCGGTTTGTTCAAGACGAATTTAAGGTGAAATACTGAATAATTTTGTGTTCTCGTCTCCATAGGTTTCAATGTCGAAACCGTTGAATACAAAAATATCAGTTTCACGGTTTGGGATGTTGGTGGTCAAGTAAGAACACTCAACTTTGCTTGTAACTATTCTTGTGCTCGTGTTTAGGACAAAATTCGTCCATTATGGAGACACTATTTTCAAAATACTCAAGGTATAGCCGAATGACGAAACGTAAATAAATCTATTTGTATTTCGTCTAGGTCTTATTTTCGTTGTTGATAGCAATGATCGTGAACGTGTTGGTGAAGCACGTGAAGAACTTCAACGAATGCTTTCCGAAGACGAACTGCGAGAAGCTGTTTTACTTATTTTCGCTAACAAACAGGTAAATTTCATTCGCATCCGACTACATCTTCATTCATTGTTCATCTCACTGTAGGATTTACCAAATGCCATGAACGCAGCTGAAATCACAGATAAATTAGGTCTTCATTCACTACGCAATCGCAATTGGTACATTCAAGCCACATGTGCTACAAGTGGCGATGGTCTCTACGAAGGTTTAGATTGGTTATCGAATCAATTGAAAAATGTGAAATAAACAGTGCAAGTGAACAAATGCGAAATTTACCAATAAGAAAAACAATGTGCACCGTACATATATACATATTCCATGAATTTTTTTTTTGTTCATTTCTTTTTCGCTCTCACGTCTCTTGTGTTTGTTGTTTTATCCCAATAAAGAGGAAAATGAATCATCACAGAGGAGAGAACTCTATACATATATCATATCCTTGCTTAACTGAAGTTTATTTGTTTTTTTTTTATTTCTGTAAACTTAAACTCCTATTAACTTTGACCTGTTTGGTTGTTTTTATTTATCTGCGTTACACATCTTTCATTTCATTGTCTTAATTGTTAACTCGAGAGAACAATAAAGAAAACATACCATCTTTTCTTTTCTTTTCTTTTCTTTTTCGAGATATGTCCACATCAGGTGATCACAAATTTGATGTTTGCGTTGTTGGCAGTTGTAATGTTGATTTAATCAGGTAAAGAACACTTGTTGTCTTTGATTATGCCAATCTTTCGTATTCTTGGCAAGTTATGTGAATCGTACACCGAAAATTGGTGAAACAATTGAAGGAAATAAATTTGAGAAAGGTTTTGGCGGCAAAGGTGCTAATCAATGTGTACAAGCAGCGAAACTAGATGGTAAAGTTGCCATGATAGCCAAGGTAAGATTTTGAGTGGGTTATGAATCAATTTCTATTATGTTTTGCTGATGCAGCTTGGTGATGATGTCTTCGGTCAAGATTATCTGGAGAATTTGAAAAAATTAGGGGTCAACACAGGTAGATCATGATGGATTTTCTTTTGTATTTGACGCTGAGCTTGTATAGATCATGTTCTGGTTACGAAGGAGGCAGCGACTGGTGTTGCTCCAATTATTGTTGATAAAGAAGGTTGGTTGGTTTGTCTTGTAGCTTTGATTTTCATCTATTCGTGTCTATCAGGTCGAAATTCGATCATTGTCATTCTCGGTGCTAATTTGTTATTGAATGAAGATGATATTCAAAAAGCGGAAGATGTTATTCGTCAATCGAAAGTTGTCGTTTGTCAATTAGAAATTCGGCAAGAAACTGTAGCGAAAACATTCGAAATAGCACGGAAACATTCTGGTACGACTGTCTATTAAACTAAAGATAAGAAATCATTTTGTTTCTATTCCGTGTCCGTAGTTTTAACAATTCTAAATCCAGCACCAATGTCGGAGAAGCTCGATCGTAATTTACTGAAAATGGCTGACGTCATTTGTCCCAATCAAACCGAAGTAAGACCGAATAGAAGAGAAGTTCTATGTGTTAAATATTTTCCTTTGTTTCAGGCAGAAATTTTGTGTGATCGATCGGTGGAGACCATTGAAGATGCTAAAGATGCTTGTAAAAAATTATTAGAATTAGGCAGTCGAATCGCAATTATCACCATGGGTGAACAAGGTGCTGTAATCTTAGATGAAAGTGGTCAATGTGAACATGTGAAGATTGAGAAATGTTCATCAGTATGCGATTCAACAGGTGCTGGTGATTCGTTTGTTGGAACTTTAGCCTTACTAATGGCAAGTGAGAAGAAATTAACATTGAAAGAACAAGTTAAACGTGCATGCCGTGTAGCAAGTCAATCCGTTGAGAAGAAAGGAACACAAACAAGTTATCCCTCAAAAGATGAACTTCGATTTAATCTATTCGAGTGACACTTTTTCGTTTTAAATATACATGATTCTTCACGTAATGATAGTGATTTTTCTGTAATTGTTGCTTTTATCACGAACAGTGTCGATAGTATAGAGTTCTTCTATGAATAGAAGTATGATTCTATTTGCAATGCTACATTGAACAAAACGAATCAAGGTCGTATTATTTCTGATTTATTTTCTGCTTGAAAACAATCAGAAATCCCGCGAGAAACGACAGCTTTGTATTGTATCAGCTAATTGCATTAACAAATAATCGAATTCATGATGATCTATGTCACAGTAAACCTTAAGCCTTCTGGTGCGCAAACTCAAATCAATAATTGTTCTGTTGTAACAATCTTAACTTGAGATATAACATCAACGTCATTTGCTAGAAAGGATAATAAACCTTTTCCTCATATCGCAAAGAAAACAACAAGGTAAGTTAATCCTCAATGAGAGGATAAATATAAAACCAGATGTCAGTCAGAAAAATACATCACTTTGTTTTTTTCTAGTCATCGAAAAAGATTTTTCTCTGAGATAGAATCGTATAGTTATCGACAAATCTCGTTCTTTTCCTACTTCAGTAACAAATGCTACGAGTGCGACATCTGAAGTCATTCATCTTCATTTTTTACCAATGATATTCCCGAAGTACTTAGGCTGATGTCGTACGTAAATAAACAAAGTTGTTCGTACATAACAGAATTTCTATTATTCTTGAAAAGAAAAAAAAAGAAAACTTGACATGTTTTGTACACGAGATGATTGATGATTCACGATTTTCAATTTGCCGAATCACACAGAGAAAAACCCGTTGGTAGAATCGATTCTTATCGTTTACTCTTTTTTTTTCAGTTACGATGCTATTCGAAGGTCCTCTTAGTAAATGGACAAATGTCATCCAAGGTTGGCAATATCGGTTCTTTGTTTTGGACCCTACTCAAGGAATGCTTATTTACTATACGGTAATAATCAAGTCGAAATGAAATCGAGATAATAAGTAATATGAATTTTGCTTCTAGTCGAAAGATAACATGGTCAAGGGTGAACGACGTGGTGTGGTTTTATTGAGAGTAAGGAGTATAATAATGTTTTGTGAGTTATTCATATGAAATTTTCTTTCTAGGGAGCTTATTTAGGGATCGATTCGGAAGACGATAGTACAGTAAGATTTGTTTATAAAGTTAGATTTGAAAGTTTCTTTTGATGATTCTGCGTTTAGTTTACCATTCGATCTCATGGTAAAACATTCCATTTTCAAGGTAAATAAATTTTATAGTAAATCTCTTACATGAATCCCATCGCGGAGAACCGTCTCTACAAATATACAACGAATATGATGATTTAGCTCGCGACGCTGAAGAAAGACAAAAGTGGATATCAAATTTAGAAGAAGCAATTAGTCTGAATAGTGTTAATACTGTAGGTTGGAATCATTTGAGAAAGATTTTGTTGAAAATTATGCTTTAATAGGATAAACTATCTGTTTCGAGTACATCATTATTTGAACGCAAAATAGCGGAAGCAGATGCGTACCTACAATTATTAATTGACCAGGTTAATGTAAGAATACGACGTTCTAAATATGTCAACGATGATATTCTCTTGTTTGTTTTTCTCATTTAGGCACTTGAACAAAAAAGCGACCAAGAACAAGATGTTAAAGAACAAGAGTCTTGCAAACGTGTTGTTACTTCCGCAAAAGTAAATGAGAGATTAAAGGAAAGGCATTATTTATTAGCTTATTTATTTTCTAGAGGTTAATCGAAGCGGTGAAATATTCCATTGTTTCATTACAACTAGCTAAAGTAAGAAAACTGTTCGTTTGTGAGAGATATTCCTTCATCTGTTGTAAAACGAAGCATTTTTGAATCGATTTCATAATGCGAGAAGCTTTTCACAGAGATGAAAATAGTGAATCAGCCTAAGCACATGTGAACTGAAGTAGGTTAGATCGAACGAGATTAAGTCGACTTAAAGTTCATATTAACATCACTTATAACTGTTAGTAGTAAGTTTGAATGTCATGAACTTTCGAGCACATTTTATATAATCATACAGAGGTAAACGCATTTCGATCATTCATGGAAGTTCTTACGAGAGAAAGCAAATGTCGAGTCTGCAGTGGCGCTACGATATTAGATCGTACTAACTAGTGAACACAGACGATCATTGATCACGAAATAGACGTGGAAATCATCATCAGTCTTCTTTCCAGGTACACATGGATCCACACAGTGATGTTAAGGCTGATGTAGACTATCAAGCTGTTCTATCACATATGAATATTCATAAAGGTAAAACGAGATTAAATTTCTTTCACATAAGCCTATTTGATTTGTTTCTTAGATAAAATTCTAAATAACAATGAAGCTTCATCTAGTGCTGTCCAATCAGGTGTTCGTGGTGGATCAACAGAAGATAATGACATTGATCGAACATCAATCGGATGTAAGATTTCCTTTGAATAATTGACTTTTAAACAATGTTCTCTTTTCGAATAGCTTTGGATTTCCGTACCGCTGTGAAAACTGTTCGCAAAAACTTTCCAGTTTCATCTTATTCCAGTAGTGATGACGATGATTTCTATGATGCTGACGAAGCGATGGAGTAAGACACTTGCATAGAATTTCATTTTCCAATCAGAGTAAATCGCTATTGAAATCTGCTTTTTCTCTACCAGCCATATGCTTAAAAGTTCCGCAAAACCATCGACTAAATTATTCATTCTCTACCTGTCACATTGACTCTCGCAGATTTTCCTATTCTGCATGAGAGCCACAAGTTCTCATTCCGCTGTCCTGATGTGTAACAAATATTTTCCTGATTTTGTTTTTGATTTGAAACATAAAATCGGAACTATCATAATCTCGATGTCTTTGCTTAATCGGATGAATTGTGCAAAAAGAAAAGCGAATGTTATTTATTGTGCTAAAGAACTTTTTCTCGTTTGTTCGTAGTTCTCTTCTCGTCATCATCTTTTCTTTCAAGTTTTAAACGACATAGAAATCAGACGTCGTTCATAGCGGAAGGAAAAAAGAATGTGCTGAAGACAACTTCAACTGATAACGGAGACGAGTTCAGAGGAAATAATGCAGACGTAATAAGATCGTTACTGCCGACTCGTTGCTAACATCTTTTTCTGTTCGATGATGACGAGTCGTTTTTCCTGTTGCTTTTCTTTCAGTTTTTCTTTCTTCTTTTGTTATGAAAATAGATTTCTCATAGATGAATGAATTTATTTATTTATTTAGTACACCAACAATATCACCCTCACCGACAACCAGTAATTTACAACGAACAGAGACAATTAATAAATCAAATAACGATGTTCTATCAAAAACAACTGATAACTCAACACTGCTATTACACAACACTGACAACAATACAATAAACAAGGGCAAAATGAATGATACCCAAGTGGATGGAGCAAAGTAAAACTAAATATACGAGTATTTGTAACCGTTTCTTGACTATTTCTTCTAGCCGTACAAGTAGTTCACAAATTCCATTTGAAATCTATGAAGCTGCCTATGAAGAAGAGCCCGAAGAAGAATGTAAGTGCTACTTGTTGCTTTCCAAGTAAAACAATAAAAACAACTTCCTGTTCTAGTGGCACCCATCGATGGCACGATTATTTCACATTTAATTTCTCAAGTAAGATGACTCACCTTCTTTTCTCAAGCATCTAAGTCGTGCTAGATGGATAAACTAGATAGGATATTATTTATGAGAAAAGAAATTATGTCTCCGATACGGAAAATATCATGTAATGAGAATTCATCGCACATCAATATTGATTATTATCTTAGGCACGTATTTCAATGGATTTAACCAAGATAACATTACCAACGTTTATTCTCGAACGTCGATCATTTTTGGAAATGTTAGCTGATTTTCTTGCTCATCCCGATCAATTTGTAAAGTATGTTAAAAGAGACGAAAGGATACCGGATGGATATTCTTGCGCTTAGTGTCGCAGATTACCATACACCACGTGATCGATTTTTGCAAGTTGTCAAATGGTATTTATCAGCATTTCATGCTGGTAGAAAGAGTCCCGTACCGAAAAAACCCTACAATCCCATTCTCGGTGAAACATTTCAGTGTTATTACGATATTGGCTCGTCATCAAATTCTGATGTTCGTAAACATAGTATCCTTTTCTTTCCTACTAGCCTATACCTATATATTATAGACGAAATTAGCAAAAGATGGACCCGTTCCTTGGACTTCTGATGATCAAGTGACATTCATTGCTGAACAAACTTCTCATCACCCTCCTAGTAATTAGAATTTTCTCAATTTGTCTATGAATATAGTTATCATTGTTTTAGTTGCTGCATTCTACGCTGAATGTCCATCGAAGCACATTCAAATTGATGGTTGTCTATGGACGAAATCGAAGTTTTTAGGTCTATCCGTAGCTGTACACATGATCGGAGATGCTACACTAACCTTATTGGATCACGATGAACGTTATGTGATGACATTTCCTAGCGCTTATGGCCGGTATGATAATCCAAAAGTCTTTTTCTAACCTACATTTTATAATCAGACTCAAGTAGAAGGTTACTATTTTCATACGAATCGAACCATAATTCACAGCGATAATTCCGACGAAGAAAGTTTGATGTTCATGAAGTATAATTATAATTAAAGATTCAGCGAAGCGAATTCTTATTAGTCAATACATTTTGGCAGCTATGAGTGTCTAATAGAGTTATATAAGCGAAGAGCTCTTGTTTGGAATAAAATTTTAATCGAGACATCGTCTTCAAGTTGCACCACTTTGCAGACAAACCACGGCATGAGAGAATTTTCGCAAACATTGAGTGCGCCAATGTTTTCTGCAGTTCAAGTACTCTTTTTTTTAGATCAATCCTCGGTGTACCTTGGTTTGAAATGGGTGGAAAAGTAACGATCGACTGCGAGAAAACCGGCTATTCCGCAAATATAGAATTTCTCACAAAAGTATGATTTCCATTCGTGTTTGCATTGATTACCTAATATTTTACCGATTTTGTTTCCAGCCGTTTTACAATGGTAAAAAGCATCAAATAACCGGAAGTTTACATGGACCGGATAAAAAAGAATTCTGCAAGATCGATGGAGAATGGAATGGCGTGATGTATGCCAAGTATAGTGATACGAAAGTTTCGGACATCTTTTTCGATACGAAGACGACGCCAGTTATAAAGAAAAACGTTCGACCTATTGCTGAGCAAGGTGAATTCGAAAGTCGACGGTATGACTGAGCTCGAAGAAAGAGTGTCATAATGAAAGTATTTGTTGGTATTTAGTTTGTGGAAAGATGTTACTTATTGTTTGAAATCGAAACAATTAGATAAAGCAACCGAATCGAAATCATTCCTCGAACAACGGCAGCGTGAAGGAGCAAAAGAACGCGCAGAAAAATCAATTAAATGGCAGACTAAAGTACCTGATGAAAAGAAATCTTTCAAACAAATGATTTCATTTTGTGTTTTCGTTTTAGTACTTTGTCGAATCAGGTGAACAAAAATGGTCGTATGAGAAAAAGTTAGCCAAACGATTGAAACAGCAATCATGATAATTCGATGATTTTTCTTTCTAAAAACTTTCGTTTTACTGTGCAAACATGTGTTTATTTCTTTGTCGTTCCTAATCACGCCCAGAATTTGTCATTTTTTATTTCGATTTTTATGTATACTACAACCGAGTGACATTGTAAATCATCTCACTCCGTCAGATTAGCCTTGTTATTCTTTCTTAATCTTTAAATGAAACACATATCTAAGCAAAATTCAAGTATTCATCTAGGTGCTAGTTCTACATAATCGTGTACAATCATTTCGTCTTTGTTTTTCATTCCGCATGACGATTCTCGAATTACTTATTTATACTTCTTAATCTATGTATTGTATATATTCACATCATTTAGATTATGTCGTCAGACGCGAAATCGGTTGCATCTGCTAAGCAAAGCAGTAAACCTTCATCGAGTACCGGACGACCACTATTGAAAAATTTAACTCGTGCACGTGTTCCGCGCGCTGGTTTATTTGGCATAAGTCTTGCTATAACAGGCGCTCTTCTCTGGAAGATTAATGTCTCGGATCGTCATAAACGCAATATTTCGTCATTCTACAAGTGAGTATTGGTTGCCTAAATGGAAATGTTAGACAAGAATTATCGCGAAGAAGAAAACCTATTAGGATTTGTGCGTTTTACTTTATCAGAACGTCTCAATGAATTAGAAAGACTTTTCTGATAATGAAATGTAGAATTTACGTCAGCTAGAAACGACAATAATCTTCTGTGTAAATGAAATGTCGTATGTATCCAGGATGCATAACTTTTCCGTATCAAATTCCTTCTATTCATCGCGAGCTTTTTTTTACGAAGTTAATTGTTCGCGTCTAGAATTCATACATTATTAATCAATGTATTATTTACTCGACATACAATTAGACATTAATCAGTTTGTTTCTTTTTTGTTTCCTTCAAGAGATTTTGATCCGGAACGTGATTACGCTCGAATGAAAGCTTCTGGTGTATTCAAAAGTCTTGGTATGGATTGTGATCTTTGATAAACAATGTGATATAATGTCGAAATTTCTTTTTTTCAGAAGGCCAAGAACGACCAGCATGGCTTCATGAATACGAAGCCGAACTTGATAAGGCTATCTCTACTCTACGTACATCCGTCATCCGTAAATGGTGATTCAAATGAAACAAATATTTCTTTCATCTGAATTCACACATTTCTCTATTCTAGATCCGTGAAAATTCCTGATCAACCACAAATTCCTCAACTAAAATTCTTAACCTACAATCACCAGAATAGTCATAGAATGAACAAACAAAAGACTCTCCTTTTTCTTTTGTATGTCTCAATGCCTCTAGTCTCATGAACCCTGTTCTTTTGTCTAATAAATGATCCGACTTTGAATTCATTAAATTTCTTCGCTTGATGAATATCATTGTGAACATTAACAATATCAACTCCAAACGTTATCTTTCAAGAACAAAACATAAAGATCGAAGATTTTCTTTTCTTCTTCTCAGCCATTAAAAATAAAACAGGCAATGTTGCAGTAACAACAACAACAACAGTTACAGAGCATCAATTTGAAAAAAGTCGAGAATGAGAGAAAGAAGAAGGCGGACGACAAGCTTCTAGCCACATCCAATATTGAAAATGCAAATTCTTCTTGCATCGTTCTTTTTTTTTTCTTTTTTTTTATCGACGCCATTACAAACATTGGATTGGAAGGATAGCAACCGTAATCTGACTCCAAACATCATCCGCCGTGTCTACATATCTGCTTTGCTTAATTAATCCATCTCGTCTCTCTCTCTCTCTTTCTGCGTTATTTTTCTTCTCTCTTTCTCTCGAACATTTGTGTGAAGAAAAAGAGTGCTTTAACGAGTTGACGGTTCGCTTATTTAATCTCACATTCAACACCTTATTCTTAACGTTTCTATCGTTTCAATAATGGTGAGATTTTTGAACAATTGAAATGTAATTAACTGAAGATGTTTTCTTTAGAGCACATTTTCTGCATCCAAAACTGAAGGTAGAAAAGAAGAATATTGAAGTAAAAAAAAAGGTGCGACAATGTCTTTATTTCTTCAGAATTTCGCCATGTATTCGAATTATTCGACAAAAATGGAGATGGAAGTATCGATGCCAACGAGATCGGGTAAGAAGTGTCAAATTAGCAATATATGTATCTCAATGTTTTTATGAATATTTAACATCATGAATAAGCAATTGGAATAATCTTTTGAAGATTAGAACATTTTCCGGATGGAAAAGTGAAATCATTTTTGTTAGGAGGCGATGACGAGATGTTCTTCATGACATTTTGACTGGGTCAAGGTATCACGAGTCAACAATAAGAACGGTTTTTTTTGGTTTGTTTAGACAAGTCATGCGATCATTGGGAATGAATCCGACAAATAAAGAAATTGCTGATCTGATTGCCGAAGTGGATAAAAATGGTATGTAGGGAATCGACGAGTGAACTGCCATTGAGAGATTTGTATTTTTAGGTAATCAACGATTAGATTTTCAAGAATTTGTCAGTTTCATGAGTAAACACTGGCATGAACGTGATCAGGAACAAGAACTACGCGAAGCTTTTCGACTTTTCGATCGAGATAATTCGGGATTTATAACAATCAATGAACTAAAACAGGTTTGTGTTCATTCCTATGTAAAAATCATTTCTCTTACCATATGTTCTTATGTTTCAAGGTCATGTTAAACATGGGTGAAAAGCTCAATCAAGAAGAGTTGGAAGATATGATGAGAGAGGTATGTTGACAAATATCATCATCCTACACATTTCTATTTCATTCTGTGCTGTAGGCTGATGTCAATCGCGATGGCAAACTTGATTATCAAGGTACGAAGCTAATCTTTTGTGAAAAATTAAATTTATATTTTGACTTTCTTCTAGAATTCGTGCAAAAACTACTTTCAACATAAGAAATGATGATTACGTTCAATCTTTGAACTATATTCCATATAGACTATATATATACACTTCTTCGTATTCATTTTATTCATCTCTTATCGACTTATTGAAGAAAAAATAAATATAAACTATTCATGAGATAGATTTCCGTACACCTTGTACACGAAATAACATTTTATTGAAGTGAAAAAATACGAATTTGTTTTACTATTCTCGCACATATACAATTCATTGTAGTATTTAAGAAGATGATTGCGCGTGAAATGGAAGCTTAATTACAATATAATCTATTCAATTGTGTAGATTGAGATTTAGCATATCGAACGCTGTAAAGTAAATATTCGAAGTGTGACTGTTTGTGAACTCAGTTCCTGAACGATTAATTTGTCGTGTTCATGCATAATCCTTAGTTGATTTTGTTTGTTGTGCTTTTTGAATTTAATATCCTGTCGAGATTGACCCGTCGGATGTTCGATGAGACGTATGATTGCTGTTTCAGATGATTCAGACTCGAAAAGTAATGTTAAAATATTGTTATAATTATCAAAATAATGATCAGTTAAAACACTCGATGATAAATCAATGAATTTCTGTGGTGTCGTTGGCCGACCATAGCGTGTCATATGTCGATCGTTTGATGATCCTAAATTTCTCATTCCATCATCAATTGCGTATAGAAGATTAACTGTCGTGATTTCACCATGTGTTAATTGCCAAACATTTACAGATGATTCTCGAATATCAATAATGCAATCTTGATGGTGACTCGTGTCAATAAAGTAGACTTGACTGTTCGGTGATAAATTATCCGTCCAAGAACGCTTCAGATGCCCATTGGAAACAGGTGTCGAGTCATGATTGATATGTAAAACAAAATAATCTTCATTGATGCGTGTAAGAAAGTGCTGTGTACTGCAAAAAGCGTATTCAAACAGTGGACGTTCACAGTTGAATGTGAACAAACATGGTGGACAAGAATTGATATCGACATTGATTGGTAGAAGTTCATTTGGATGATCAAATAAGAAATGTGATTTGATTGTATATTTATCAAGGATAGCATTCAAGGAGTAGAGATTGCAACTAAATGAATGAAATGAGAAGAGGAGAATAGAGGACAGTTCATTTTACCTATTTCGTTGACTTTGTACGATCAATAGTTCGTGTGTAATTGTCGCTTGTTTGAGATCAGCACCGAAGACGTGTGGTTCAACTAAGAAGACATAACTTAGCCAGCGCGGCCACATTCGCAATATAATGAACAAATGTGAGCGTTGTTTGTGCTTGGTGTGGATGGATATCATATGATTTTGTTCATGATAGTCGAATGATTTTTCAAGAAATTTCACGGGAAATTCACATTGGAAACATATGCCAGATGTTGGCATACATGATTTGAGTTTATAATCATACAGAAATAAACGTTGATCAGCTGTCATCAAGATAAATCCGTCTTGTTTGGCAAAATTGCGTTTTTCAAAATGACTATACGTACACATTCCAATGAAAACGATTTTAACTGTACATATATCTTCTCCGAGAAGAACTAGACGAGATGTATCAATGATATAAAGACGCAGAGCATTCAATTGTAATGTTAACATATAACGACCAAGAATAAACGTCGATTTGTTTGATAATAGTTGATGTGCTGAGATATGGTCAGATTCTTGGAACCGGCATGAATAATTGGATTTCAATAAACGTCGAAGACATATTTCGTTAATTGCTCTTGCTGTTGATATTGAGCAATAGGGTCGTAGGTGATACAAACATGAATACAATGGCAGACGTTCAATATGAACATCTGGCCGACGACTTATTAGACCGCGAATCTGATTTGCACGAGACGATGGCATAATCTGAAAAGAAAACGAATTAGAATATACACTAGAAAAATACTCGGGATTGATATATTTATGTATATATTTGTTTACATATTAAAAGTAAGTCTAAAACAAAAATATTACGAAAGTATCACATTATTCATTCGGAATTTGCAACATCATAATTTAATCAGTGACGTCTGGCACTGGTGAAATAATTGATCGATTTCGATTACCATACAATCGAAGGCGACGTTGTCGAATTTCTAAAAAGAAGAAATATTTTATGGAAAACTTTTGGAAAATTTGCAGCTATGCGGTTATATATCAGACTGATGCTCGCTTTTCTGGTCAAGGCATGAGAAAGAAGATCTTGAGTGCGATTAAGATACTCATTGGGCAAGAAGTGTTTCAATTCAGAAATACACTGAAGAATTACCTTCGATAGTGAGCGCTTGCATAACATCGGGATCTACGATTGGTGATAGAAGCTGAGGTGTATCATGTTCTAATGCGTTATCTTTTGAAACTACTGATGATTGAAGCTCTGCGTTTCCTGATGGTTGTGGGTCTGTGTTATTCAAAGGCAGGAAATTTGGTATGGACGGCTCTTCTACAGGTGCACCATTTGATTCTATGGAATTTTCAGCGTTTACTATTGTAGACGATGATGGTGAACTATTAGTTGTTGTTGATTCTGATGGATTCATATCATTGTGTTGAGCTGATTGTATGTCATTCGAAGGTAACGGAGGTATATCATCGATCAGTGGTGGTACCGGCGAGTTTTCTTCTGACATTAGTTTAGTATCAGCTGGTGCTGGTAGTGGTATGGGTTCGGACTTCTTTTCAGACTTATTTTTGTTAGAATGTGCATCTGCTAAACTAGCAGCAATACCAGTGGCCAACAATGTTTCGTTGACGTATTCTGCGCGTGCTTTATAGAGAGAATTCATTTTGTCTGCTATAGCCGTCATGTCCTTTATATCTTCTATTTCCTGCTGCAACATAAGAGTCTTTCGAAGGAGTTCGGCCCTAGTTTCCAAGCGATCGTCTGCATTTTGTAATTCCTCTTCATCGAAAAGATCGTCGTCCATACGATTATTTCGCATCGATGAAGCATTTATAAGAAGTATACTGGTCGTGAAGTATTGGCGTTGAAGTGATTGGTCTGCATCGTTCGGATCGACTTCATCATAGCTGTAGTTTGTGATTTGTTGAGCCATTATCGCTGATTTTGGCACTGGTTTTTCGAAATCATCAGACTTTTTCGTCGTCGGGGATGCACTCGAACCATTTGCTTTCGAACGACAGTTGGGACAGTTACAATGTCCCGTGCTAAGTCTTTCAACAATCAAACTCTTCGACATTCCTACAAATATCAAAACTTGGTAAGAAATTAAACTTGTGCACGTGTGCATAACCTTCCGGTACGACAACGTCTTCGATAGTTAGACCGCTGGGGAGATATTTATTAAACTTTCTTTTCACTTCTGGATCGTTTGGATTCCGTCGATATTCATCAAGTAAAGTTCTAGGTACCATTATCGGTCTGTTATCTATGAAACCGTCAGCATTTTTCAAGTTTTTATCCATGACTAACATTGGTAAATCTTTCGTTAAAAGCTCATATTGTTGCGCACTAATAGGATTCTCTTCAAGTTGTCTATCGGCTAAGCACACCGGTAATGTTCCAGCTACAATAAATACCGAATAGCCGTTGTCTTGAATGATATTTAAATATTTTGGTAGCGTTTGTCTCGTAAATATATGTGGAACATAGTAAATAGAATTTAAATCGAAATAGTGAGAACCAAATCGTCGTATGGAAAACCAGTGTGAGCCTAAGTTGCATACAAAAGCTTGAACACATGTAGGATTCTGACGCGCTCTTTTGGCAATTTCATCTTGACTTGCGAATGATATTAATTCTATGTCGAACATCTTCAATGCAATCTGTAACACTTGAATGTTATAGAATCCAGTGTCTAATGAATATGAAAAATCTTCATGATGATAGAGGAGAACAATCTTTTTTAAACATACCGTCGACATTTTCCGATTCGCATGGTTTGTGATATAAGACGCGCTTTTCGTCCACGTCGAGTTCTCTAAGTGAGAAAAGACTGGTTGCTAAAGATGAATCCGAATGATTCTACATACCGAGCGATGTCTGCCAGTGCATCAGCAGTAAAAAATGAGCTTTGTAGAAGATTGTTCAACGCATGTTGACCACACAGAAAACCATCTTGATGTTCATGATATATACCCGTCCGCGCCTTTACTTTTTCCATCTACAAGAAAACAAAACAAAGGAATTTTTCAAAATGAGATTCATTTAAAAGAAAAAGAGAAATTTGATTTATTAATTATTTAATGAACGCGGAATCGACGATGATCGATTGATACTAGAATAAAAAGCAATACTTCGATTTAGAAGATAAATATTCAGAAAAACGATGGAAACGAACCTTTTCATTTGTTGAACTGGACGTTTCGGATTTTGTGTAGCGCTACGAACGCCTGCAACATCTGACCCGGACGATTGATTCTGACCTGTGGAATTCTGTTGGCTGATTGTTTTGGAATTTCTAACCACAATGAGAAAAAAAACAAGATTTACGACGTATTGAACTAGAAACCAACTTTGTTGCGGAATGCGCATTCGCTTGAAATGCTTTCTCAGCATTGAATGGAACAACCGTAGTCAATGAAATATCCTCATTTACAGGAGAAATCAATAGCGAAGGTGTAATTGTATAATACCAATGTAGAACGTAAGGCGGGATACCAATATCAGTATATTTATATTGCCAATAGGGTAAACCACAATGAAGAAGAAGTAAACGATAATAGTCGGTGAATGTTGCGGCAATTTTATGAAAATGTAGGGAACGATCCAGAAACCAAATGCTCACTTCATGATGCTAGAAAACAAGGGAAAAAAACTATTGACAAAGCTTCGGATATTTTGTACATACTGGATTGTATACGAGACAAACACGGCCTTGTCCATCACATGGATCAAGTTCAAATATATGCCACGATTGTGAATTAAATCGAGGTGAATCTGAAAGCAATGGTTACGAATGAGAGAAGTTCTTTCGTAAGTCAATTTTGCATTACTATTTTCCGCAAAGTCATTCAATTCATCAACGGCCATCTGTTTCGATCCAGATAATACTATTTTATTCAAGTCATTCAACGAATTGATATACATTTTGCCAATAAATGTCGTTTGTAATTCTAAATTCCAGACAAATTTTCCAAGACATTTCTATAGAATAGAACTACTTGTATTCTCAGTTTTAAATGACCATCGTATTTCTAAGCCATCTGATATTGTATAAAATCTTTTCATATCTCCTGGTAATTCGCATGAGGTTTTCTATAAGAAAAATAGAAACTTTCACGTTCAGACATTACGTCTGCTATTAAATCTCACCTCTTCCCATTGAACAAATGCATCAGATGTGCATGTTTTTTTGTCTTTGACATGAACTCGATCAATATCAGCCCGTTTTTCTAAATCAAACGTTTCTTAATCATACAGGTCGGCAGGAAAAGTTTATACCTAAATAATTAATGACTGCAGTCGTTGCAGAATCCATACATTATCTTAAAGAAGAATGGAACTCATCTAAAAAGAGATATGTTCTACTTAAACAAAAATTAATGGCTAGGGAAATGCAAACAAACAAAAACGATAAGCTCATTTCATTTGTATTGAATCTTTTTGTTTACTTTGATAATGACTCATCTGCTCGAGAACTTCAGTTTCGCGTCGAAGACGTTCACGTTCTTTCAATTGTGAAACTAGTTCATCCTAGAAAAAAAAATCGATGAACAGCAATTATGTTCACGCTGATCTGTTTACTCGCTCAGGATTCGGCGGCGGATGGTGTCGTTTTCGTGCTTCAATGACACGGTCTTTGAATAATTCAGGACGACTAAATAAAAACATTGCGGCTAGAGGAAAACTGATATAGCACGCCATGCCTGAGTGAAGAAGAGCATAGCATTGTTCGATAGCAAATTGATTCGGTCGACTTACGAAAAACTTCTAATTTCCAAGAACCCATATCTAGAACAATGAAATAAAATGAGCAGAATGACTTTGTTGGAAATTATTCTCTGTAACGTGCGCGTTTGGTTTTATTCAGAACGGAAGAAGAGAACGAAAAGAATGAGAAGTAAGTACGTTACGACAACAACAACGAGAAAAAGAATGAAACTGAGAAGTCATAGAAGAGTACCACTGCGAGAAAAGAAACGACAAAAATCAACGAATAAAAATGACTTGAAGTAAATGTTGAATTGTATTGCTTTGTATGGGAATTGCAGATTGTAATCTTCTGAAAAAAAACGAACAGAGATATCCATAATAAATAACATATGACGTGACGAACGACTGAATAAATAAATAAAGATATAGATATAGATATAGATAAATATATACGAAGCATAAATGACACATAACTTCCATAAAGAAAATCTGTTGTTACTCTGGTCATACTCTGCTGACTATCAATGTATAAATTTATACATGAAAATAGTTGAATGTGTGGGTTTATTTGGTTAAATCTTTCTTCTCATCCAGATCTCCACCGAAACTTAGACGTTCATCATGTGTCACACTTGATGGTAAAGTTCCTCCAGTAGCGCCGCGACTAAATTCATTATCATCATTGCCATTAAAGTTCATGGCGGATTTCGAGGGTGTTATTTTCGATTTAACGGCAGTAACACCTGAACCAAGAGTGTTCTCAAATGTCTTGAAAAAGGTTGAATCTAAATAGAAATCTTTTCGTGGTTAATTTCGTTCAATACCGAAGAATGATCTACTTTTCAACGTTCCGAGACGAGATTTCAATGTTGTATTGACCGTTTGAATAGCAGGAGCAATTTTATCCGTTGCCGCCTGTAATGTTTCGGCCGTTTTTTGATAAGCTGTTGTTGCTTTGATGTCATGAACAGTTTCATTCCAATCTTGTTTGAGATCATCGACAAATCCGACGCCCAATAAAGTTTTCAATTCACTTTCGCGTTTTAACTTCGCTCCAAGCACTTGACGTAAGGTGATGATTTCATCTTGCACTTTCAATAATTCTAAAGAAAATCATCGTGTGTTGCTTTGAGATGAAAGAGTATCGCGCAACGAACCTTGTCGATAATCCTCTTCTTGTTTTAAGCGATCGTCATCTCGAAAGTCAAAACGCGGTTGATTATTGTCGGTACTTGATGCACTCATTTCTTGATCATGATCGAATGGTTTGGGCATCTTAGTCGAGTGTTGATCATCCATTTCGTCGATCGAATGAAATAATCTAAAATAAAAAAAAATACAATATTAATCATTGAATCGTAAAGTCGGATAAATATTCATTAAAATTTTGAAATATCTGTAAATTAATCAGAAAAACAAAAACAGTAAATTTGTCAACTATGTTGTTTTTGATACAATTCGTAAGCACATGTAAGTTTTTCATGAGCAGTCGGACCATGTTGAAAACATTTCCATTTCCCTTCTAATTGAGTCATAATACGTTCATAGATTCGATCGATTCCATGACTGTCTGCATGATTAGGTAAGCCGAGCATAGCAGGTAAAGTGAGTCCTTTCAAAATTCTTTGTACAAGTCGTTCATCTTCAGCAGTATATTTATCACCGTTCATAGTGTAATAATTTGTTGATTGTTGCGTGTTCGATGTTGTACATTCGCCAGCGATCGATGTTAAACCGGTACCCATATCCCACAGTTTACTAATTAGTAACTGTTCGTCAATGCCATTTGATGTCATTAAACTATCGAGATTGAGCCGAGCATAGACAATTCCATGTGTTTCTAATTCACGTTTACATGTATGAGTTGCATAATCGATGCGATATTCGACAGGAGATTCAAGATAAATAATGAAATTCTCGAATAACGTATCCCTGCCATTATAATGATAAACATCGCCGAAATCTCGCCGAATGAATTGAACATATGGACATAATTGTTCGGAAACATGATAGGTTTCACCGTTTTGGTTGTCTATTGGACGGAGGATGTTTTTGTTTTGGAAATTGACATCAAGACTTGGAAATTCCTTTCGTAATTCATATTCAATTGTACTCATATGGTCTCGGTCTGTCCGAGGATGATATTGAAATTGAATACGAAAATCGAAAACATCATCAAAAGTTTTCAGGCGACGATATTTTGAGTTTCGTCGATCTCGAATATAATCTAAAACATTTCATAAGATCAGAAATCAGTCATCTCATGAAAGATAACAACACTCACCAATATTCGATGTTCTTTGAAAATCCTTCGAGAATTCCACAATCGAATAGTTATCAGCTGGATCGACAACACATACGTGCGTTTGATTCTTGTTCGATTTCAAATAAATACGAAATACATGTTTTTGTTCTCCAAGATAAAACTTAGAATTATAAAGTATTTCAGCAAAATCTTTCGGACGACTGATAGGTTTGATGTTACAAAATGCAGAACGTAGAGTTTCATCCGAATGATAGTTACTATTCGTTTCTTCGTGATAGTAATTTCTGTCGGAAGACAGAATTTTTTTCTCTAACAAATCACGGAGAACTTCGATTGAGCATTTACCATTGAAACGAAAACGTTTTGAAAAGCAATAGAAAACACCGGTTCGGACGCTGATCACATACGATGATAAATCTTCGTCTGATATTGACGATAAAACTTTCTTGATTGAATCAGAAAAGCTTTCAGGGACGTCATTGGATGATGCTGACGACGGGTGATTGTCGAGCAGTTGAGGTAAGTATAATCTGTGTTTATGATGATTTCGAGCACGTGTACCACAATATTCGACGAAGACAATTTCATTGACTGTAGTCGAGAGAGCATTTTCGAAGAGCATAACACAATTTGTCGGACCGCGAGAATCTGATAATTGTCGTTGACTTATGAAATAGCTGACATGATTGGCATTCAAATCAAAAGAATCCTGCGAAGATAATTGGCGATCATGAGTACTCTTCGCCGGCGATATATCACCTAAATAGACCAGTCATGTAGTGTCGATGAAGAGGTGATATTTATACTCGAGTCCTGTTACTTTTTCTCATCGTATAAATGGTTTCATATCGATAAAAAAGCACAAGAAAATATACATCGGTTTTTTAGTCTGACAGAGATCAATTTCACGCGAATAAACTAGTGAAAAAGCATGTTTTGCAAATTAACTTTCGTAAACATTCTTTTAACAAACAAAAATGATAACTTATCTTTGAAAATGACGATCAGTTTGATACTTACGGTTAGGTGCATTGTTTGATCGATTCGTCATAGTTCACCTAGCAGAACGAATATCTATACCACATCTACAAACGAACAAAAAAAAAAGAAATCATGATTGTCAGTATTGTATCATTGTTATCACAACAGTGCTTTCATTCAAAGTAAAACGAAACAAAAGACAATTATTGGAAATTATCATTGCGTATAAAAAAATTATTTGACTTAATAGATTGGTAAAACATTGGACGAATTATAGAGCATCATAGTGGAATCTTTGGGATTGCAGTTTTCGTTCGCGGTCATCTTGAATCTGAAATTCATCATGTTTAAATTTTCAAAAATATTCTTCTCAATCTCAAACCTTTTCGCGGTATTGAAATACAGCAAGAACAATTGTAATGACAAGAAGTGTAACACCTAATGCAATGCCAGTATGAATAATCATTCGACTAGGAGTTACAAAAAGTTCGCTATGCCATCTAAAGAACAGTATATAGATGAATATGTGGATTCTTCAGGTCAGTCTTACTTGTCAGGATTCGTTAATGGTGATGGAATAATGACGATTTGTGAATTTGGAATCATCTGAGTGTAGGTTCGAATTAGCTTAACCTAGAAAGAGACAATATGGAATCCTGGTATGACATGCAAAATGCGAACCGATTGACCATTGGGCGGCACGGCGACGGTTAATTTTTCAACAAAATTTGGTGTCGCACCAAGACCGATGATTACATAAGGTAATTCAAGTGTTAATTGTCCTGCTTGAGACATTTGAACAGCTAGACAACGCGGTCAAAACGAATTTCTTCAGTAAGATATATCATTTACCTGATAGCTGAATCCAACTATCTTTAATTCCATCAATGGTAGTGATTGTTTCCATTTTAATCGATTGACCTGGCTGATTATTCCCATACGGCTAGAAAACAATAATCCATTGATTGATATAAACATAGTTCTTCGCAATATCTCACCAATCTTTTCTGATGAGAACATGTATCACATGAGAAAGAGCTCAGTACTAGAAATGAAGTCATTTGATATAGAGCGAATTTTTCATTAACAAAGAATTTACCCATCACTTTGATGAAATGTACATCTTGGACAAGAGAATTTTGAAAACCAATTAATTCATAATCATTAGATGAATGAGTTTGTAAAACTAGAACGTCGGGATAACCCTAAAAATTCGATTTCTTCAATGAAAAATGCATTGTTTTCAACTTACGTTTTCTAGTACGTCAAAAAACACAGCAAGTGTAGCATTGTCTGTAAAGAGTAAATCTGTTTCATCCGTTCGAAGAGTAAATGTACGATTGTAGGTACAATGGAGGTTGTTGTCACTATTGCACGCTTGATTTTGAAGAAGAATTGGAATGGTTGCATTGACCGAGCTAAAATTTAAAAACAATTATCGATTATTTCAAAGAAATTTACAGAATAATTCAACTTACTTTTGTTCCATTACAGCGATCATATCTGGGTAACCATCGAGGTTGTAATCAGCGATTTTGAGACTAATAGGTATTCGATCGAACGGTGCTGGTAGATCATTCTTCAAAGGGAACCTCAAATCGCCACCAAATTTGATCGGTAACAAAGACCACTAAAGAACCGAACATTGTCGTCACATCGAAGATCTTTCTCAAGAAGTTATTGTTCACTTACTTGATCGTTATCTCGAACATAAATTTGACTATCAGAACAATCACTATTCATACAAACTGGTAACAGATGTTCCAGAATGCCATCCGCATCTAATCCAAACAACAATGAAGACGTTCAATCAAACAAATCTGCTTTGTTACCGATGTCAGCAAATGTTGATAGATGGTAAATTGCTACTCCTGGCGGTGGATCATATTCGCTCAATAATTTCATATCAATTAACGGCAATGCATATACACGAAATTTCGGCTTATTTTTATGATTGATCGTTAAGAACAAATCTATAGAAGACGAAACGAATCAGTTAAGGATATTTTTTCAAGTTTCATCAAACCTGCAATGAGATCATTGTTAAAATCTACTACAGCTTGTGTCGCATTTGGAAGAAGATTATCGAGATTGTTGAATTGTGCAAAACTGGACACAGTTCGGTTATGACTATAATTCAAAATTCGAAGAGTCTCATGAACACAGAGGAAAAGAACTTGCTTACAAAATTAAACATCCCGGTTTATAGTTCACATAATCGTCGCTAATCATTCCAAGCAAATCAACGTACGAATCACCATTAATACTAAACGAACAAAATCATTCGTCTTTATCAAAGTGCTATCGATCTATTTACTCTACAGTGGTTGGAATCGTTTGAAAGTAATAATTAATCGATTGGAGATTACCTAAATATTCAAAGAGTCCGCCACTATTCATTTTTCCCAGTTCAAATATTAAGTCCTTACTGAATGTTTCACGATCACCCCAGAGAAATCCGCCGCGATAAACCGTTTCATCTGGTCTTATTTTATACATTACAAATAAATCTAATTTACTATCGCCGTCATAATCCGCTGCTAATGCATCATAAACAACACCTCTATAACAAAACAAAACTTAACAATTCGCCTTTTGATATGTTAACATACGGTATAGTCGCATTACATTGTACTTTTGACGTTGGTGTACGATCATTATTGAGCATTACGCGAATAGTATCACCTTGGATATTTCGACAGAAGATATCGACAATTTTATCAGCATTAAAATCACCGAAGGCGAAGGGTATGCAATCACTGATAGAAAATTGTTGATTATTGTTAAAATTCCGGTTAAAAACACGTTTTTGTTCGTCATTATCACTTAGAAAATCGGTTGAGCGTACATAGATTGCATTTGCAATTAAATTTATTAATAAGAATGTCCTAAACCAAGACCGATGACCGAGGTTAATCTCATAACTCATATGATCTAAAAGATTGACAAGTAGTAAAGTGCAACAGACTTCAATGCAAAGGATAGTAAAGGTGTTTTTTTTTGTTACTATTACAAGTTGGAAAAAAAGTGTAAATACATGCAGTTGTATGAAAGAGGATTGACTCAGCATCAGCAGTAGTAGTGTGATTCAAATGATATGATTGGTTACATCTCAAAGTCTAATTAGAACTAGTCAGAAGAGATTCTCATCGGGTATTCAAATGAGATTCGCTTTCTTCGTTGTATAATCAAATCATTTTTCTATTAATAAAGATTTGATCTTTGCTTTAATATTCAAGAACTGAGGCAAATGCACAAGTGACATCTATCGGAAAACTTCGGTCTCATGAGTGGAAAACGGTTTCCATTTCAAAACTACTTTGATAAATAGACTCTGAAAGTTTAGTACACGAAAGTATTTTGAGTTTATTACCGATTCGAATGCTACATCGGTAGTAGATCAATTCGGTTTTGTTGATCAATTGACCGATGTCGAGAAAGTAGTTTGCACGAGGGTTTGATTGGCCTCCTCGCCAAAGAAAAAGTGTGATATTCAAAGCTGAAAGGTTATACGTTCGAGTTCTGAATGATTTCAAATCGCTTGAAAACATTCGTGATTACCATTGACATCAAGTCGATAAATTGAGTATTTCTTCTCCCAAACGTATACTTCGCATTCGATTTCAAGGGTACAAATATAAATGCCTGCTTTTTTTTACGAGCATATCTCGTTTTATTATATCACCAATTGTAATTGTTATTATTGAATCTTTTCACTCTTTTTTTTCGCGTCCCCGTATGCACACTGCGGTCTTTTCTCTCTCGCGCTTCTTCCAGTAAAAAAGAAGAGAAAAAGGCATATTGCCTGGGACATTTATTTTGTTCGAAACATCATAAAGAACTGGTAGTTTTTAAAAATAGGGAATAAAGAGAGAAGACTAAAGTCAATAAATGAAAAAGAGAAAAGAGAGAGAGAGATGCGATGCACGTATGTATTCACTTCACAACGCCACTTGCATATTAATATCACTAGTTTGACGAAGGCATTTCGTCGTATATACTCCAACTGATAAGACAAATCCGCAACAGAACGAACTATCTCTACAAGGAAAAGTCATGAAGAGCACACCATTCACTCCAATGGGATATGCGCAAGGACAATTGCCTGGATTGTCGTCAGAGATACTCGGTAAGTTAAATCAAAAATTTATAGACTTTTCCGTTTTATTTACTTGTTCAAATTGAAGACAATCCATTGAAATCCAAAGGAATTTCACTGTTTTCTCTCATGCAATTCCATAGTTTGAAAATATGCAGAAATTTTCATGAATACATTTTTATCCAAGAGCTGTTTGACATTAAATATACTCGAGATATACTCACTAGACCAATAATGCAAAAAATTGTCTATTCTTTAATGGAATCTATTTTAGTGTTCACACGAAGAAGTTTTCTTTTTTTTAAATAGGTTTTGATAATGCATCGTTATTATTCTACGTCGGCGGTGGTTGTTTGTTGCTCGTTTTAGTATTCGGCATAATTCTCTGTCGATTAGATGTTTCTGCTGGTGACAGTGAGTAGCAGTATTTCAATGTTTCATTTTCTTTTCTTCTATTTCGTACCCAGGACGACGCGCACAATATGGCATCCGTATTGAAAATTAAAATCAACACTGAACGCATGATAAGCCTTTTCCTTTTCGTTGTCTTTTAGTTTTGCTTTTCGTCTTAGTGAAATAAATCTAACAAATTAGTTTTGGCTATATATGAAGTCATTCATTTATTTTTTTTTCTTCTTCTCAATGTTGCTTTGATCAATGATGGTAAAAGATTGAAAAAAACACAAAAAGAACAAAGTGAAAATAAAACTGCAACATTAATCTACAGTGACCGTCGATTGAGCAAATATTATCTATACTTTCTCGTATTGTGGTGAAATGCATACTTCAATTTCTTCGTTCGTTTCTTGGATGCTGACCGCAAGCGAACAAGATCTCGTTTTAGACATATTTGAATCAATGGTGGCCATTGGAGAGAAATAATTGGTGAATTTATTTTCATTTGCTGCTTTTTGCTAAGCTTGTTGAATGCAACACTCGATCGTGCGTGCATGTCGACAGATGTTATACGACACACGCAGATGGTGTTGCGGAATCCTCAGCTTGGGTGCTTTTTGTAATAGCTGTAAATAAGATCGTGATCAACCAAACAGACAATTTGATGATCGACTCGGCCATAGTCAGAAAAATGGAATAATTTTCGTTGACCATCGAGACTTGTAGCTGCCTGAAAAAGTTGAACGTCATTCAGTGAGAGAATTTGGTGCGGAATCGGAGAAGGATCTTACCGTGCCGCCAAAAATTGTCGTGGTGAATTTGCCTGGATTGAACATTTGAAGAATTTTGCGTGTTAATTCTTGATATTGACTGTATGAAGCATTAGTTTCGAAGCTAACGTACGAAAATTCAGGTTCCGGTGTTATGTGAATGGTAAAATAATGACCATCAGGTAGAAGACCATTCATTGAATAACCACAGGGATCGAATAAATAATCGAAGATTTTCGCATTTGGAAATAATTTATCGATACCGGCTTTCTGCAGAAGAAAACAAGACATCAATCGAAAATATTGATATTCTCTAAAGACTGGCATACTTTTGTTGCTTCAGCAGCTGAGCTGGTATATTCCTGGTAAAAGATTTTCATTTTTTCCGGATCCAAATCAGTCATGATGATTTCCAATGTCTGATCGGATTTTGTGCCAACACATGTTTTATCAAGTGTGTACAGATACCTATATAACCATAAATATTCATTTTCCAAGCATTCTCACGCATCGTTCGTTTCTTGCGATATTTTATTACATCATTCATTCTCTCGCGTTTCTATTTGAAATTTACTCGATGCCCTCTCATCTTTTCTATTCTACATCGATCTGTTATTGGTTGGATAAGTCAGACGTTGACTATGTGAAATTCCGAGGTAAAGAATGCTTCTTTGTTTTTTACTAGGCATAGAAGAATGTTCAGATTACTCGTCTTTTAGGTTTAATTGAAAGATAATTGCCCTTTGCCTTCAAATCTCCGTGAGACAATAAAAACAAATCGCGCGATCAACTTACCAGCAATCAACATTAGTGCGACCAAGAACATAAGCAGAACCACCTGAAAAACGAGATAGTCGTGAGAAATTACAAAATGATGTCATTATAGCTAATATTTACCTTCGAAGATTGAATCAAGATAAGCAACCTGTAGATGCAAAACATAAGATTAGTCTTCGCTTGTTAATGCTAAAAGCTTTCATACTTCGTGCTCGAAACTTGTATGCGGTGCTTTTTGCAATTCAGGTCGAAGAAATTTACGGCGACTATAGAAGATTTGCTAAACAGAAATTTAGCAATGTAAACTTTTCTTCTTCAACACAAGTCCGCAATTCGATTTCTTACATCAACGATATCGAATCCACAATAATCACGAGCAAGGTCCAACATTGGTTGAACAGCATGAAGCAATGTTGTTTCGCCGCATGTTTTCAAGATGAAATGCGTTTGAAATACGAACATACTTGATTCGCTTAGTACATAAGTATCCGTTGTAGCCGATTGCGCATATTTCAGCACTTTACAATTGACCAAACTTAATACTTCTTCGATAATATCTCTAAAGATCAAAGGTCGGCTCATTAAAAAAAAATCCAAACAGAATTCCTGACTAACCGTGGAATATTACGAAGATCATTGTGTGTGGTAGCTTTGCCCAACTCGTTTTCACTTGTAGCAAACCAGATTTCTAATAGCTTTTCAGCTCCTTCGAAGAAATGGCCAGTCATTGCGATACACGTCGATTTTATCGAGTAGTTCGCTGTTGCGCGACAAAAGACTGAAGTTAAAGAAAGAAGATTGTTTTCTACAAATGCACAAGCAGATTCTTTTTCTTTATATAGTCAGTGCAATATCCATTTCTTCTCTTTCTTTCTTCTCTCTCCGTGCTTTTCTCTTTTTTTTTCTCCTTTGTTATTCCAAACATTGAATCATCATCAGCAGGAAAAATGCACTTCTTGCGAAATTATTCTTGTGAATGACGGACGACAAAAATAGATTCGCTGTTTTTCCCTTCGACATTCTTTTCTATTTTCTTCCGTTCTAACTCAAAAACAACCCGCATATATATAGGGTGAGGGTAAAATTCGTCATTAGAAGAAATGCAGAAGGGGCAAAATACGCACGTCACCAATTGCCTCGCGTGCGTTTTTATTTGATCATTCATTACACTTTTCTACGTTGTTAAATCTATATTTCATGTTTATTTTAGCCTCCTGACATCGATGTTCTTTTCCTTTCTTTCAGTACAAATTTCAAAATCATATTATGAGTTCTAATGAATTCATAAATAATCAAAATATTCTCCATTTTCTTCTCGATGTAGTCATTTAATGATGAAATCAGTCTGTCATCGGAGAATAACATGAACAAGTTTCTATGTGTATGTATATCATTATTATTCATCAAAAAAGAAAAGAAGGAGTATCAATATCTCGATTGAATAAGTGTGTATCTCATACAGACTCATCGAAAAGTGTGCACATTGAGAAAATACGTAAGTGCAAAAGATGAACAAAAAAAAACACATGGATAATATTAAAGATAAATGACTAGCTACTGCACACGAATAAAAAAAGCATGTCTATATACAAAAGAGACATTATCCGACTGGAGGAACACATTCTCGCAATCGTAGGAAAACATGATTTGAGGAAAAATGATCACATGCGTGAGCCACGTTCTTGTAAAATCTAGAAAAAAACCCAACAATAACATCACTGTGTCATTATATCCACAATAGACTCACTTTAACTCGTTCGGAGACTGAAGTATTGCTATCTTCCCTTGTACCTCGATCATATTGTTTGGAAACAATACATAAAAATTCACCTTCGGGATACATATAACTTGAACCGACAGGTGAATGGCCGATTAGCTATAGAAAATAAACCAAATTTCAGCAAACAATAGAAATGAAATTAGTTCGATAGATGTGTACCTGCTCAAATTTCCATCCATCGCTTAATGAAGACATCAATTGTGTAACTTCTTTTTCCTGACATTGAATTACACGATATACACGACTTGTTCGACACTAAAACATAGAACATTTCAAAGATTCTGAAATCTTCTTAGTAAAAACCAAACAACAGATAATTTCATGTTATTTCAAATTCCATACGCGTGTCACTTCGAATATTTCATCTATGTTAATCCGTTGATGTATTTTCCTTTCTAGCATAAAGAATCTTGATGATAAACTATGTCAGCTATGTTGGGTGGACTTTGTCGAGTATTTCATCTGAAAGAAATGGGTGGTGTACATTTTGTACTTACATCATTGAATTTTCGCTTGTCTCGTTCGCGAATTTTTTCTTTCACAAGTTCAATCAGAGGTCGGATGTTATAAAATTCAGCTTCTTCGAGTACGCCTTCTTCGACGAGATTGGTCTCAAGGATCAGTTTACCATGCCGAAGATAACTACATACAAAGAAAAATAAAAAAAAAGAAAGTATGGCAGCGAAAAATCGATGTGTATATTACTTTAAAACGACATTGAAATAGTTTGGGTCACGATCGATTAAATAGGCTCCTTTATCATCCTACAACGAATGAAATTGATCAGAATTTATGGATGAATTGATATTGATCTGCAACTTACAACATCAGTTTTGAGATCAGGTTCATGTTGACAAAGTCTACCGAGAAATGATTCTTCCTTTGATAAAGTTGAACGTGTTGTCATGAAATGCTTGCCTCCGACATTTAATAAAACCCAATCGCGTCTACAATCAGCTGATGACACTGGACGGGAATCGAAATGCACTACTGAGTTCGTATCACCATTTTTTTGACTTGAACTATTATCATTTGTGATCATTTTATCAGAAAGAACTACACATGCAAACGTCCAGAATGAAACCAATTCGATCTAGACGTTCGAACAAAAGAGAGAAGAAAAAACACAATACGATATTTTTTCTTTATTGAACATTAATTGATTACTAAATATATCCAATACGAATTGACTAGATGGCAGTAGACATTAATATAGATTAAATCAGTCAAGTATGCAGGAAGAGAAATCTCCGAAAGAGAAATATTTTTTTACTCATACATTATGTCGATTCATCGATCAAGTACGTCGAACTAAGAAAAAAATTATGAAATATTAATTAATAGTTGACCTTCGATAACTTGAAAGAGAGACGAAGAAAAGAAAAACACGATGCAATTCTGAGCTTTCGCATGATGTAATATACAAAGTATTGTCAGACAAACTGCGACAGCCATTGGTTAGTTTTCAATAACAGCAAGCAATTTTCTTATTTTCCCTTCTCTCTCTCTCGCTCCTTCGCTTCGCATTAAAAAATAGTCATTAGTTTCACACCTGTACATTACGCTCTACCTTGTGACAGACAAATATTTGCTTTGATGGATACATTTTTCGGTGCCGGTCGCATCTTTAACGACGATCCTTTAGATAATTACAGCGTTGCATACAATGGACCATATCCACCACCTGGCTATACACTTGTTCAAGATTCGATAACATACGTCAGTAGTTCTTTCAGTCCTATCATGAATCCTCCAATATGGGACTATTATCAGTTCTAATCTGTATTTTTTTTCTGTATCTGTGAATTCGTACAATAAAAACTTAAACAGATAGCTTGCTGGATTAAGTAAAATTTCATACACACGCACGCACGCAAAGAACGAACAGATTAGTTTAGTCTATACGAGATGGCACGGCTGCGACGTCACCGGGATTTTCAGATGATTGTTGCATAATCTTTTTCATCATCTCGATAATTTCGATATTGTATTGAGCAATTTCGGTTGCAGCAAAACCAAAATCGAGAAATCCATGTGGCCATTCATCGACAACGGTCAAATGATGTGGAACTTTGAGATCTCGAAGTCGTCGTGCAAATTCCACATTATCGTCAATGAACGGATCTCGAAAAGAGAGACTTTAGTGGAAAGGGAAATGCAACTTTGAATGATCACTTACCACGTGCACACGGCTACATCATTGAAGAAAGAGAAAGCAGAACAATTAGTTGTTGTATAATGATAATAATAATTATTATTACAAAATATCTAATATTTCATTCATAACAGAAAAAAAAAGAACGAAAACAGAAAAAAAAACACCGCGAATACATGCACGGAAAGATCTACTCGGAAATCATATCTGAAAATGTTGAGATTGGAAAAATTGGATTTGTTAATGGTGTGAAATTTTTCTTTTTATATTGCTTTTTTTTCTTTTTTGAGAAACATGAAGATCGTGCAATCTCGTATCGTCGAGCTAGATCATTCATAACGAGATCAGCTGCTTTTTTACAATGATAATTGGCATTATAAAAACTCAGAAAACCATGTGTTACATTATGTACAATAACCATATGATGTTCAACAGATAACGAACGTAAACGACGAGCAAAAGTGACAGAATCATCCAGTAAAGGATCTTGATGGCATGCCTGAAATATTTGAAGTATGCACAACAAAAACTGGACTGTTTTCGGGATATAAGGACGAAAACAATCGATGGATGATTTGAATCAGTACTAATTAACGAAATGGTCAAAGAAAACAACTTACGACTAGATAGGTAGTTGGAAATTGTCGAAGAACGTCGTCAGACGCACGTAGTGGAGACATGTAGGGATTATTGGGTAAGGTTGATTCACGGAGTTTTCGAAGGAGTTTTGCTTGACGTGAACCCATGATATCACCTATGATGAAAGTACAATCGTCAAATTAGCTTTATCCTGTGAATATACCTAATCGCGTGTAGTATGTATCATCTCGAATGTATTCAGGATTTTGATTTGTAGTGGAAAGTTTTGCTGCGTCGATTGCTGTCTCATCAGATGACGAAAGAGTCTTCTCGATTTTACGACGTTTACCAGCCGGAGTATCACCAGTATCTTCAGAAGTTGCCGCCGATTCCAGATCATCATGTGCTGGTTCCTCGTCAGCTTTTATGCCAGCATAAGCAGCTAGACAACGCCAGAGGAAGCCGGTATTCAACAAGGGATCCATTATGGCCATTAGTCGTGATGGTGACATACTACGTTATATAAAGAGATAAATTCTGTCATTAGATGCCTATATGTTCAAATTACCTATAGCCAAGTAGGAACGGTGTATAAAAGCAGATGATCCCATCGGGTTTTCTCAAGCCAGCTTCAATTGCTTTCATTGTAACGATAGTAACTAAATTTCCCCCGGCACTATCACCCACGAGCAAAAGTGTTTTGCCATTCCATCCAAGTTTATTGGCATTTTTCAAAATCCATGCATAGGCATAATAGCATTCTTCAATAGCACGTGGATATGGATATTCAGGTGCCAAGGAATAATCAATTGAAACAATAGGAATTTCGAAATTCAATGCCCAAGGTTTCAAATAAATCTAAATCAATGTCAGATAAACGCTGGTTTTCGTTTAGAAGCTCTGATGAACATACTTCATGAGTACTAGACGAAGTGGCAATAAATCCACCACCATGTATATGCACAAGAAGATGATCGCTCATAGGTAGAGTTTTTGTTGATGCAATTTCTAGATCAACTTTTCTCAATGGTAGTTCTTCCATGCCTTCACGAATTTCATTAGAGAGTAGTTTGATATTGACAAGTTGTCCGGGCTGTTCACTACCGGAACCTGTCGGGTTGTCCGAACCCGCTCCAATATTTCCAACTGCTCGTTCTTTTGGCTCTTCGATATTATCAGGCCTTGCGGTCGGCGGCGGAACAACAACCGAACCAATTTCGATTGGCTCAGGCCCGATTTGAAAGTATTTCGACACGGTCACGTTTGGTACTATGTAGCGTGAACCCATTTTAACATAATCATGGTCAACAATATTCCAAAAGGCTTTACAAAATAGATAATCACTATCACGGAAAATAGAAGCACACTAAAAAAGAAAAAACTTGGCTTTTGGAAGTTTTATACGATATGAAAACCAACCTTTTTTGCTCGTTGTTCTGGAAATAGGATGTATTTCGGTGCTGTTGCAATACTCGCAGCAGCGTAGGGTATGGATCGATTAAATGTTTCGTAGTAAGTAGCTAGACCAGCGAGGAGAAATGTAAGCATTGTTTGCATAGATGAAGCAAACTAGAATTACATAAGAAAAACAATCGTGAGAGACACTTTCTCTGCTCAAAAACTGTTGTTTTGCATGTGACAGGCAAACTTCCTTCTTACTTGAAATCCACATGTACGACCAAAGAAATATTCCGAGTCGTATGCGACCATCTTGAAATAATCCAATTCAATATCGAGTGGAACATGATCAGCATCAACCTAAACAACCGAAGAACATCACACATTCAATTCAACAAGCAAACGTCTCATAAAACTATGATTCTTACATAGAGGACTGTCTTTTTGGAATAATCCACCATTTTAGCAGCCAATGCTATTATACGTTGCATGGCTATCAATGCTTTTGTCCACGATTCGAGATCTTGAAATAATCGTGATGAATACATTAGATTGAACAACAGACCAACGCGTTTGGTATCGACTTGTTGTAGAATATCTAGCGTTCGTAAACAGGCTTGTCCGTGTGCGACGACTAGTGCTCGATAACCATTGGCTCGAATCTATTGATTAATACAACGAAAAGTCTTTTAACAATCAAATGACAATGAAAAATACCTCGGCACTGTAATCGAAATGGTGAAAATTGTCCGTCAAGTAACGGATATGTGGCATAGATGTATCTATCGATTGCAGAAGTTGGATTAATAAATGTTCAAATCTTCGGCAAACATCGGTTTTCTGTTGAGAAAAATATTTACAATTTGTATCTGCTAATTCCCTCAACTTTGTATAGGTCAAATCGAAATTATAATCAAGTCCCACAGTGTCTGGTGTTGGTGGCGTCAATGAAGTTTGTATAGTTCTTGGCAGACGATTCAAATGGGACGGAGTTGTTGTGGACGTACGTATGGCTGTTGCAGAAGCACTCGATGATAATTGGAATAGCGAAGATCTCTCATTGTTATTTGCAGATATTGTGTATTTACGTTTCGTTGTCACGACTGGTGATTGTTTCGATAGGCAAGACATTAGCCGACCACCAGCAGCAGTTAATGTTCCAATTGGAAAGCGATCCGTGATTGAACGAAAAGGTCCATCTGATGACTTGCTTTTCTCAGCTTTCGAAGGTGGCTCTTCTGTGATTTCCATACTAAAGACAAAACAAATTCAATACACAAAAAATTCATCGAATATTTCTCGACGTCATCTATGCTAAAACTAATATACCGGTCAGATCAGAAGGTAACAAGTTCGAATGTTTACATCATTAAAGAAAGATAAAGTTGCGTATGTATATATCATATACAAATACCGATAAAACGAAAGCGAGATGTTCGTACGATAAGCTACGGTAAACATAGTGATGAACTCTTACTTACACTCGATCGTTCAATAACGAGAAGATGTTCTAAAAGTCAAAAATCAAAATCTGAACATCATAGTATTCGTGAGAAGGAAAATCTGCTAGTATGATCGTTTGGTTGGATCATTCGAATGATACAAAGTTCTGTTCTATATGAAATAGAGAGTAAGGTTGCATTGTTCCATTTTATTCGATAGATCATAGACTCGTCATACTCATTTCAACGATTTCTCCAATCAATTTATTGATGTATTTGTACAATTATTCATTCTATTTGACAAATATTTCAACTCACTCGGTTGAATTTGACATTGCCGTTGTTTTCATATGTTGGATCAGTCGATAATGTATCGTAGGTATTGCCCGGTGTGTAACATTGACTATTGATTTATAATGACGAATGTTTAGTAAATTTGACATGCGCAGACACGTAGCACCGTATAAAAGGACTCAGAACGATTTGGATCTATTTATTTCAATTCGTTCTTTTTATTTCTTGCGATTGAATTATTCGATGTTTATCGACATTTGTTCTATTTGCCTGATGCTAATAGTGATCTAGAATTCGATCAAAAAGAAAAACAAGAACATTAGGAAATAATAGCTTTAGCGATTATTAGCGTATCAAGTGTGGAAGACTAACTAATAATGTAAAACCGTGAGATTTTGTCAGAATCAAAGATAAGATTTATGAACATCTAGTATTCTCGTTTGAATGGTCGCAATGTGATCCGTTTAGAATAGTTTTTTCAAAACCTCCCTTTTTCCGACGCAAATGGACTCATTTGCGTATAATCAAAACACTTGACGATAGATGTCACTATGTAATCTCTACCCTGGAGCCACATAGAGATTTCTGTAAATCTAAAGACTACTTTTATTATGATAAAATAAGGGTATTTTGAGAAAAATGAGCAAAGAAATCGTTGAATCCGTTATGTTTGTCCTTCGAACATGGTCAGGAATTCTAAAACAACAACGAAAAGAACTGTGATAAATTCTCAATCTAAGCGCTATACAGACCATCAAATCCTATTCGTTTGTCTTTGTCTACATCGATTTCCGCGATCATTGCATCCGCCTCTTCTTTTGTTAATTTCATCTCATCATTTCCATTCGTTAATAAAGTCATCAATGCTCGTAATTCTTCACTTTCAATCGATCCATTCCCATCACCATCAATGGCATCGAAGATTTCACGTAATTCCCGTTTATTATCAGAGTCACGTGTTTTCTTCAGTACAGACATCATAATTAAAAATTGTTTACAATCAATAAGATTACATTCTAGAATAAAAATTATTTCACCTGAAGAGGATTAAAAGTGCGTTCGATAACAAACCTTCATCGACAATATTTTCTATGAGTTGTTGAATTTGATCATCTGTTGGATTTTGTTCCAACGAACGAATAAGTATACTCAGATCTTTGGCATTGATATAGTCATCTTCATCACGATCAAAGAGAATGAATGCTTGAGTATATTCTACATAAAAATCGAATTCATATCGTGCACAAAACGGTATCTTGCATACCGAACACTTCTTCACTAGTCAGCGGTTGTCGCTGGATGAAAATTCAGATAAAATATGATTATAAACAAAAGAGAATTGCAGATCTTACTGGTAGATACACTTTTCGTGCTGAAGTGGTATTCTGTCGCAACGTACTCATACTCTTTCTTTTCAACAAATGGTGGTCAATATAATCAAAAGAAACAAATTGGCTACATGAGGCTTCTCGAGATGAAAAATGTAATTGAATTCAAGAATCTTTTCTTAACAACGAGTGCAATGGTAGAGTTACACTTTGCGTATCATTCTGTTCGATCTTAGAAGGTTTTCTTTTTTTTTTCAAAGAAATGTTTGCTATTTTTAATCAACAACAAAACGGTACAAATAACAGGCATAAAACGCCGACACAAAATTGTTGAATTTCAAACAACAATGCTATTAATCTTCCATTGATTCTTTGGTTTCATTTTCTTCTTTATTCTTGCTCTTACCGACGGCTCTACAAAATAAATTTGAATTAATAACAAAACAAATCCAATGAAAAAAGAATAAATCTTACCGATAAACACCAACAACAACTGCATGATCACGTTCATACGGTTCTAATGTGAGTTGTTCTTTTGGTTTGAGTTTTTCGCTTTGAAGTTTCTTTACTTCACCAGCAAAAACAGCTTCTGGTGTGGCCGTCGAATCGATACAACTAGCCTAAACAAGACACGCTGTGATATCCGTTGCAGTTCAGACACCGCGAACTTACTTTAATCGAAATAACGAAATGCCCACCATTCTTCAAGAAATGATGTGCGTTTAAAGCAACAATACGTGCTTGATCTGGCTGAGCAACATCTGCAAAGATCGTATCAACCATACCAATGAGCATTCGATATTTATGCGGATGACGTGCGTCTTCAATGATTGGAATAATATTCGTTCGTTTCTTTGCAACATTCAATAAATCACGGCCCGAACGATGAGAAAATTCAACAGCATAAACAAGACCATCCTGAAGTCAAATTATGTAGAAATATGTGAAAGTGTTCAGTAAAATCGTTTACATACTGGTCCAACAATGTCGGATACGTGTGATACTGTTGTACCACTAGCTGCACCAAGGTAAAGAACTTTGGTACCGGGCGGCATATGAATATTATCAACACCACTCAGAATTGCTGCACCCAATTTCGAACGAAACGGATTCCATACACGATATTCAATTTTGTCTTGATTTTCTCCCTAGAAAACAGAATTGTATCGGTCGATGTTCGTTAACACGATTCTCATACATCAACACTGATGCGCTTTTCACCATAGACACTTTCGCCAACGACCATATTCTTCGTTAATAACATGTCATCGTCTTTAGACCGAGCGATAAACACTCCTGCACAGAAGATATACAATGAAATTATGTTCAACACAAAAGAAGAACCGACCTGGATGACGATGTGGTTCGACAACGACCTTCTTTCCACCGCCGCCGGCACCACCTGGTAACAATTGCAACAAAAAACTGTCTCACTGACAAAGCGAATCAACATCTAATATTACCTCTTCCACCGCGACCACCACCTCGTCCTCCGCCGCGGCCACCTAAGAAAAGGATTGTTCAGTAAACTGTCGAATAAATTGTTAACGAACTACTTACGTCCACCGGCACCGCGTACGCCTCCACCACGTGGACCTACCAATTATGATGCACATAGAAATGCTCTGCTCAATTTAAAAAAATCTTACCACGACCACCTCGATCACCACCTAAATTAATGTTAATTAAGAAACCAAGACAGACATTAAGTCAAGCAACTCTTACCTCGTCCACCACGAAAACCGCCACGATCACCGCCGCCTATCGAAGATAATTTTCACATGAATTCACAAATCAAGTCAACATACCTCGGCCACGACCTCCACCACCGCGGCCACCACGAAAATCTACACGAATAAGATGTCCACTTTATCTGAATGTTTTTTTTTTAAATCAAACTACCTGGTCGACCCATTATTTCAATTTAAGCTTGACGAAGAATAATCTTAAATATTCCTTTAGATATTATTAGACTAATTGAAGAAGAACTCGTGCGATTAAACTGAGACGATGAAATAGAATCGAATTGCTTAATTTCAAATGATTCCTCTCCTTACAAAGATTTAAATGTACCAATCAATATTCGATTTAAAAATTCCCATTTTGAACAGCAAAATATTCTCACGAATTTTCCGGCAAGCATTTCAAACAGAAAAAAAATACTATTTTACAAAATAAAGTTAAGATTTTTTTGTGATAAACCACAGATTATCGTACAGAATCATAGGTGGCGCTAGTGTCAAGACGAACTGTTGCATAAACAGAAAAACGAACACCACAATTTAAACAAGATCAAAACGTAATAATGTCTAATAAATTCAATCGTTTTTCTCTAAATTTCTTTGCTTCACACGACAACATGGCCTCATATGAAATGAACTTTATTCACACATTACAGTGTTCAGATATAACATAACAGAACTGTTCGTGACTATTGAATCATTGAACCGAACAGTAACCTTTCGTTGGCAAAACAGTTAATCGAATATGTATATCAAGTCGACCTAATAGCAAAGCGTCGTTATCAAGTTTCAAGTATATGCGGTACACATGTTCTTTTTTTTCATTCGGTTTTGCGAGGATCCACAAATAGCAGGTAAATATTATCGCGTCGAAAAAACATCGTGTTTTGTTTTTTTTTCGAAGCGTAGATATAGCATAGAATGACAACGAAATTGAATCCACCGACCCAAACGAACTCAAACGAGCTTGTTCGTTTTGCATTTGCAAGTTTTTCGCAAGGATTTGCTGGCTTTTGTACAAAGTAATTTCGTCTACGAAGAAATCATCTGTTATAACTTCAAAATATTTTTTTCTCATTCGTTTTAGTCCAATTGATGTTATCAAAACACGAATGCAAGTTGATGGAGAATTACAAGCCACACGTAGTGTTACTGAACAAATGCAAAATCGTTATTATCAAGGATTTGTTCGAGGATCACTTCGTATCATCCGGGAAGAAGGCTTAGCTGGACTCATGCGGGGTGCTGTGCCAGGTACACTACGAGATGTCACTTATTCTGGAATGCGAATTGTAAGATTTCATTTGTTTGCCTCATCTTTTATCGTTAAACTTTCATTCATTCGATTAGTATTTGTATGAACCGTTTAAGAACATATTCGGTGGTGGAATTCATTTGCATCAAAAGATCGCGGCCGGTACATGTTCAGGAGCGATATCGAGTTTCTTTGCAACACCGTTGGATGTGGTCAAAATTCGTCTGCAAGTCAAAGGAGAGCGGCCGTATCGTAGTCTACTACATGGATTGATCGATGTTGGTAAAAAAGAAGGTTTAGCAGGTCTTTATAAAGGCTGGGGACCAACAATGATTCGTGCAGCTGTTCTAACCGGAAGTCAAGTGTCATCCTATGATCAAATAAAAAGATTCCTCATCAGTCACGGATACATGCAAGAAGGTTTACCTTTACATACAGTTGCATCGTTTTTCGCTGGTCTTATTTGCTCGCTAACAACATCACCAGTTGATGTGATTAAAACGCGATATCAAAATACACCGGCGCATTTAGGTAAATATACAAGTGTCTTCGATTGCTTCGTTCAATCAATCAAAGCAGAAGGTATCTATGGATTGTACAAAGGATTTTTACCTAACTGGATGCGGCTTGGTCCACATTCGATCATTGCATTTCTTATCTATGACAATATGTGTATTGCTGCTGGCCTGAGACCGATTTAGGTCGCGTTGAACTCTTGTTTACTCCTACTAGTGCATAGAATATACTCTGTAGTACTTTGCTCAATAGATAGTTTTGTTATTCCAACGAGATTCACGATTTTCTATTGATCCAGTGAAAACATCGTTTATATCATGAACTAATTCTGATTTTGTGAACCTATTATCAATCGAGAGAACATATACATAGCATAACAAAAGAAAAACAAAAAAAAAGATCTGAATTGAAAGAATTATGATTGACACACACACACACATATATCTAAATAAATGGAGATCACATCTGACAAAACATCGTCTATTCATTGTCGCTAATCTCAGGTGACGCCTCCATTTGCAGAACTCGTCGTTTCTTTGTGATTGGCTTATCACTATCGGATGAATCTTCGTTGTCTTCTACTTCACTGCTTGCAACTCGTTTTCGTTTATTATCTGTTTCCGAATCAGCTGTTACTCGGCCTTGGCCGCGTAATGTTCGACCGCCTTTGACGTATCCTACAGAAAAATGAGATCGATCTTTAGTTGACACTGATATCAACTAACCTTTGACATCAACGGTACTCTGTTGAATTTCCAATAGTTCTTTTTCCGTATCGCGTTTTTCACGAAATTTTTGGCACTCTTTAATTGATAAATTACCTAAAGAATACAAATTTAATGAAAGAATGATAACAATCTTTTCATCCTCGTACCCGTATATCCTGCTTGATCGAAAAGTGATTTCAAAAACTTAATCTTTGCCTTATGTGATGAGAATTCATCTAATTCCGACTTTTTAATCATATGACGAATACCAGATATACGAAGTAATTTCTTCAGATGTTCAACACGTGATTGTTCTTGATCAGCTTTATCTTTCTTTTGACCTGCCTTCTTTGTATCAGTTGTTGTGGCGGACTCATCTTCTCCATTTTTCTCCGCAGTATCTTTTTCCTCTTCGATTTCCATCGACGTATCATCGTCATCTTTCTTAGGTGAAAGTTTTGTTTCGGTATTAGCCGTTGGTTCATCGTTGGATTTCTTTTTGTACGATCGTTTAGGAGTCGCTTTTTTATTTAGTGTTTCTTTCTCTTCACTGGACTTCTTTGTATCAGTCACTTTTGCTGATTCATCTACTTCGTCGACTTCCATCGATGTATCATTATCATCATCATCTTTCTGTGGCGAAGGTCTTACTTCGCTTGTAGCCACCGGTTCATCCTTGGCTTTCTTCTTGTACGATCGTTTTGGAGTCGCTTTTTTACTTGGTGTTTCTTTCTTTTCACTGGACTTCTTTGTATCAGTCACTTTTGCTGATTCATCTTCGTCGTCGATTTCGACCGATATATCATTGTCATCTTTCTTTGGTGAAGGTTTCGTTTCGGTTTTAGCCGTTGGTTCATCCTTGGATTTCTTTTTGTACGATCGCTTAGGAGTCGCTTTTTTGCTTGACGTGCCTTTCTTTTGAATAGATTTCTTTGTATCGTTCACTTTTGCTGACTCATCATCTTCTTCATTTTTCTCTGAAACGTCTTTTTGCTCTTCGAATTCCACTGACTTGTCGCCGTCATCTTTCTCTGGCGAGGGTTTCATTTCGTTTGTAACCACTGATTCATCTTTGACTTTCTTTTTGGCCGATCGTTTTGGAGTTGCTTTTTTGTTCGATGCGTCTTTCTTGGCGCGTTTTTTCAGTTTCGGCTTCGGCTTTTCTGGTTTTACTTCTTCATCTGATAATGAAGATGCGGATGAACTCGATCTTTTCGAAGGACGCTTCTTCTCTTCGGTTGGAAGATCAATGCGTGGAATCCGAAGTAAAAAGTCTTTCGAAGGTGACGATCCTTCAGAAACTTTTTCATCTTCATCAACTTCACTACTTAGATCATCTAAACATTGCAAGATCAGATTAGCTCATTGTTAACTAGCATGTACATACGTGCTGCAGGTTCTGATGATGTCGCTGCTGCATCTTTGACTTCTTCTATTTCTTGTTCATCATCTTTCTGATCGTTGTTGGTTTCACTTGCTGGATCAGCATTTTCTTTATCTGCTTCCACTTTCGTTGATGTTGCGCCTTCGACAAACGATAACTTTCGATTGGATCGTACTGGTTTCGCTGAAGCACTTTTGATCATAGCATCAAGTTTACTCGTATTCGATTTGACTGACGAAAGTGAATACGCTGATTGCCGAAGTGAATTAGATCGTTTAGCAAGCCAGTCTGATGATACACCGAATTTTTTCATATTGTTTAAAAATAATGGAGAAAATGGTTTGTTCGTCGCTGTTGTTTTCTCTGAATCACTAGATGACTCATCGCTTTCGCTTTGCGATTTTGATTCTTCTATGTTATTCAAAAAATACAACATTCATATTTCTTCTTATACGTCGAATATATTTACGTACTGGATAGTTTAATAATTGAACGATGTTTCATTGTTGGTGTGACGGTTTCATCACTATCTTTCAATTTCACCGTGTACGATATTGGTTCGTCGTCATTGTCTTCATCCTCTTCGTCCTCATTATCAACTTCATCATCTGCAACAGGGCATCCCTGAAAAAGAATAATATATCCAATGATTTGTTGTTAACGCGAAATGTTTTACGTTACTTCGAGTGCTTTTAAAAGTAGTTTTTGAAATTGTTTATCTTCATCTGATTGTGGAATGATTGGATCATCACCTGAACGACTATTATACAAATCTCGAATTTGCCGTGTTGTTGAGCAACTAAACAATGAAAATTGCCCAATTCGATTTGTTTCAATTCGATAAAATCATCATTACATACCCAGGATTATTTTGTTCACGAAGAATAGCTTCGACTAAGCTAGCATTGACCATGATATGTTTCTTTCAAAAATAGAAAATCTAAAACAAAAAGAAAACAATTAACATCCACACAAAAGGAAGTAACAAATTCAAGTAGTTCGTTTTCGTTTTCGGTTCGATCCGACACTTAGTGTATCTTTTATTTTTGGTTTAGTTATAGGAGTTTCAAGTCTGGCAACGCTCGTCTGTGCCACTTTTATAATCTTACAGCCAAGTTCGCTGAAGATATCTTGCAATCTAAATAATCAAACAAAATCTTCTTTATGTGTCTGCAAAGAAAATTTTCCATTTACTTTAATAAGGATGTTGAACTGCCTAGTGAAGAACGAAGACTATCGATATCTACCGTATATTGACAAATATGTAAAGCCAGGATACATATATGTGCAGTTAATTTCAGTCGAAGACGAGGTGGAACCGTACTAAACATTCTCGAATGTAGATTGATGAATAATATCAAAATCTATCCTCACTTGTCTTGTTTCCGTGTACGTTCATTGATATTCGCAATAGCATACACATGTAAAGCTTTGTCTTGTAATGGACGTGGTGCGTCATCAGGAAACGGTTCTATGTACATCAAGTAGATTCAATAAGAACATGTGCAGTGGTAACAAACTTACTTCCAGTTAAGCGTTTGAATACTGAGCGTTTGAAAAATGTTATCAAATAGTGTAAATAAAGAATTTTCGATGCACATGATACCCGTTCCCCATGACTCACAGGTAATTTTTTCATTTGATCGCAGACGAAGGCTGTATAAGTACCTTCTTTTGACCATTTTTGAATCAATTCTTTCGTTGCATCAACAATTTCATTCGATTTATCGTTTAGCATCAGCAAATCACTTTCATTTATAACTAAATCGATAGAAGACAACGAATAATACGATCAAATTCTTTGCGGATACGAACTATCAGAGAGTTGAAACACTTCTTCAGGTTTTTGTGCATCGTAATTCGGTTTTGGTATGGCCATTTGTTCATCGGTATCCAATGAAATGATTGAATTATTATTTAAACTTTCACTTAACTGTTCATTGCTAGTATTCACTACTTGTTCTCGCGCAGCTGATACAGCTGTCTCGAGAATATTGGCTTCGATAGCGTTACGTTTTTTCGAGTGTACTGAACGACGTTTCTTTTCTGTTCCAAATTTTTCGTCAAGATCAGTTCGCTGAAAAAGAGAAAAAAAGGTCAGATTTGGATATCTCTGCAAAGAATGTCTTACACTCAGTTTATTATCATCATTATTCAAATTTTGACTGATTGTGACATTGAAATCAGTTAATTTAGGACGCATACTGTATAGATCGAAATTTGATGACAGATGAATATGTCCTTGATCATCGACAAATCCAAGAACACCACATAGATCCGACGATTTTGTATTTTGACCTTCATATGTCAAATCAGCTGTTTTTATGGTAGTTGTTGTTGTATCAAATTGTATATCGAGCATTTCCTCAGCTGTGATCTTGGGATTTTGAGGAAAATGAACTGAAAACATAAAGTAAAGTATGTTTTTCTGAGGAATTAGTTACTTAGGAAAAGTTAGAGAATTATACAAGTTAAAACAACATCCAATGACAATGAAATCCTTGTTTTTTTTTCTCTATATTGGTTTACTTACCAATAGCAAACGAATCTGTATTATTCATATTGAATATCTAAAAAGAAAAAGAAAACAAACATATAAGATTAATTCGTAAAAGTATCCTCATGATCAGCAGCCTACGTTGCAATCTAACTCTTTTCTACAGTACGATTTGATTCAAATATACTTACAAAATCAATTGTTTTGTGAATATTATCGTCAATTCAAATATATGAGCACTATCTAAAATATAGAATAATTCTTTAAACTTTGTTTACAAATGAACATGAAGGAGAAAAAAATTGAATAATTTCATCTATCGTTTCTGATCGATTTTTTCGAGAGATATCAATCTAGAACACAAAAACAAAGAAATTACAATCGTATCGATCGCTATTCACTTACGGTTTAAGTTGATCAGCAAATGATTTCATTTCGTCTCCGACTTTATCCTATTAAAAACAAGGAACTTTCTAAAGTACTTTTAAAAGGGAAACTTTACATCGAGCACTGATCCGATCAATGACATTTCGACGAAACAAGAATCTGTAAATGGTCGGCGATTTACCATTGGGTTTCCATCATTACGATTGCGCTCAGTTGACTAAACACACATGCAACAGTTTCAGTTCGACAAAAGTTCGCCGTTTAAATAAACGAAGATCCTTACCGTTGAAATTTTCGCCACAGTTATTTTTATTCTTCCTTTTCGATAAATATCACCTTTAGCATAAAATTCGTAGTCGTATCCAAAGCCGAGTTCTTGTAAAAATGCTTGAATGTTCTTTGTTACACAACAATCATGAAATTGTCGAATACTGACATGAGTGCTCTTGTCCAATTCAGCTGCAGCAACATACCGTAGATGATAGATCGGATTGGGTAAATCATCAAGAGCATAACGAACACGCAATGAAACATTTGTAGGTGCAGGCGGTCGTAGTGAATAAACAATTTCATGATCATCAAATAATTCCACTTCACCTAAACAATCAAATCTCGCTTTCGAATAAAATGAACTGAATCCTAACTCACCGGTTATATTGTCACATAATCCTTGTAAACGTGCTCGTAACAGATGGGCGGATTTATCCTCTATACTACCTTGAAGCACATACTCTAATGGTAGGAATGATGAACGATTTTGTCCACCTAAGCTTTGGGCTGGATCCATATTCCTTTTTCTACAAAATTTGATCTTTTTTAAACAGAAGAAAGTTCGTGTGGGTGTCATTGGCTCGTTTTCAGAACCAATAGTAATCATTTGCTGAAAACAATTCGTTGCACTTTTTAAATCTTTTTTTCGACAATTTTTTCTTTTTAATATGACTTTTTTCAATTTAAAATTGAATCAAAACTTGTCTTCGATAGATGTCGTCTAAGTTTTTACAAATCACGCAGGTAAGATTTTTTAAAACTTATATTTCATCAATATTTCGTTATTCAACTTGATGTTTATCAATCAAGGGAACGATAGAAATGATTTTGATTGGTTAAATTTTGACAAGCATAGGTCAATCAGCCATGTGATCTGGCATGCAAGGAACGTATGGGCCAGACGATGAGATTGAGTCTGACAATTTTTTCTTTCTTTCCTCTAACTCTGCGCGTAATTATTTGATCGACAATCTCGTCTTTTTTTTCTTGCTTGTTTAGAGCATTTTTCTCGTGCCCGCGTCAACTATCGTCGCTAGAAACAGAGATATTTTCTTCTTATTCTCAGTCATATCGCACCAAACAGCCGACATTCTGTATATACTCCGGTTAAGACAAAAACAATGAATGATTCCTTTTTATCCTCAACAACAACACCAGTGACAAAGTCAACTTGATTAGATCTCGTTTGTGCGTACTTGATTTTTCTAAACATGGACATATTCACTGTTTTTTTCTACTTTATTTCAAGGTCACAAAATGTACAAAGCATTAACGTCATTATGGTCAAAGCCATTACCACCATCAACAACAACAACATCTCCAAATAATAGAACTCGAGATTCATCAGATTCAACGGTTGATGAAGATGGTTGGATACTGGTTTCAGATAATGGTGAGGATTTGTTACTTCAAATCAATTCGTTCGAAATGTTTAACCTTGCGTTTCAGTAGTTGTAGAACCGAATACAACTTCATCAGATGATAAAAATAGTATAATGACTAATAGTTGGATCGCATCTCCACCATTAATGAGAACTGATCAATCGCTATCGATAAATAGATCATCATCACCGAATACACATCATTTTAATCCAATCGAGAATTTACTTATCGAACATGCGAGTAAGAAACCGATCAATCGATTTCTTGGAACTGATTGATATCAAATAATATCATTTAGGTATGAGTGTTTACGAGCAAATTGCGTCGCGAACACGTGCTAGGCGTCACCGAAAAACCGTCAATGATACGAAACTCGATGAACAAATCGAAGGAGTGAAAACTGATGATGACGATGATCGATCATCTGTCGTTCTTCAAGTAAGTCTATCGATTCGTTTTATTTAAACTTAATTGTGTTTGTTATGCTTCTAGTATACACCTCCACATCCGAATATCTCATCTGTTCATCTTCGAACTTTGAACACCTCGTTAAGTCATTCGACAAACTCTTCATTATCACCATTAGAATCGTCGACGTCATCACTCATTGCCCATCATCGCCATTTACAACGTATACATCAACGACGACGACGACGATCAGGTAAAACATCTTCCAAATTAACCTTAACGAATCAAATTGATGAATCAAAACAAACATACAATAAAATAATCGAACGGCAACGTTTAAATTATGCTCGTACACCTAAACTTGTTCTCCATCAACCATCCCGTGCCAATCATTGATTGAATAAACAACCAGCAAACAAAAATGCCAAGTCTGTCTAAACCCACACACACACTCTCTCTCTCTCAGTATTACAGTAAACGAAATATAAATTCTTTATCTATATATCTATCTATATAGAATATCAAACATGTAATCTTTTCCATGTCATTCCATAACTTCTTTTTCGTCTGTTTCTATACATTTCTCTAATCATGCACATTTGTCCTTGTATTTATTTGACTTTTTTCTTCTATTGACATTTTTTTACACCAGTGTATCTGTGTACATACGAATCGCATTTTTTCTCTTTCCTTTTGGTGTTGTAACGTCAGTGCTATGCCTAGTTTCGACTAAAGAAAATGAAAAATTACTTTATAAAAACAACATGTTCTTTTCGTCATGTCTATTTTCTGTTGTCTATCTGTATTTTTTAGCATTTCTACCGGATCTGAGAGCCTTTGAGCTGATATACATATATTTATATATTCGTAATATTACGCGCGCTTTTTCTTTCTACTACTTTTTTTCTTGCCCTTCATGTGTTATGTATGTGTGTATTTACGAAGCCTTTTTCACGGTTCAGTGTGTAAGAACGCAAAAGAAAAAGAAAAAAAAAAGAATCGTAAATTATAATTGAAATAAAAAAAAAAGAACAAAAGATAATTTGTATAAAGACAAATATGTTTTTCTTTATTGAAGAAAGATTATTAAGTAATTCAACATCTAACTATTGTCCATTTTAGTTCGAAATAGATTGTATTTTTCAATGACTAGCGACTCATGGCAATAAATCAAGGTGAATAGACTGCTTTGACATTGGCATTAATGATGAAAAGTACTTCAATATGTCTTTTGTATCTTTCAGGGTTCGATTCATTATCGTCAGATTCTTCGATAAAAGCCTTAACACTATCCACTGATAGCATAGTACCAAGAGAACACGATCAAATGCTACATTCACCTTCAAAATCATCTCTTTGGCATCGATATTCGTCATTACCGAATCAATATCCACTTCGTTTTCTCGGCCTATGTGCGCAGGTTTTTGTATATTATCTCGGTTATGGTTATTTACAAGTAAATTTAATTGTGAAGATTAACGTTGAATAGACATTTCTATGTATGGTTTCGCTAGGAATTGATATTTACATTGAAGGGTTTCAGTGAAACAGCTTGGTTTTTGACATGTTATCAGTTTCTGGTTTATAGTGTACTTTCATTTCGACATATTGGTTTTGTTGGGTTAAGCCAGCGCAGGTTTGATATGATTGCAATGTTTTTCCAATGATAATAAGTCAGATTTTTCTTTTAGAGCTAGTTTTCGTTCGTATATCATTCTTGCTATGTTGACTCTTAGTACAATGGGTTTGTCGAATTATTCAGTTGGCTATTTAAACTATCCGTATGAAAAGCACATTTTCTATTCGAAATATTTTCGTTTCATTGATTAATTTAGTACACAAGTGATGTTTAAATGTTGTAAATTGATACCTGTACTTATCGGTGGTGTCATCATTCAAAGTAAAGCTTAGAAACGGACGAATGACGAGATGTTTTGTTTGTATATTCAGAGAAAACATTCAATCGTTATGATGTATCTGCTGCGATTTGTATGTCAATTGGATTGATATTTTTTACCCTAGCCGATTCAAAAGTTCGGCCGAGTTTCAATACATATGGTAGAAGACAAATCACATGTGTTTTTGTATGAAGGATAATATGTTCTTTGTTTAGGTGTGTTTATCATTTGCATGGCACTGGTTGCTGATGCTATTATTGGTAATTATCAGGAGAAAATCATGAAAACACACAATGTTCCCAACGTGGAAATGGTTCGAGATTAAAATAAAAACGAATTGATATTTCCTAGGAAGTGTTTCTTCTAGGTTTTCTATAGTTTTATGTTTGGATTCTTAATGATTTTATTCGGACTCTTACTAACAGACAATTTATTTTCGAGTATCGCTTTTTGGAGCAAGGTTCGTGTATTTAGTTCTTTTTTCTTGCCTTCCATTAACTCTATTAGATACTCTCGCATCTTATTACTGTTTGCACATAGATAGAATAACTTAATTGAATCTTTATTTTAGTATCCTGTACAAACATATGGATACGCTTTGTTGTTCTCAGTATTTGGATATTTGGGCATTGATATTGTCTTGACATTAATCAAGGAGTATGGCGCATTAATTTGTGTCACAGTAACAACATGTCGAAAAGCAGTAACCATCGTCTTATCATTTATACTTTTTTCCAAGCCGTTTATTTTTGAGTAAGATGTTTAGCATAATCTTTGTATTATAGAAATTCACATGTTCTTTTGCTAGCTATGTTTGGTCGGGTTTTATTGTGGTTGTTGGCATTTATCTCAATGTTTATAGTCGCAACCAAGCAGCATTCAATGCCAAAATTGCATCTTATGCTACTAGTTTGTTCGGTTCTCATTGGGTCTCGAAATTTTATTCGGGAACATCTACGCGAACCTTATCTGTGTGATATTTTCCGTGAATCTCACATGTGTCTTTTTAGCATCATTATTATTTATTATATTTTGCATAGTTCAATTAAAAAACGACGAATAAAGAGTACAACACATATATTAGATTGTATTTCTAGTAAAAATATCATATGACATCATTGTTTTTTCGTCGATCGCATAAGATTTAATATCGATTTGTGAAACACGAGCCATTTAGTCAATATTTGATTTATAATCATGATGTTTTATTTATAAATAGAAACACTTGTGAAGAAACAACGAAATATCCACGTGATTGTATTACGAATAAGCGTTATCTTGAAAATATCTGAACGAAGATCGATGGAGTACATTCACTTGTCTCACTCGCATGATCTTCATGTGAAAAGACAATGGGAATGCTGATTGACCTCAGATCGTATGAAATTCGGTCATATTTTCTTCCACTTGTCGTCAGTAGGACACAATGTACTATTAAAGTGTAAGAGAAAAGTAAAATATAAATGTATCACATGGTGAAACATAATGGAAGATTAGTTTAATTTATAATTCTCATTCAGTTTGTTGAAAATCTAATAAGAAATTGATGTGTCAGAAATGATTGCATAGCAACGAAATCTATTGTATGTTATTTTTTGTCGTGTCTCTCATCGTTTTTTTCCCGATAAGAACCATCGAAATAAACAATATTCCAAGAGATATTCTATGTCTACATCGAAGCGAATTCGTCAATTGGCACTAACGAGTGACGATGATTTAGCTGAAGCTACAAGTGCTTTCATTGAATCTTTACTAATACCAACGAGTAGTATTTCTCAAACAAGAGAAAAACAAGTCAATTCCTTACATTCTAAACAAAAATCACCCGAAAATCAGTTACAAACTGAACGAGAAATCATATCAACTTTGAGTGAGTCTGTAGATGCAAATCGAATTCAAATCGGCAACGATAGAACGCCAAAGAATGATGTCGACGACTGGGTATGACTTCCTTGAATAGCAAAATACATAGAATCTTTTTTGACATACTAAGGTTTGTCCTGTAGCTGTAGCATTAAGACGAGCTGGATATGACGTAGGAAACTTGTGCTATATATATTTCATAATTAAAATTTTTTCTATTAGGTGCCACTTAGACCTTCAAAATCTTGGCTCAAACGAGGTCACTAAAGTTTTCCACTTACTATATATTTTATCAATCACTAGTTAACTGTTTCAGATCGAAGAAAACAAGCTTTACTACGTCAACAACGGATGTCACACGAAGACACGTAGTCTTTGTTATTATTATCTTGGCAGGAAAAGACACATGAATATTTTCATACCCTGTAACCTTATATCTGCTAAAGACTGCGCATGCTCGTCTAATCCTATCAAGTCAGTGTCATGATATATGGTTCAGACAAACTGAAAAATGATAATTAAAGATATCTTTTTTTCATGAAGCTCATTTTTATTTATCCAGTGCACAAGAGGATCCCAACGAGTGTATTTGAAAGTTCACACGAAGAACAGTAATAAAAGACTTCGTCATTCTTAGATGACATTCTACTATCCGATGAACTGTAGCTAATCCATGTCGGTTTCAAATTTAGTTAGAAAAATATCGAAATGTCCGGCCAAACTTCTGGGCAACTAATAATTACAAAAGAAAAGGCCAGATGTTTTCATTTTTCATAGGCTGACATCAAAAGAAAGAGATGTCAGATAAAGTTTCTAAATTGTGTCATGCATTAACAGCGCATTACACTAATGGATCGTAGACAGCGCAAGAATAATTATGAAAATCATAATGCTCTCACGAGTTTTTCTGTCATTATTAGAAAAAATTAATTGCTAAATTCACTTAGATAGACGTAAGCATTTTATCGTTCGTGTAAACACTTCGAAAATATCTGTAGAAGTTTGTAGGACTGTTTTCGTTCCATGGAAAATCTTTGGTTTCAAACTTGAAACAGTGCATTCGTATAATTGCAACAATTATCACATACAGGTACACAATATATGTGAGTAATAAAGGGAATATAATAGATATAGTGGCATTTCGCATCAGTTGATTTGACATGAACTTGCTAATTTTAGGAAACAGCGTCATATTTCTGTTCACACATGGATAGTTCATTCGTTGAGTGAAATTCAGCAGTGATAATTACCAATTTGATAAATATAGACTCATTATTAAAATGCAAAATAGAACCATTCTATCTGTGCGCACATGACACATTTCAATCATCTCATTTCTAAAGACGCAAATGGTTTGTAGCTTTCTCTGAAGATGAATCCCAGATATTCTTTTGTTCTTTTCACTTAGTAAGAACATTTAGGGTTCGTCACAGGGGAATCTTTTATTATGTCCATGCGCATGAACGCAACTCGTATAAACAGCTCATATCCTTGATTTTCTTTACATTTCAATCAAATATTTTTCTTCTTTATTTATTTATATCTTGACTCATGTGAATATTAAAAAAACGTATGCGATATATAATTAATAAAGTCACAAGTATGAATAATACGGCAGTTACACTTTACACCTTAAAAATACTTCGATGTGAATGTGCAAACCTTAGACTATTGTTTTCTCGATGGAATAGAAATAATATCTTTAAGTTCTTTTCTTAACAGAATATTAGAATCTTAAAAGCAATTTTACACTGCCGGCAACATGTTATGGGAAAAATAACGGAGTGTTCTCTTGAAATAAGGGGAAAAAACAACTTTCCTCAACAAGGACCCATTCCTTTGGTAGTTTGTTCTTTTATTTCGGTTCTTTCAAAAAAAAAAGGAGTTCCATTCGACCTTTGTAGAAACAAATCGGTAGCAAATGCTCAAACTGAAACTCAAGGCAATTTAACTTAGTTTTGCGTTTTTCTTCGTGTTTGAAGTAGGAGGAATCTGATTTGATCCTAACTACTTAGACAAAGTCTGATGAAGATTTATTCATATGACGTCAATTTGCTCGCAGTTTTTCCGTGGATTCTTTTGTCACCTTAATGAAATATTAAGATAAGACAATACTTTTCTAATCTGTAGATTTTTGAAAGATCAGATTCCCTGTGAGCTTATGGAGATATATATGAAAAGTGGATTTGTCTGAAGATAATGGAAACGATAGGATCTTGTTTTTTTCAAACAAATACTTTCATACAAAAAAGAAAAAAAAACAAGATCCTCTTGTATTAAGAGAAAGATTTAATGAATATCTCTCTGTATAGTCATAGAGTAGAGGAGAAAAAGAGAATACTATTAGAACCACCATAGATATAAATCGTATGTTCTATCACAATTATCTTCACTGCTAGGAAGAAAATCGTCATGCATAAATATTCAACGATTGATTAGATTGAGTCTTGACAAACAGGTAAGAATGATAAGATAATCTATTGCTTGAAGTTTTCCTGTATGAAACCTCGAACGCATTGTAATGAAAGATGCATTATCATTATTTTCTTTGTTCCTCGATATAATATAGAAAATCGATTTGTAAAAATGGAAATACGTTCGATTATTTTTTCTTACAGCCGATTTCCTTCCTCGCTAGTAGCTTAGACTGAGAAAATAGAGAATAAACCTCGCTGTTTCCTCAAGTAAGTTAATAGCTCAAGCAGAAAAATGGTATCCAACTGTAAAGAAACAAAGATTAACTCATGAATAATATGTCATTAGCACAAATGTAGGAAGTCTTCTATTCATTTCAAAATCCTATCTATTAGTTTTCGAATAAAAATAGCTTTACATTGAGATCAACAGGTTGATTTGGACTGACACTTCTTTAAATTAGATGTTTTCATATTCATACTTCCAACTAGTCTAGCTAGTTATTAGCAATGTCTGTGAAGTAAAAGAATGCGAAGGATGTACTAAAATATAGTTCACGCCCGAGAACGTGAAGAACAAAAAACAGGAGAATCAAAACGTCATTATCTATCAGTGCAAATTTGCATCCATCTCGATTGTCATAAATGGCGTTGATGAGTTTTGTATATCCTTTTCAATTCATTCATTGAGTAGTTTTTCCACTTCGCGCAGGACACTTGTATTGAGAATGGAAAGCTAAAAGAAAATTTTCTTTTTCAGATTTGAACGACTCGTAATCATGTTCACAAATGATGATCTTAATCGATGCCCATCAATATTCTACGGTTCATTTGCAAATCCGTTTTTCATCGAAAGAATTTTACTAATGATCTATGCAATTATATTCGTTGTCGGTGTGGTTGGAAACACCATGACAATCATCATCATCATATGTAATACGCATTTACGAACGCCAACAAATTTTTATTTATTAAATTTGGCAATCTCGGATCTAATGATACTCATGTGTAATCTGCCGACTGAAATGATTGAGATTCATTATCGACAATGGCCATTGCCAGTGATATTTTGTAAATTACGAAGTATATGCGCAGAATTTTTTACTTGTTCGTCAATTTTAACAATTCTCGCATTTACATGTGAACGGTACTTTGCTATTGTACAGCCAAGCCATTACCATCGTCTCAGTCATTTTCGTCGTGCTCAAAAAGTCATACTAATCATTTTATTCATCTCACTTGTGTTCAGCGTTCCATTCGGTTTTATCTATCAAATCGAAACGACCATTCACAAACTCTCGTCAAACTCTATACCTATTCCAGTTTCATCGTTAGAAGATCTAACAAATCTACAGTTCAATCAAACAATCTTTTGCAAATCTTGTGCGCAGAGGAAAAGCGTCACACACCTACTATCCATAATTATCATTATTACATCGATCTGTTTTTTCTATTTGCCAATGATTATCATCGGAGCCATTTACTTGTTCATTGTTAAAGCTCTCCGGCTTGTAAATAAATGTGAAAATAATGCAACAACTCAATTAAATTCAAGTTTGTCATCGTTATTAAGTGCTTCGAATATCGGAAAGAAACAAACTTCAACAACATCATGCCACTCACTTGCCACTCATAAGGATTTGACGGAAATTAAACAGCAAAATATGCACCTCGGATCTTATTCCTGGCTGAAAACACGTGCACGCTGTCAAGCACGGAAAGTTGTTGTGAAAACATTAGGTAAAATCAGCTAGAGTCATTTTTAATAACATTCTTCATCGACATATTTGTCTTTCTCTTCTTTAGTTGCAGTTGTTATCGCGTTTTTTGTTTGTTATGCTCCATTGTATGTTCAACGATTACTTCTAGCCATCATGAATTTGAATTTAACCAGGATATTCGAATCCGATGTATTTGCTAATATCATTGCTTATCTTTATGTTATATCAGGCACAACTTATTACTTCGGTTCCGTCGTCAATCCTATACTTTACAATGTTGTGTCGAATAAATATCGACGTGCATTTCGGAATTTGTTCTTCTGTCAAGTGACTTATAAATCGAAAACGACGAGCAAAGCACCGAAGACTTTGTTTCAATTAAACCGTCCAAACAAGCGAACAGTTAATTATTTAGTGAAAAAGCCAGAAACATTTCCTCAACTATACGTTCAAAACCATTATCAACTACCCATGAACGGAATAATCCCCATGGTAAAACGTCCGGCGATCCCCACATCGAAATCGAATTCATCATCGATGAGCTCACAAAATCGAGAACAATATCCACTCTATCTGCAACACTTTAATGAATCATTAGCAAAGAAATGTCAAGTATATCAAAATAGCCGAGCTTCTCTTCGAAGGAAATTACTTGCGCGAAAGATGCTTGCCGACAACGATCGATAGTTAATCACAAACAACACAACATAATCGAACTAATTCTCGACTTGACATTCAAGCCATATCAAATACAGCAGACTGTACCATGATCAGTGAAAGTCATCAATATGTGATATACATAAGCCGTGCAAATTCGTTGTGTACTTTCATATTGTTTGTTATTAATGATCAGTAGAAGAAAAATAATAATAAATCGATTGACGACCGATCAATTATTTGTCTAAAAAACGCAGATTTGTTTAGATTTCTGTCTTGTGAAAACGACCGATGATAACTGGAAAAATTACTGATGCATTTCTATGGTTATAAACATTAATCAGATGAATTCTAGCGAATAGAATTTGTAAGAGAGAGAGAAAAGCCGCTTTTCGAGCCTCAAGAAATCTAAAAAACACTTTAGATAGCTCTTCATTCACTATCATTGATCGCCCTTACACTTTTCTTCTTCTCCTTCTTGGCGTCAGTTTCCTTTTTCCTATACTTTTTTTGTGTTTTCCGCAGTCAATTTTCATTCTTTTTTTTCTCATCAAATAATAACACACATCGAAAAAAAAAGGAATAAGTAAAACCTAGGAGAAATAAAGACAAAGCTTGTTATTCAGTCGACGAATGAACGAGTGCAGCCATTGGAAATGATACGATGAATGAATGTAAAGTAGCTAATGTGAGACGAGAGAAGAAAATACAAAGTGTATGCACAAGAGATGAAGAAGCTAGAGGAGAGATGACTACGAATAGAATATGATAAGAAGATTTACATCATATGCATATTGTTGTCTATTAGTTAACGTCTTTCAGAAGGACGAAACATGTCTTGGTATCATTCAACATTGTTAAATACCGATCGACGTCCATCGCGTATAATTGCAAGTTGTAAACAATTTTCACGACGTGTTAGTGTTGGTATTTCACGAGCGGTTCGTCGTATACAAGTACCAGGTAAAGTTGAAACTAGAAAGCTAAGTATTCACATTTTCATATTGTTTTTATTCAAAATAGATGGTCTTGCTCTGTTGAACTGTATAATATAGGAAGACTAGTCACTCTTTCATCCATATATACGTCTGACAGAGTAGAAAATAATAAGAAATATCAATGAAGTATCTCTTTTGCGTGTTAGACTGTGTAGAATGCGAGTCATGATCATGACGTTTCAATAGTTGACAAGTTGCGAACATCTGTGAAGTATTTCTTGACAGCTGGTTTCCTAACCAATTACTGTAACAGTAATATGTGTGTGACTGACTGACTGACTGCCGTATCCGCGTTCATTTCTATTTTGAATGATTCTTAAATGAAAACGATCAGTTTGAATTGATTCCGTAGAATAAAGCAACTAAGGCTGTAGAGTAAAAAGGCTTTTAAGTAAATTTATACCCGAAAAGACTTTTTTTCTGATTAACACAGGTTATTGAGTCTGGCCGTCGTTGGTCTATATCCATGATGGAATCGCCTCCGTTTTGATACTATCTTTATCGTCATCATCTGATCGAGCTGTGAATAAATTAATTGCTGAAGTGATTATTGTTTCTTTTCCGTAGTTTATATTCGATAAGTGACACTGTATTCTTCTGATAATCAATTACTCGGAAATCTTTTTTCTTTTTCGATACAAATCGAATAAATTCACTTGACTAGAAACAAATTGATTTACACTCTAGACGACAGGCGTCTTGTCAACAAAACATTCTGATATCGATTGAGTTCATGGAGATGACATAACATATTTCCATCAATTAATTAGTATCATCAATACATGTATAACATAGATATAACACATATATGGCGGAGCGGATGTTTACAAGAAAGTGTGTTATTCTTTACTGTAGAGTATAGCTATGAATCCAACTGTTCGTTATTTTTTTTTTCTAATTGATTGTAAACATGAATAATGGAATGTTGTTCCAAGTTGAAAAGTTCCCATTGTACGCTGTGAATTCAAATGGGAATCGTTGTTTTGATCAAACATTAGTCATATATTATTTATTTGATCAAACTCTCGGTTTTTATATGGATATTTGTCTAGACTGTTCATAAATTATTTTATGTGCTTAGGCATGACGAACTGATGATAGTAATTGAAACGAGTTGCCTAAATGTCATCTTTTGCTCTCAGCTTGATACACAAGCAAATAGTCAAAAAAGAAGAAGACCGGAAAGATAGAATAGAAGTTTCTGATAGAGATAGGTCGTCAGCATGCGTCGAATAGTTCATAACTGTTTATATAACTAAGAGTCATGGGTGCTAACATAGCTGCATTTTCTGAGGGACAATATAATTTCAATGTTAGTAAACGCAAACGATTGAAACGAAGAGGTACGTATGGTACGAGTCGCAATGGAAGTCGTAATGAATAAAAAGTATTGATTGAATGAATTTTGTTTGTGTTCAAACTTAGATAATCGATTGGATGGTGGCCAATCAAAAAATCTTCAACATCCACGTTCATTAGATGAAATTGTTAAATGCACTCGATTTTCCAAGTCTGAAGTTCGTCTTCTTTATCGAGGTTTTAAGCAGGTACGAATGATATTCTTTGTTTAAAATCAAAGATTACTTTGCCCTTTTTGTTCAAATGTAAATCAGGAATGTCCTAGTGGAAATGTAAGCGAAGAACGATTACGTGAAATTTATGTGCAAATTTTTCCTCAAGGAAGTAAGATGCACTATTTGAATTACTCATCTTTGTTTATCTTGTTTCTTCATGTAGATGCACTCAGATATACTCATTTACTCTTTTCCGTGCTCGATCGAAATCACAAAGGAACATTCACATTTGATGTAAATCTATTCGTCATCTTTTATAAAATGTTCCCTGATAAAGTATATTTCACTTTCTAGGATTATATATTGACACTGTCAGTACTATGTCGCGGAACGATTGACGAGAAATTACGATGGATTTTTCGTTTATATGACATTAATGGCGAAGGATCAATAACACGAGATAGTGTTGCTGAAGTTATTCTATCGTTCTATGATCTTCTCGGTAGATCTGTGCAACCTCGTGTCGAAGAAGAAGATGTTCAAGAGCATGTTGATAGAATTTTTGAAGTATGCATAACGAAGAGAGAAGAGGAAAGACAAGATGAAAAATGACTTGAATTTATTTTAGAGTATTCTGTCAACATCAACTGAAGAAATAGCATTAGAAGATTTCATCGAATATTGTAAACACGTAGGTTACTTTCAAGCCTTACCGATTGAAATTCTGTAGTTGAAGACGAAAAATAACTTTTTCATGTTTGTTTCTTTTAGAAACCTCAATTAATTGAATCAATTCAGACATTATCGTGTTGCATATAAAAAAATCCTTTCGGAAGATTCATGTATTTGTCTATTTAATCAAAATTTTTCTTCCATTGGAAATCGATTTGCTTCCATCATTTTATCACGAGCTATGACATCAGGTGGATATGGTGTACGTCGGTTCAATACACGAATATCAGTGGCCGGATTCACCGATCGAAATGACGTTGGATGCTGCGGACGAGTTGAACCTTGAATGTTCGATCTAAATATGTCGTTTCTATTTTCATTGCGTCTGTAACTGTTGTTGACTGGATATGATTGATCATTAGTACGTGAAGAATAAGACTCTTCGCCGATAGTACTCATCGTATCAGGATAATATTGAGGTCCATCACGTTTATTTGATGATTTAACGTATTTCGAAGGTTTTATCGGTATTGGAGCTATCGGTGTAGAATGTTGATCTGTTGTCATAGATGAAGATCTTGATAATATTTGAACTGGTGACATGATTCTTGGATTAGGTGGCTTTTTACATCGCATATAGATATATATAATAGAAATAATGATGACTGCGATGAATGTAACACCTGCCCATGATATACTAACAAGCACCAGAATAGTTAATAGATCGTTTGAAAAAGGCTCCATGATTTGTTGTACTTTTTTCTTTTCACTTGTCGTTTGATCGTATTTGTCAAAACTTTTATCAATAAACGACTTTTATCGTCAGTCAGTCGTTTTTCTTCCTTCAACAACTCTTTTGAATATCAGTATTATATACTCGTTTCGAATTTTATTACTTTTAGAGATAATCGTCTTAAAATTTATGCAAAATAAAAACGTTTGCGTCTTATCTGAAAAGTATATTTCAATGAAATTTGACAATAACAAATATTAGTAATTAGAATAAGTGAGATATTTATCAATTCGATTCTAGAGTTGTGTCATGATCTCTGTGTATAGATACGCATTACCCAAAACTCTACTCTTCAACGATTGCTTAGTATAAGAAAATGCGCTCTTTTATAAATACCTTCTACTAATGTTTCGCAATGTTACTGGCGCACAAGAAGCTGCTGTACATAGACAATCGCTCGATAGTTTACCGAATGGTAGTAAGCCGATTCGATTAATCAAAGATATTCAGTCAGATGATATTGCGGAAGCCTATTCGGATCTGATGAATAAATGGTCCAATCAGCGCGAACAGTTAATTGAAAATCTAGAACAACTTGAGAAACATAACAAAACATTTCCTCAAGATATTCAACGCGTAAAAAATCTCATCGAATGTCTCAATGAACTGATAAACAATGGCGAAATCGATAAAAATTGCCATGAACTATTAAATGATACAAATGAAAATATTCAACCAGCACCCGAAACCTACGCTCTACCTCGAAAATCATTAGGTGATAGATCCATACGATTAGCACGACATTCTTCAAAAACGATACCTGACGATGCAAGTTGCTCGTCGGAAAAAATATCGTCAAGAACAACTTTAACACAACAGGTAATATAAGAAGAAGATGTACTTTTCTCATGACTAAAATTAAGTATAGAGATTGATGTTGTAAATTTTCGTTATTCAGTTGTGACATACGCTATCGACTTTCTTTTATATTCTTGTGAGAGTAGGAGTGAATTTATGATGAAAGAGCATGACTTAATCTTGTACTGAATAGTGCAGAATGATATCAGATCTATTATCATTCAAAACACATGTTGCACTTTTGCTTAGACTGACCGCCGAAGAAATTCCGATCGGCAACAACGAACCAAAAAGATCGACTATGATGGTTTGTCAAGATCTGATCGATCTACTGGAAATATGACAGCTGGTATTAAGTTTTATGCCGTTGCTGATCTTTTTCGTAATGATCAAGCTGATTCGAAAAGAAGCAGTGAAAGAAAGCATTATTTTGCGTCATCCGTAATAGAGTGACATCTGGAAAGAGAATGAATTTGACCCAAATCGTTCGAAAAGTTTTATTATTCGAAATAAATACCGATCACATCATATCCTAACAAAAGTGTGCTTGCTTGTTCTGTTTTGTGCTAAAACGATGAGATCATAATCTTTTGTTGCAACGACGAAAACGTGTCACGGTTGAGTCCATTCGATGATTATTTTTTGAAAACATCGACTACAAGTAACATCAATCATGTCGCACGAAAGTATGTCTTACCGACCTATGGTAACCACAAATGAAGAATTGAACGATGAAAAGTGGTCAATGACCGATCGATTAACTCCGATAGGCGGTCCGTCGTCCGATACGGAATATGGCAAAAGGTATGTGCGTTTGTCTCGATTGCTTTCATCTGTTAATCTATCAGATGCTTTCTCGAATTATTTTAGTGCCGATGAAGAATTCAATGAAAGAGACGTATTACTAGAAGAACACGAACAATTAACAACTTCACTTGCTGCACTAACTCGCCATTTTGCACATGTGCAGTTACGGTTACAGCAAGTTGTGTCCGCACCCACGCCCGAGGACCGTGAGGTAAAACGAGGACATTTTTCCATTTGAGTTTCTCTTTTTTTTCTATTTTTCTAGAACTTACTTTTAGAGTTACATGAATTTGCATCGAATGGTATACCAGACATCATGTGTCAAACAACTATCGATGTACAAGAACAAGTGATCGAAGGAGAGAAATGCCGCGAAAAAGAATTTATCAATGAATTAAAACAAAAATTGGATGAACTAGAACATTATGCAGCTGCATCTGGTTCCTTGGAGGGTGCACCAACGTCTGTGATGATAGAAAAACAGCGTATACTTATCGATCAATTAAGACACAAACTTCATCTTCAATTGGATGATGCCTCTGTTTCGAAATTATCGTTCGTAGAACTACGAATAAATAACGTTTGTTTACTGATCATTTTCTATTGACCTATTTAGTGCCGAAGAATTAAGAAAATTGGTGGACCAAGCTATATATCAGGTACGAGTCTTCAAGCATGTGACAACGAATATTATATAAGAGAATTTACTGTTTCCATCATTGTAGTTAACAAATCCAGTAAAACTGAAAGAAAACCTAATCAATCAAATGCGTACCCAAATCGGTGATTTAGAAAAATTCATTGAATTTCTTAAAAGTAACCATGATCTTCCTTTGCTCGGCCGATTGAATTCTAATCTTCAATTGTAGGTGACTCCATCAATTCAGCATCAGTGGCAGTGACGACCAATGATTCTGTTCCATCTTCTCCTCAAAGTGTACAATCACCCTTACTCATCAAATCGAAATCTCATTCTGTATATTCTGAATTTGCACATACCTTTCACACTTTTGTTCTCTGTTCAGACAGCTGCCCTTCCATCATCAAAGATTTCGCAATCAACAAATCCATTTTCCTCCCGTTCTCAAACTGAACACCATTCATCGAACATAGCACAATCCTTGAAGAAACTCTTCGTTTTAACTCAACTCTACACATTTTTACTATTAACCTGTGGTACGCGATCAATGAAGAAAAACAAAACAAAACCAACATCGAATATGACAAAGGATATCATCGCAAAAAAGCATTTTGGGTAAAGTTCCTACAGGAAGGCATTTCTTTTATACAATATTTTTTAATTGATTAGAGATGTTCGAGCTAAACTTGAAATGGCCATCGAAAATGTTCTCAAAGCCGTCCAATTAAATCAAATAGTACCAAGTGATATCGACGACACTGCGGAAGTTGGCATAGAAAAATTGCATAGCGTGACGAACCGATCATTCAATTTTGTTTAGAATGAATGTGACTCAACAGGAGTGATTTTCTGTGTTCGAAACGAACTTGCACCTGCCCTTTGTTCTTTACTGGAACATGGTCTTTACGAAGTATGAATTGTTGTTCTTGACAGAGTTTGATTTTCCTTCTTCGTAGACTAGTTATTCAACATCTCTGACGATCTTCGGATGTTTTTCAAGTAAATTAGCTAATAATAATTCTACATCGAGTGAAACAATGCATGCGTGGAAATTATTTTTGAAATATTATGAATTAAAAGTACGTTAGACTTGGACAAAAAAATATATTGAGAACAAATTCGGATTTTCTTTGAAGCATGGAGATGAATTCGTCAATAGTCCAGCTCGTAGACTTTCACAGACCTTTTCACTGGATGTTGTCGGTGGTAAACCGATAACAATGAGACAAGTACGAGAAAATACGACAAAGTTGCAAAAACGAGAACTTTTCTCTGTGTGTATATGTCAATTTTAGTCATTGTTAAGTGGTATCGATATGGTTGCCAAATTACATGAAAAGCATGCAAAGTCAATGGATGCATGTTTCAAATCATTCGTATGTCATGCGTTGAAGTATGTCACTATAATTGTAATCTTTCAAATGAATGAATGACTGTTTAGTGAAAAGAAACTTGTTCCATTTCTTCGAATTATTCTCAAAACTGGACAAATTGTTGAAAATGATTATCAACCATGGAGTTACACAAAGCAAACTGGTAAATTGTCGTTTGTTTTCGTTAATAGAATCTAGTTTGAATGATAATGTAACAGGTTTCAATGATGCTCTTCATTCACTCTCTCGGTTGAGCTCAATTGATTTTCGACTTCCAGTTGATCTTGCCGTTCGTCGGTTCGTCAGTAATCAAGATCTAATCGAATAATTCATTGATATCAGCGGCAATCCATCTAGTCATTAACTTATTTTCGAGAAAATCTCGACGCACAAGTATCGAAACATGTACTTCTCTACAATACAGTAACATGTGTTAGGAATGCGAATCTCTTTCTTTTGTGGTATTCCGCGTAACTTTTATTATCTTTTCTTTGGATTTTCTTGTGGTAAAGCGATTGTGTGCTGTGCATTTTTAGCAAAAAAGACACGAAGTATATCAATCAGCTTGGATTGCTTTGATCAAAACAAATTCTCATATCTTATCGTTTTAGATCATAGAATGAATTCCACATGACACAAGAGTAAGTTTCTTTTTACTTCAAACTATGCTATAGACGAATCTTCTCGATGCATTCCAGATTTTTCCGACGATCCGGATGCATAGCTTAACATTTTGATGTCTAATAGAATCATTATCTTGATCTTCATATTCGATTTCTTTCCATCTTGTTTCCACCATCAGTTGTATGTACTCGATAACTTTCACTTACGCTAATGAAGGAATAAATGTTTCTAAACTTGATCGATGCCCTTCCGTAAGTACATGAAAATCGACATTTGATAATTGAAACTGGTTTGTTATTCAACCGAAACTTTCCCGCACAAAATGTTTGAACGATATTTCAGATAAATGAATACTGAGTTCAGTCCTGGCGTCGATCCTGAAGAAGTAAGTAATATTTCCACTGAAGAGCTTTCTTATTTTTGTATTATCTAGATCAAACAATATCTGCATGGACTCGGTCTCATACCAGTCGATGAATATTACAGTAATTCTTTCGTATGCACGTTCCTGATATGATTTCTAGTTTGTAGTTCAATTGAGACAAATGTTGAAACGTCAGGAACAATCATCGAAGACGACAAATGAGCAAATACAACGTAAACTAGCTGAAAACGGAATTCACAAAGATGATCTATCGAAAAATTTTTCAGTAATTACACATGTGTTTGATTAGAATTGATGTTTCAATAACAAATATTATCATTTTAGTTACTGTGTCCACGAAAGCGGGTATCTTTTTCACCAGTCATCACTCGTAAGCGCGGTAAAAGGAAAAATTTGCATTACTTCTCATGCATTAGTCAGATATTCCTTTCAGGAAAAGCAATTAAAAAGCGAACACCATCTGCAAGTCAATTAACTACTGTCACGACTACCGTGATTACATCATCAACACCAATGAATGATCAATCGGTGAGAAATGAAATCATTCTGTCATATTGGACGGTTTTTTTTTATAATTATTTCTCATTCTTTAGTCTACACAAAAACGAACGGAGGAATCAAATATAATCGGTTATGATCAACCATTAGATTTACGTGTACGAACTAAATCGGCCAGTAAATTGTGATAATGATTAATGATTTTCTGTGTCAGATATACATAAACTTGTGTCTGTTAAAATTGATTCTATGTATAATAAAAATATATGTTTATACACTTCGAATAATTACGCCTTTTGCCTTCACAGTTGACAAATCGACTGTTGTACAAATTCGATTGAATTGTTTGCGTCATTCATGAGTGCTGTTTGTCACATCTCGACAGAACCTATCGTGTTTTGTCTACATTGTAGTAAATGCCCAGCATGACATCCAACGATTAGAAGTAAATGCAAAGCAAACATGTGTCTAGTTTCATTTCTCTCGGTATTTTCTGTCATCTCAATTATGCTTTGTCAAACGAAGATGTTTTCTCTTCGCCGAAAAAGACTCATCCTTCATCCATGTTCGATCTCTTAAGGAATAAGAGCTACTCGAATGGATAAGACAAATTCAGTGCATAAAATTAGTAACATACTGTTGTATTCAAGAGAAAATAACCTTGGAAACATCTGTGACAATTTCTATTCGATATCATATCTTGTAAGATTACTGTACAAAAATGAACGAAAGTGACACTGATGTCTTCGCAATAGGATGAAACATAATAGACTGAAGTAATCTTCATAGTTGGATTATTTCATGTCTCGTGAAATCATTATATTTGACTTACATAACCTATGTTACAGAGATGATGGTTGATTTCCGTTGAATTTCATATTGTTAATTTGAAGTTGATGAAAAGAATCTTCTCAGAAAAGAAATCCTCGCAGATGCACATCAGTTGATTGATATTATGTTTTCTTTTCTTTTCTATTCAAAGATTGGTGTTTTGTTCTATTAACAGCAACTATCGAAATACGATTGATGACAAATATCTTTCCTTGGTTCTTCTTTTCTTCTACTGGTAAACTAAATATTGACATTATTTAGACATTTGATCAGAACTTCGACATCTAAAGAACAACATCAGAAGCCCGAAATGTGTGTACACAAAAAGTGTGTATCTTAGTTAAAGAAGAAGTAATTGAATGTTCCCGTTCGGTGACATTCAAATAGTGGTAAAAGTATACAGACACACATATAGACATTCAATCAAAATAAGTACGAGTGTGGGAAGAAAGTGTTTGAAAGAAAAAGTAATTCTTTCACCCTGCTCACACTTTAGGACAATGAAGAAAAAAACGAGAACCGTTTCATGCGTACTTTCTTTTCCACTCAGTAAAATCATCATTTTTTTTCTTTTTTTTTTTCTTCGTCGTTTTTTGCAGCTCATCATTACCGGACTTTTCGCAGCCGGGAATAATGTCACAGCCATCTCCGACTCTTTTTCTCTTTTCTGCCTACCACAGAAAGAGAAAAGCCACATAGACTCACACGTACATATACGTTCTTCCAATAAAACATGTTACTTTGCCGAATGTCGCTAGACAGTTAGACGGAGAGTGTACTCATTAGTGATTTAGCAACAAAAGCACCGACAGTAAGACGATTTGATGGTTAATTTTGTTGAAATAATATTTGAAGAATACAATAAAGAAAGAAAAAACGGAGAGAGGGAGAGAGAAGTGAATTTGAAGGCAAATTGCTGTTTTATTAGCAAATTAGCTTCTTTACACATCCAGGTAAGTTAATAAGATATTGTATTTCTTACATTTATTTTACACAGATACTTTACATTTGAAAAGCCACTAATAGAAGGAAATGATTAACATCGTATTGATAAGAGCAAAGAAAACGATAGAAAAGATACTTTTTAACAGACGGTTTCTTTCGTGTGAATATTGTGAGAAGTTTGATAAATTATTTGTTTGTTTTTTATGAAGGTAGAATTTTTGTGTATATTTGTTAAAAGAAAACATCATTAGGAACACAAAATTTGTTCTTTTTACCGATCACACACGATAATGCAAGTTGAAATTCAATTCTCGGTAAGATTTCTCTTCTTCGTTGTTGCTCACAAAGAATTATGTAAATCTTTCTACTTATCTAACTTCAAGATCGTATGTTATTATTCAAACAAGACCTTGGTTTCAGAGATATTTATATTGTCGATGGAAGATAGACACTAGCTGAGATGTTTTCTTGATAACAGATACAATATGAAACGTCGCGAACGTGTTAGAACATCTATTCCGGATAAAAACAACAAACAAGTACTATCTCGATTGAAGACAACGCGCAGTAGAAGAAATTGTCGACTAATCTTAATAATCATCTGGTAGTTATTGAAAACGTCACGCAAATCATTCGATTGAATGCGTGAGATTATACCAAGAAGAAAATTGTAGCATGTAAAACCAACTAATTTTCTTTAGGCATGTCATTTGACACTGCGAATGTCTCCTATCATAGTCATTTTCTCTTGCAATGAAGATTGAAACTTCTCACATGTCATCTTTTCTGTCTATTCGTTATCAACTACTCGAATACCATGGAGAAAATTGAATGAACGATTTTGTTCATCATTTCTGCACACACTTGAATAACTTCTTCAAGTTGAAAATCAATCATTTTCTTCCTGCATGTTGATTGATTCGGATTGTATTCATATTAGACGATTCAATGCTTAACCATTTCTTTTTCTTTCTCTTCTGTCCTATCGATTTCTTAAAGAATATTATTATTGAGTTTCCGTCTCGGTTTTTCTCTCTTTGATTTTCTCCGGAAATTGCCGGAAGCTATAGAAGATATAATAATTTTTTTTAGAAAAAATAGAATTTGTTTTGACGACTACAACTCGATTTGAAATGTCCACATATTTTCACATAAGAAACATCTATGCATCATTCTAATCATGACAAATTAGTCCGCGTGATTCTTGAGAGGCTTTCGCTGAGACTAGTGATATAAATATACGAACCGATACTTTCATGACTTAACTTAACGAGCATGCCAATGAGAAACTATTTTGGTTTCTCTGATTATTCCAAAGGTAAATGTTCATCCTTGCTGTACGTTGTTTCATATCGGAACGAGAAGATAGTTTTAAGTAGAATAAAATGAAACCAGCTCTGAATTTTTCACTGGATAATGCCATAGTTTCATTGTCTATTAATAATAGCTACTGAGAAGTTTGTTGAGGAACGCATAACGACAAGGCCAGCTCTCTTGATTTCTGTTTTAGTTTGGCGAAGACCTACTTTCGTTCGAAGAAGAGGAGGAGGAGGAGGAGGAGGAATCAAAATAAATATTCATAGCGAGCCCATTTGTACCTTGCAACGATAGCGCACGGTCAAAGAGAATATTTAACTTCGGTAAATCTATCTGCTTACCATGAATAACGTTAATCTAGCCTTTTTTTTGTTTTTTTTCCGCTCTATTTTCAGATATAGTTGTTTAACTGAGCGACTATGCAAAATTTATCATCGGCATCAGCAGAAACAACTCGAATTGAAGTGGATGTATCGGAGTTCTCTCGTGGTGAGATTGCTGTTAAACTTCGACGTGATAACACCCTACTTGTACACGCTCTACATCTCGATCAATTTGCCGCAGACAACTTTTTTCGAAAAGAATTAGTGAAAACATTTCCTTTACCTGCCGGTGCTGATGCTGATAAAATCCGTTCTGTTATACGAAACACAGGTGTTTTAACAATCGACATACCCATGCTACGCGATAACGATGCTATACGACGTTCACATGAAGAATTATTAAAAACAATTGATCAGCCAACGAAAGCAACTACAAACGATTACAATCGTTCGGCATCGCATGCCGATGTTATTAGTTCAAATTACCAATCGGCAAGAGCACGACCGTCGACAGTTCCCAAACGAACAAGTAGTCTAGGCGATATCGAATATCGTCAAAATGCTAAGTATTCGACAACACCATTCAATATGGCCGACTTTCTACAATCACAATTTCGACCAACATTTGCACCCAACGGCAAAAAATTAATCCTCAAAGTTGATACACGTGGATATGAACCTGATGAATTATCTGTACGTCTACTCGATAATAATCTCTTGGTACAAGGCAAAAAGAAACATTCACCAGGAAGTAAAAAACACGAAAGCAAACAATTTAGTCAAAGTATTCGTTTACCAGACGGAATCGATAAATTTAATGTGACATCACAAGTCATGGATGATGGTGTACTTGTCATTAATGCACCGTTATTCGATTCCGCGGTAAATCGATAAGAAAACTATGAATATGATTTAGATAGATTTATTTAAATAAATTTTTTTTCTGGAAAAAAACACACGAGATTTTGATTAGAGAAGAAAATATATTAGTCTAGTTCGGTTTTTAGAACAAAGAACATCATCTACATTTTTGATCTACACGTCCAAAATGTCATTTAAACTTATATAATTGAACAATCAAGCTTTGACGTTGAGTATAGATGAATAATTTGCTCACTCATCAATGAGAATCTTCAAGTTTGAAGTTTATTGCACACAACAAGACAGATCTATCTATTTGGAATGACAAGAATCAATGTTCATATCTGATAATATAAGTCAATTAGCGTATTGAGACGAAAGAGAAAGAAAAGCATTACTTCTGCGCTTTTTCCATGTAATCGACTGTATTTGTATTGCTTCATTGACCAGATCAGTCAATCTGATTGTTCTAATACAAATATTGTTTTTTTCCTTTTCTCTCTCCTTGCTTATCATCTAATTGGTCATCGAAAATTTTGCATTACATCGAATACATCTTAATATCTGTTTATCAGTATTATTTTTATCTAGTAATTAGATGTCCAATCAAACAGACATCCGGAAAAGAAAAAGAAAATCGCCGGCTCTCTCTCTCTGTTACTATGATCAATCTTATTTTTTGGAAAATTAATCGTATACGATGAATGAAAACGTGGAAACATGGCCTTTTCTCACGGCCACAGCATCAAGCACACATTCATCAATAACAATGACTTCTTCTGTTTCAAATATACCACTGCCGTCGTCGTTTCCACCACCACCACCCGCGCCACCGCCAACCATTCGTGAACGGAATCGAATGCATGCGTTGAATGAAGCATTCGACGAATTACGTCGCGTCGTACCAAAAGCTAATCTTCACGATCATCAACGTTTATCGAAAATCGCAACACTTCGCCTTGCTATACACTACATCAGTTGTCTTACACAAATTCTCGATGCCAATCGATCAACGAAATCATATCCTCATCAACTTCTGTCACCAACAATGTCATCCTCGCCGACTGCATCGTATTTACAACAAGAATCATTTATTTCAGCTCGACGAAGAGGACAACGACTTCGACGAAGAACACGACGAACAACGCAAGATGAACAAATATTTGATGAGGTGGACGAGTAGCTTTCTTTTTTCAGAAAAAAAAACATTCATACTGCGCTTTTCTATGGAACAGAGTGATCTGGCATAAATCAACATTACAATGCAAAAGTTGTGTTTAAGCAAATATAAAATTGCCATTAACAGCACTTATACTCATTCTGACAATGACTTTTTATCCATCATGTAATACACGAAAGGAGTGTTTCTCTGACGGAGTTTGTCTCTAAAGGCAAAGTTATAAATATGATTGTACAGCATGACAATGGCAATTTTAGAATATCGTTGTTTTCTACGAATAGAAGAATATTTTTTCAGACGATAAGGTTAAATATACTATCTAGTAACGCATTTTATTATTAGACGCAGAAGTATGCTGATAGACGTCTGTTAAGTACGAAAAAGCCAGATCGTTGACAAGGCAATCAGTGCAAACAATGACCTTCCGTGATGAAATACCGTAAATGTAAACGTGTACACATATTCACACGAAACTTGTCTAGAGAAACGCTAAGAGACGTATAGGACTTTGTATGCTATCAGATCTTTGGCTGACTAACATCCTTTCGACTGAATACATTTAAAGCGTACTAATCGAAATATTTCATTCGCAAAGTTGATATTGTTTGTATGATTAAGGTGAATTGTCAACATAACGTACCGATGAAAACATACCAAATACTTTTTCTTGCTGTTTTACTTGAACGGCTTTCCTAGATAATATTATACAATGATATGGTGATTAACAGAAACCATATCGATTATTTCATCCTGTCGCGTTATCAATGTATTATTTATTACCAAAATATTCAATGCACTTTGAAGGAATAGGCAAGACAGGTGATGAATTGTTGTTCTTTACGTTAACAGTAAGAATTCTCACTAACTATGTTACTTTTGAGTCCTTTCGGGAGTTCTATGATTGCTTTCGATATTGTACATCTAAACAATGCATTGACTTTGTCATTTGTATGGATCTACATCTGATCGGTTGCTCAGTTTTTTCCGCTTTCGTTGTTATTTTACTTACCAAACGATCTCACAAAACTAACCTTCGTCATTACATAAATTATGTTGAAATTGAATGCATCGTAAGTATATAAGAAGTTTAATCTATATTAATGAAGTATTCAAAACAGCTTGGCACTGATTACATAACAACCGGAAACGGTCAAAGATTGTTCCACTGTCTTCTACTCTGACTACTTTTGTTTTGCTTTCTTCTTCACTTCGGTACCAGCTATAACTGTCATAAACCAACACATCAATCTGACAGCACGTGTCCCTAGATTGTAGCTATGAGATTTTACATGCCTATTCAGAAATAACAGAAGGAAAGAAAAAAAAATGTTATCCATTCTATACGCGCACACACCACATCATCATCATCATCATTTTCTCTTTTTTTTTCTGTCGTTCTTACCGTAGATTTCATTAAATTGCAAGAAACAAAAACTATTCATATAAATCTTTATGAAAAGAGAAGAATAAAATAAGACTGCTAAATTTTGTTCTTAACTAGTTCGCTTCATGAACGTTTTCAATAGCTTTGACACATATAAACAGGTTCTTTTCTATTACATAACAACCTTTTCTTGTTAACTTTCAGATTATATACACAGAAACATCGGACGGAAATGTCTTCAACACCATCAACTTCTATCGATGAACCAACAACATTAACAAACAGCAACAGTGATAAAAATAGAAAAGATTATGGAGCCAATAAATGTATGCAAGTGCTTTGCACTCGTTCACTTCTTTGCAGCGCTAGTTATTTTGGTCTTGCTTACTTCATCCAAGGCGTCACTGATATTGCATCTGGATTTGTTAATTTACCATTACAAACTATCTTGAAAGATAAACTTCAGTTATCACCATCTCAGATGGGAACATTTTTCTTTTCGTGTACAGTTACGTAAGTAGATCGATGAAATGTTCTCTCGAAAAAAAAGACATTCGTTTGGCTTTTTGTTTCAGCTGGTCAATTAAACCGTTGTATGGTCTTCTGAGTGATTTTGTACCGATCTGTGGTTACCATCGTTTGATTTATCTCTTGATGACTACGATGATTAATTTATGTGCATGGGTGGCTCTTTACTTTGTTCCAATTGAATACAATTATTTGCTCCTTTTCTGTGTCTTAGCAGCATTTTCACTCGCCTTCAACGACGTTCTGAGTAAGTTAAAAATAACTTTTTTCGTTTTTTTTTAAATTTCTTTGCTGACGGCAAACAGATATTGAGAATCAAAGCAGCTCGTTGTGATGATAAACGAGAAAGCGAGAAATGTTTTATCTTGCTGTGTTTAAATCTTGTAATGAGGTTCATTGAATGAGAAATAATCCTAAAGAAATCCTTTTCTTCCATTTTCCGGCATTTCTCACGAGTTTAGAGGATAATAGTAATGATGGATACGATTCTCAGTCAAATTTGTAGATGTATGCATACAGCAGAATAGAGTACTAAAAACATCATGGCAGAACACACTTATTGACCTTTTGCGTTCTGTGTCTTTATTTATGACATACTGTCTTCGAATGTTCGAAGACGAATATACAAAAAACAAGCTCATCATATTTTTCTTCATGAGACAATTTTCTGTTGTCGTTTGCGGCTCGCTTTAAATTATGAGATACAAATTTCGTTACACAGGACCTATTATCATTCCAAGAACATTCTATAGAGAGATGAAATTCTAATCATTAAAGACTAATTGATGATTGAGTGTGTACTATTCCTTTTTACATCAACATATGTGAAACGTTACTAGAAAGCGTCCTTTTCGGACATTTCTCTAGCATACTTAATCAGACACGCGATAGTATTCTAAATTTAATCAGTTATGCTGGAAGTCTTTACATTCATTTATTTTGAAAAGAAATTCCGTAGAATTTTCTCTAATAATATCTGAAAAGTCAGCTGGTTTCGAATTGCCCATTACTTCAATGAACAACAATCCTAGAGTCATCACTCGTTAATGAATGATTGATATCAGTCCGTTTTATCGGAATGAATGCCGCCTACTCCGGATATCTTTCGATCAATTATCGTGACGAACTCTCCTACTATGAAAACTTTCTTGACGACAAACATCAATGACCATGTCGCACATGAGAGATAATGCATATTGATACCGCCTCACCAACGCAGAATATATCTAGCATTAGTCATCTTCTATATTGATAGCGTATACATTGTCATTGTGAACAATATATCTATTCTCATCAGTAGTATGAGTTTTCTATCATGCATACTTCGAATTTCCTTTAATTTAACGTTTGATTAGATGCATTGAATTTTCTTTCTAACATAAGACTACGAATTTAAGACATACTGTCCTAATGAATGCCTTTATTTTGAGAAGAAAACATTTTTGCTCATTAATCAAGATGTTTTAGATGCGATGCTATTTATATCATAGAAAATATGTAATAGGCTGAAGCATGTAATTACTATATGAAAATTTTTGAGAAAAATCTTATCATGATTCAAAAAGTGGTTTCCAATCATTACGGTATAATTATATACAAGAAATAGAAGCAAATTATTTGTTCACGCATAAACAGCAGTATTCCTCGATGTTTTGATTTGTTGTCGAATGATTTGAAAAGCTTCTGAATTGACAAAAAACAGATGATGTTGGGTACCATGAAAGGAACAGTTACATCGAATCAGAGAATTGAAAAATCTTAGTGATTTTCTCGTTTAAGTTCTTTAACAAAAATTATCTTCGAGAAAAAGAAGTCAATTGTATGATTTGTATTTAGTTGATGCATTGATGATATCCGTTGGTCGACCACTAGCGTTGATTGGTACATTACAAGCTATTCAACAAACATCGGCGAAACTTGCTGCAACTGTTTCACAAATCCCAGCAGGAATTTTAGCTTCTTACTCTGTAACTAATCAAACAACAGTTAATAGTACATTGAAACATTCTAACCGATTTCATAATTCCAATAAATATATTTTCTTAATTGCTTCTGTCTGTCCGATTATATTATTTTTTGCCACATTGATTTCCGTACGTGAACGTCGACGCAAGTTAAATCGAAATAATTTCGCTCAAACATGGTCCAGCTTAATAGCTATCTTCAAATATAAACGATTTTGGTTGATTACTATTTTTCTTTTTATTTACTCAGCATCACCACAAATAAAAACGGCCTTATTTTATTATCAACGAGATGTGTTACTTTTTGATCCGTTTTATGTTTCAATATTGAATACACTTTACAATGGTTGCGGTATTCTCTCCGCTTTACTTTATTTATCAATATTCTCCCATTATCCTACGAAACGTGTACTTCGTATTGCAATTGTCATGCGAATGTTTGCTGTTGCATCCTATTTATTTGCAACAGACAGGATCACTTCGATCTGTGTTGCTATTTTTACAGGCTTTTGTTCTGAAATAACAAACTTAGCCTTACTTCATCTAGCAGCAAAATCATGTCCAAAAAACGTCGAAGGTACTCTATTTGCATTGTTCGTTTCCTGTGTCAATTTCGGCGCAGCAACTGGCGATTGGCTCGGCTCAATGATATACGAATATTTAGGTTTTATTGCTCTTATTATCATCGCAATTGTGTGGGTAGGCACGACTATATTAGCAACGTGTCATATTGGTGAATATGGAATCAAATCCACGCTAGACGATGACGATGATGAAAGTGATGACAAATATCATTACTATGATGTTACAGTAAAAAGTACTGACATAGTTGAAGATGAAGAATTCGAAGAAACAGATTCCGATAGAACTTCTAAAGACATCAACGAAAAAGTAGTTATGATTTGATTTGATTTTATTCTCTCGCTCTCTGTTCACTGTATCTCGAATAATGTATGTATAATATCTATTTTTAGTTCTTGTTGATGATTGTTGTTAGACATTCTTTTTATATGAATAAAATACGTACGCGCACCCAGAAAAGTATTTATAAATACATAAAACAACGCTGCCTGCTATAATCACACAATTGTCATTCTTGTCACAGTTACAAGCAATAGAAAAGATGAGAAGAAGAAGAAGAAGAAAAAAGAAGCGATGAATAATCTAGAGCTCCCTATCTTTGTGTATTGATCATACAAAACGAAAGTGCTGTATTTGATAAAATCTGTTTACTATTGTCGTCGTAAAATAAGAGAGTAACTAACATGGGTTTTGTTTTTTGTCTTCTCCTTCACTTTCATTATTATTATTATTACCAACATCGCCATCAATATTTTGTTCCTTTCTTTTGTATGCGTTATTTCGCTATTCTCACTAGTCGTTTCGATTCGTTCATTGACAATGTTGTCTACTAATGAAGACAATATAGTGCAAGGAGACTAAAAAAAGTAAAAGAAGAAAGAAGAAAAACAAGAAGTAATTTTATCGCTCCTTTTATGCTAGACAAAGAAAGAAAAGGAAAAGAGAGTAACAGTGAATCTTCCTCATTTGCTCCAGTCATCTTCAATTTGTTCACTAAACGGCTTTATGTTCAATTCTTTCAAGTTACTTTCCCTGGTTTCATCATAGTTATACTATGGGAGCACAATACATGTTTCTCTTTTCAATGTAATAAGTAAAATACTCTTGTTTTTCAATTAATAAAAAAATCCATATGAAACATGTGTTTTTATTATTCATTTATTATACTCATTGAAACATCAATCTATCTGCTAGAAGCGAAAACAAACGCCAACAATCATTAGTGTCGATTACGCTCGTTTCGCAGTTACTTTTTTTTCCCTAAAGACATTCACTTTCGAATAAAAAAGAGAAAGAAATCTTCTTCGCAACTTTTATATGATTATCTTCAACTGTTGCAAAAAGTAATTATCTTGAGAACATGGATGAAAACGATGTTAAACGAAGTCAAGCGTCTGTTTTTAAACGATTTCGACAACATCGTCAACAATCAACATCATTATCATCTTTTCAAGTAACAGATCAACAACATAAAGATCGGGATTCTCTTGGAAATCAAATACCAAATCATAAAAGCAACGAACGAAGTAAGTACCTTCGTGAAAAGAAGAATTTCCATTGAAGCAAAGAAAAGGCTAACTACGCGATTTTTATACTCTACACTACATTGTCTATTAGCGTAGATTCTTTTTGTTAGAATATCTAGTTATGTTCTGATAATATAGATGCCCATTTACTTTATAACTACACTTATAACTAAGGCACGATATGACCTTTTGGACTACGGTATATTTGTATACATTTATATAAATATGATGTAATCCGAACGGAGTACATTTGAAAAAGGAACATCAACATATCTGTGCAGTAGTTACCATCCTTTCTGTTTCTAGTTCATAAAAAAAGAGAACAAGGAGATGTGTCTTGACAGGCATCGCGAGAGTTTTTTCAATTGTTAAAAGCTCTCAGAAAAGTCAAGATCCTATTCAATTTAGAAAAAGTTATTTCGCCTTAATGACAAAACGTCAACTATTGTTTATCGATTAAGTAAATGAGAAAAATGATAGTATATATATATATATGTATATGATGCTCGTGTGGCTGCCTGTTATTCAAACAAGATGGATGTTATATTGTCTAACGAATCGATCATAAACTGTCATCAACTGTCACCTATCATATCATATATAACAAGGGACTCGACATTGACATATAGACAAACATACAATATGAGGATGGATAAGACACCTCAGCATGTTCTATGCTAAATAATGTAAAAAAAAACACAAAAATAATCATAAAACAATCGATATCAGTAGGGAAAACAAGAGAGAAAAGAGCAGATTGTTATATTCGCAGCGTATATATTGCTACCGTATGCGCTAGCATCTTATTTTTTTTTCTGTTGTACATGTCAGATTTTCACTTCTGTTCGAAAGTCTCCTGTGTATGAGAAATCTTGTATAAGCGTTCTTCTTTTATCTATCAATCTTCATCTGTTTATTTTGTTTGCTAGAGTCAATCCATGATTTAACCATTGATCACACATATGGCAATACTAAAACAAATGTACAACTGCCATTCGACTGGTCATCTCCGGATGTAACGACAAGTAGGATCGACTTCTTATTTTTTTTCTTTTAGCAACATATTACTATAATTAATCTAGACGTGAGAAATTCTTTTTGTTTAAATACTCGTAGTAATTCAATCGAATGATTGAATTACCAAAGGAATACACTACTGTTTTCTCTCAATCGAATTTCGTATTGTCTGTTCTTGTTTTCCTCTTCAGCTACGCATCACAGCATTTTCATAGCTGTCGCTATCAAGGATCTGTCATCATCGTTGCGTATAAGCACGAACAAGTCTAACACTATTGTTCTATCTTATTGTGGTTGTTGATTTCTTAGATCATATCACTACATGGTATCGTTTATATATTTCTCTAGAGAGATTCAAAAAGAGATAAAAAGCTGAGTAATGCCGAGACAGTCGGACGAAAGACATTTTTGTTTCGGTAACAACGACATGTTGTTCAGGCTAGTTGTAGATTATCATAATAATCTTTTCTTCTTCTTCTTCTTCTTCATTATAAGAAGAAAAGAGATCTGCATCGTTTTGAAAGCCACACTTCTTTTTTCATCATGAGTTTCTGTCATGTAATAGAACAAAACACGCATAAAAAGCACGATTTATACAAAGGAAAAACGCAGTACTTTACATTAATAATTAGTCAGATGAAACATGAAAGATAGACAGGATTTATTTGTAAAAAGAGAGATATGACAATGATAATTTCTCGAAAGAGGAAAATTTCGAAAAAAATCTATCAAACCATAAACAATCGTATTTTCATCAAGAATGAGAAAAACATTGCTAGAAGAAAGCAAAGTTTATTGCTTTTGTGTATATTCTGTTACTCTTTCTCTTTTATCATGGTAGGATTCAAAAGAATGCTTCAGGCTATTTTGAGTGTTCACTGTTTTCGAAGAATCATGCGTATGTTTGATGACAACATAAGTGGTTCACTCACTTCATTCTAAAGACCGATGAAGAGAAAGCGAGAAACAAACGGAGATGAACTTGAATCGCCATCGATTAGCTACGGAAGTGCTGATGTAGATAGCTCGTCTACATCGATGTATTCGACTCATCGTCTATATAAATGCGGACAAATGAATAAAACAAAAAAAGAAAACGTTGATAGAAATTTTCCTTTGAAAACATTGCCTAGTACAAACATGGATCGATCGTCTCCTCTTCTGGAAAAGTATTCAATCAAAAGTAAGCTAAATTCTATGCAGGTCAACAGTTCATTCATCGAAAGGAATTTGCTTTTGAAACTAAAGTGACATGTTATATGTTATCGAATAAACGCCAATTTCATATGTATCTATTTGGTTTTATGATATGCAAGGTTATTGATATTTAACAAATAGAAAATATCGCATTCATCTGCCATTGTTTCTCACGTCCGTGTACTTTCTTTTAGAGCAGCTTTTTTTTGACAAACAAGATATCTTCGATATCGTCAGATTTTTTCTTATGTCTTAATGTGATATTAAGCCTTTTTCAATCTGATTATTATCCCTTGCCGAAGTACATGAATATCACGTGAAATACATAGTGTGTGAAAAGAAAAGAAAAACGCATCTCAGGTTTTTGCTTCTTTGAATAATCCGTCACTTGAGGACAAGAGATGAAAGGTAGTGTATTTGAATAGACTAGAACACATTAGATAATAAACACATGTTGCAAAATTTCATTTTTATTTTAGCGGTCATGGACAATAAACATTACTTTAGTTTATATTTAATTCGTATTAAACATGGATTGGTTCTTTTTTCTCTTTTACTCACTGCTGTTCAAAGTCTTGTTTATTTACTCTTAGCGATCTTTTCCGAAAAGGTGAGTTAATCAAACAAAAAGAAGCGTGTTTATTCGTTTCTTGATTTCATTTTCTAGCGCTATATTACACAATTTGTTCTTGAAATTAGTCTATTTTCGACGATTTTTCTTCTATCAATGGTAATTATTTTATTGATTTATCGAGAGAAAGTTTTTCATGCATATGTACACATATCATGCATATCTATATGGTTATTATTGACATTTTTCGCTATAATCCCATTGATTCTACAACAGTACATGTCAGTTATTCGTCTGATGGGTATTGTCACATTTTCAATTGTTACTATACATACAACTCTGCCTGTGTCACGTTCATGGACATTTCTAATGGCTTTAATAACATCGCTTATACATTTAATGCTTGTTATACGTACACACAGTATTCCGGACCCGAATAATAAGTCACATAAAATGGAATTTAAATTAGAAGTAAGTTGAATTATGTGTAGAAAATTGCGAAGTAGTTCATAATATTCTTTTAGGTTATTTGTCTTTCATTGTTCTTTGTTGCATGCAATCTCTTCGGCTTGTGTCATCGTTATTTAACTGATGCACATCAAAAGAAAACTTATCACAATACGATGCGTTGTATTGAAGCTCGAATACGACTTGAATGTGAGAAAGAACAACAAGAAACGTTAATTCTTAGCGTGATTCCAGCACATATCGGTATAGGAAATATTTGTTTTTTTCCCCAATTAGTTCTACTGACTCTCGTTTCTTCTCATTTCACAGCTTTAAGTATGAAGTCAGAAATGTTACGCAAAGTAAAAGACACAGCCAAATACCATAATATCCAATCTCGTGATTTTGATGATCAACGATCTAATACAAAGAAGATCAACACGCGTAAAGCAGCATTTCATGATTTATATGTCAAAAAACATGAAAATGTGACGTAAGTTTGCACATGTTTATTATTGAAAATCGATGATGTTTAATCGTATCGATTAGCATTCTCTACGCTGATATTGTTAATTTTACTCCATTATCGGAAAAATTTACTCCGCCAGAACTTGTACAAATTTTAAATAAACTTTTTGGAAAATTTGATCAATTAGCACAAGTAAAACATACATTGTAAACGAATGAACAGCAAACAGGTCTTGTTTTTCTAGGAATGTGATTGTATGAGAATAAAAATTCTAGGTGATTGTTATTATTGTGTGAGTGGTTTACCAATCAGTCGACCGAATCATGCAACCAATTGTGTACGAATGGGTTTAAAAATGATTGAAATTATAAAGTAAACGAATTGACCTGTGTTGGAGCAAACTTCTCCGCTGGCCTTTTCTAGATTAGTACGAGAAGCAACCGGTGTCAATGTTGATATGCGTATCGGTATTCATACAGGACGAGTTTTATGTGGAGTACTCGGTCTAAAAAAATGGCAATACGATACATGGTCAGACGATGTAACATTAGCAAATCATATCGAAGCCGGTGGTGTACCAGGGTAGGCAATTCATTTGATCTTTGAGAAACAAAAATATAGAATTAACAGTAGTGATGTTGTAGCACATTTGAAAACATCGATGTACATTTTAAAGCAAAGGCAAAGATTTCTTTGATCATACTTGAGATACCGATTTCTAAGAAATACTTTCCGGACATAAAATCTATCATAGCTTTTTTTGCTTTCAGGCGTGTGCATATATCTGAAAGTACAAGACTGAGTTTGGGTAATGAATATCAAGTGGAAATCGCTAATGGACATGAACGTGATGCATATATAGCAAAACTAGGTATCAAGACATACTTCATCATACCCCGTGATATACCAAACAGCCAAAATCAGTTAATGATGAAGTAAGAATGATCGCTGAACTTTTATATTACAGCTAATATTGTTTTCTAGTGGAGATATTCGTAAATCAAGCAAAAAAATGCAGAAACTATTAGATACTTGGTCAAATGAAACTCCATTTGCGCTTCAACGTCTTGCTGATAGTGATAAATCTGATGCAGCAAAGAGTTTTGTTCTTCTTGAAGATAATTTAAAACCGTTAGCAACATCATTCATTTGTTCGTAAGTAGATTAAGAAGGAAGAAACAACTGTCATACTTTATTCTGATCGTAGTCGACGTAGTTTAAATGATTTGGAACCATTCACATTAGAATTCAATACGCAAGAAAATAAAGAAAATAAAATGCACGAAGATGATGAAGGAAATCGTCAAGCAACGGAAAGTTTATTTCGTGCGTCACCTGAATTACGGTATCGATATTATGTTCTAAATGCCGCTTGCATCTTCTTCTCAATTCTTGTCATCCAAGCATTGATTTTTGAGAGGTAAAAAGATTGAACTGTGCCATATTTCCTTCTGAACTCATATCTCATTTGTCTTTTCATGACAGAAATGCTTTATACCTCGTTTTAATGATAACTGGCTTATGTGCCTTTAGCGTAGCAGGCTCGCTTTGTATTCTAGATCTTTCTAAAGTAAAATTACCTACTGTAAAATGAAAGATGTTTTCAAGTTCAGTTGCTTTTTGTTTCAGTTACGGCGAAATAATCATCGCTCATTACTTGATCAATCGACATATTTAGTAACACACTACTACTTTATTCGTTTACCTGTTAGTCTTATCTTAATTATGATTTGTATCTTAACACCATTTGCTGTCACTTGGTCACCAGCTGTAGATATAAGAGGATCGTTTGAAAATACATCCGTGTTTACTAACGATTTATTATTTGGAAATTCAAATCTTTCATTTACACAAAACTATATCAATCAGGTAAGAAGCATTGAAACATAAATTAATCATGATAAACGAAAGTATTCTATTCAAGAATGTGTCGGAGATACGAATTCGAAACTACGCGAATCACATTAACTTCTTTCGTTCTCTTTTCAACTTAAAAAATATGCATATATCTTATACAATTTCATTTGTTTAGACAATTCTCGTACCACTTCATAGTATTAGTATAGTATCATCGATTAGTAATCCAGTCCTATTTGAATTATGCCCACATTTCGAATTTCATATTCTATTGATTCAAATGGCTTTATTAACCATATCTTCATTTATGCATCTTTACTTTCTTCTCAAAGCATTAATTATGATTGCTTTAGTAACTATCTACGTGTTCTACTCATCTCATACGAAAATTTATAGTACAATTGCTGAGAATTACGGTTTAACAAGTAGTTTACTGCTATTAGAAACAACATTAGAAGTGTCCTTCTTCATTTTTCTATTAATCGCATTGGACCGACGGGTATACACATCGTAGTTTCATATGAATGTCGTAACATTCGGAATGGTTTTTTTTGTTCTTTAGATCGAATATATGAGTCGACTTGATCTATTATGGACAGTCAAATTTCAAAATGAAAAGCATGAAGTAGAAACTATAAGCACAATAAGTCGATTATTATTGGAAAATATTCTTCCGAAACATGTAGCAGAAATTATTATGAAAGAAAATATGAGCCAGGTTAATATCGCGTTCACAAACAGCATGACAATCATCCTTGAAGACGATTACGGACATAGTTTTCTTTGTTTTTCAGGGTCTTTATCATGAAAGTTATGATAATGTCGTTGTGATGTTTGCATCAATACCCAATTTTAAAGAATTTTATGTTCAATCCGATGCTAACAATGATGGATTAGAATGTTTAAGGCTGCTCAATGAAATTATTGCTGAATTTGATAAAGTCTGTTGTTTAATAAACAAGAGATTGATCGACATACGATTCGATGTTAACTTTTAGCTATTGGATAAGAATAAATTCAGTTGTGTGGAAAAAATTAAAACGATCGGACATACTTATATGGCAGCAGCCGGTCTCAATCCAGGTGCTGAACATCGGATGGTATGAAGAAAATCAAACGAGAATGTAGTTGATTTTGTTGAAGAGATTTTTTTTCTAGACAAGAGAACGATACAATCAAAACATTGTTGCACTTGCTGAATTTGCTTTTGCTATGATTGCAGTACTCGAAGGAATCAACCGAGATTGCTTCAATGATTTTAAATTACGAGTTGGCATGTGCAATGGACCTCTTGTTGCCGGTAAACTTATCCAAAATAGTAGAAATCTAATCACCACTTTCGACATTCGCTTAGGTATTGTTGGTGCAAAAAAACCTCAGTACGATATTTGGGGTAATACAGTTAATGTTGCTTCACGAATGGATAGCACAGGTGTGGTCAGTTGTATTCATGTGAGTAGCTGCCTGAATCACTGTGGTTAAAGGATCTGTCGATGGTTTCTTTTTTTGTAGGTTCCAGAAGAAACTCAACGAGTTCTATTCGAAAATGGTTATTCATGTGAATGTCGTGGACCGATCTATGTCAAAGGCAAAGGTAACATGACAACATATTTAGTCCGACAACGCGGTTACATGCTACCGACATCCGCTTCAAATCTCTCGTCGATAGGCACAACATTGAATAAATGAATCGATTTCACAAACATTTCCTCAAGTCAGATTTATCCCCGTGAACTGATGTTCATATGACAATCGTGTTTTTTTTTCCTGTATGGAAAATGACGGGAACAGTTTTTTTCTTCTTTCTTTTCAAAAAAAAGCGATTAACAAGAAAGAAAAACAAGTAGAGTCTCATCTGACGGGCGACATCACGAATGATACAAGTTAATCAACACTAGCGTTTTCGATTCTGTCGAGGAACTGATGTTGTCGGCCGTTTTGCTAAAATAAATCGAACAAAGATGAAAAGTGCAAAGTACAATGAATACTTACAATAATCAACAGATTGATGTCGAATGATTGCCTGATTTGAAATATTATCTGATGCATTTTTATTTCTAAAAATCAATATAATCCACATTCGAACAGTGAAAATCAATGTCGGACTAACTTACTCTAGAACAGTATACTTTTCATCTTCAGTCAAAAGTCTCTCATTTGAAAATAGAATTGTATTGAAAGGCACTTGTCCTGTATTACGATCATAATCATTCTCATTCATTTTATCTAATATACCAGTCCAAACAAGTAAATCGTCAACAAGTAACTACATAAATGAACTCTGCAGTTTTCAACTTTCCGTTGAGATTATTTCTTATACGTACAGAAAATTCACGAACACCACGATTCGGTGTTTTAGCATAGTTCCATATTTTAATCATTGAGACAGATGTCGGTCGATCAAAAATGACAAAAATTCGATTGATCTATCGAAAACAAAGAGCACCTTCGCATTTTATAAAGACTCTCACGATCACATACGACATTCGGGAGAATCGGTGCTATCCAACAATGTGTTCCATCAGTTTCATAATTCTCACCATCGATCAATTTATCCGGTGTGCGCACGTCATCGTCAGTTCCTGCATTGAGTGCATTGACACTATGCGGATAAGCAGCAATATCTAAAAGTAGATGTCAGGTCAAAGAACTTCCAATTTCGTCGTCGTTCTTTTTACTTTGTTCTGTTAGGCCGATCGATTCACCGTGTTCATCATAAAATTCCAAACCATTTAATCCAACGTAGAAAGCATCGCCGTGTGTAGAATGAAGTTGAAATTCATAAATAACTAAAAATATATTTAAAAAGCATACTTCACGGTACAATTCAAAGGAAAGAAAAGGTTAATAAATCTAATTTTAGCCGTTTCATTGAATGCAAATATAAAATACGTAATTTCAGATACCAAAAGATGTGGCTGAGAAGAATTGTACTTATAACTAACAGCTAACCCATTTAGCGTCAAAACAGTAATTAGTTTTCCAGAGTCGATCAATTACCACTGTTTAAAGACTCATTTATGTAAACTTACATCCATTTGGCATTGATATATCTGAGTCTGTATCTTGATTTGTATGCTGCATATGCCTAAATCATATGACATGTTGAGGGATATTTGAAAAAAGTCGTTCTATACTTTTTCTGCGTTTGTCTGGGTACGCCATCGATCATTGTTTTCGCGTGAGCAAAGACAATTTCCTGGGCGAAATCAAAAAAGCAGTGACCAGGTGCACGTCGTAGTAGAAAACCTTGTTTTGGTGAAATAATTTTATCGTTCAATTGTACATGAAGACGTTTGACCTTTTCAAAAACGAAGAAAACAAAACTCACTAGATTTTTTCAATACATCAAACATACGCCTCGATAAGTATCATCAGATGATTTGTTATAATTCCATATGCGTAAACCATGCAATCGTTTTGAGACACTCAACATAATCATAATGCGTACTCTTTCTTTACTACTGAATGGACATAACCACATATGATGATCATCGCAAGTAATATTTTCACCGTCAAATAATCTAAAAATGTTTGGAAAAGATGGTCTCAGGTTTTCTCTCTCTCCTTTGAGCGACAATTATTACTTGTCAAGCGTCCGGACATCATTAACATTTGATGGTAGAACAGTTATATCACGAGGACGAGCATCGTAAGATTTTATTACACAATCAGCATCGTTGATGTCAACAACTTCGATGCCAGTCAAACCACAGTAATTGCGATCACCCCAGGTATCTGTTATAGTTAAAATCAATTCTAACAAACGAAAAAAGAAAAGAATTCAGTAGTGTTGTTAAGTGTGGAAGACAATGATCAACATACTCTTTCCGTAATATTCAGGAATTTCATTAGCCTCTGATGGTCGAAACGCTGTGAAAGGTCTTCGCAACATCGCACGTGTCATCGGACGTACCTAATTGAAATGAAAGTGCAAAATAAGATAAACTATTGTCCTTCAAATAGTCTCACATCTGTGCCAACAGTAGGCGGTCGTTTGCTATTTGTTTGTGTGCTCTCATCGTCATCCTGAACGGCTTCTTGATCAACATACATTTCATCATATGTAGAAATTTTTTCCAAAATTTCCTCATCCGTTGTGAATAGAATCGTCTGTATAAAACCATATCATTATCAATTATAATGAATTCCAATATCAAATACACTCACCTCTCCATAAGCAGATGGATCATTCGTCGCGTTGATATTTCCACAAGCTTGACTGATTTCTCCTGTGAATATTGTATGACCATCCAGAGATATCTCCACATCTTTCGCGCCACGCGCTGAATGTATCCGACTCTTATTATAATTCTTCAATGAAGCGAAACACAAACAAATGTTGGTATCGATATAGAAATTCTGCCTCTTACCCAAATTCTGATCAAAGCAATGTGAACTCGATGTTCAAATGTAATGTAGATGAAATGATTTCGTCCATCTGTGTACGGTGCAAGCCACATATGTATATCATCTCGAGTCTTGTTCACTCCATCAATTAGATTACTGACGACTCGTGGATCACTGCCGTATTCTGGTAGAATATTGATATCTGCTGGATCCGCAGTGATCTATGTAATTGAAAAATAAGTCAATTCATGTTATTCAATGAAACTTTTCGTACTTTTTTAATCATAACAGGATAGCCTTCGCTAGAAAATATTTCAATTCCATTCAAACCAACATAATGACGATCTCCCCATGTGGTTTTCAAATTAAAAACCAGCTGTTCACCCTCAGGTAATTCCGGTATTGTAAAACTAAAAGAAAAAACATGATTTTCTTCCCTCAATTATAGCAAATCAATCTTACTGTTCTTCATCATTTTCATAATGATTTTTAGAATGATTATGAGAAAAATAATCTTCAATTCGTTCATCTAGAAAGAAAACATTCCATGAACAAAAACTCAAACAAAACCTTCTTTTTATAAGTACTTTCAAGCATTCCACGGTGTCGTCGACTGAATAGATCAATCTGTGTCATCGAATTTTCCAGCCAATCGACATGTCCTCGATTACGGTCTATTATTCTGAATGAAACATAAACGAATATCAATCAAATTGCATTACCGTTGGAACAAGCATCACCAAATAGTTCTGATCGATTGGATGATTCCTGATATTTACATTCTTTGTTATCATCATCAACTTCAGAATCAATATGTACTTCTCTGTAGAAAAACAATACCAACATTGAAGGAGAAATTTGACAAACGAAGAAATGTTTTACTTTGGTTGGAGGAAGTTTTCCAGATCGAGACTATCCACTACTCTTGCTTTGTGTCTTGTTCCACCGGTGATTACTTGTTGATTATTGAAATACGTGTTATTGTTCTTGGTCAGATCGCCTCCGACCATCCGTGCTCCTGTGTAAAAATAAAGTTCTCAATAATTGGCAAATAAAATTATGCGTGAGCTACGTCATTATTACAATAGAGTCAATGGAGTAATAACACTTATTTGCAATATGTAAAATTGCTTCTTCAAACAAAAAAAAAAGAACATTCTATTTCATCACGGCAATATTTTTAATAATTTAGACACGTCAGAAAATGTTGGTGAATAGGAAAATAGAAAGTATTTTTAAAAAAATATCTCTTAATGTTGTTGAGACGTTTAAAACAAGCGGATTTTTTAAATATTCGTGAAATGTATAGCAAGTTTTCTGTGTAAATGGCTTCTCGACAAGCAGATGTATGGTAAACGTATGCTCGACAAGTGATAATCATAGTTTTTCTTTCAAAAAAGAAAGTAATATTTACCCGATCGATTTCCACCTGCTTTCGGGAGATTGAAATGACTTGGAATCGGATGTTTTGGTGTATCTCGACGACTCATTTATGTAAAGGCACGTGTTTTTCTATTGTTTCAAGTGACATTCAATAAAGACAGTATGTGGATATAAATATTCACACTGAATACTTGTCTCATTTTTCTCTTTTCTCTTTTCATTCTAGATGTTGTCAAGTAACCTTTCTCTTAACTACATAGCTGTCGTTAGTAGAGAAGAAAAAAAAAAGAAAAAAGGGTCCTGTCTATCGCTGCGATATCTTACCTGCCAACCAGTGACGAGAGATAAGAATTCTCGTTGTCAGATTTCTTCTTGTTCTTCTTCTTCTTCTCATCATCATCATCATTGCTCTGCTCAGACAATATTGACTAAAGATTCATTTAAACGTATTTGCTTTTTTATCAAGTATATATTTTACCAGTTTGACGAGAGATGGAATATCATCGAAAGATAAAGCTAGAATAAAGTAATTGAAAATTGATCTCTTTACAAGTACTTGCTTCACTTACAAACTCGATTCAATAACTGATGATTATCATGATCTTCTTCTTCATCGTCCTCATTATCTGATCCTGGAGATTCCTCAAAATCGGAAGCATATTCTACAATTGACAAAAAAGTTTCAACTTTTTTTTTGTATTAAACATGAATTTACCTTGTATATCTTCCTCTATCTTGGTTTTATGAAACCAATTTGGCATCCAGCTTTGATCTATACTCTCTGGTTTCATTTGATCAAATGACACTTGATTATTCAATCCAGTAGCTCTTATCTGACTGGCATTTAGTTCGATAACTTGATGATTCCATGCAGATTTCGGCAATGCTTCACTCGGTGTTCCAGCTGATTTCACAGCACGTTTAGATGTGACTTGTTGAAATTGTCGTTGATTGAATAGAGATTTCGATTGTGGTAATTGCGGATTACTATTGGGAAGTGGAGTTCGATCAATATCAGCTATAATAGAACCATCAGCTGTTTTTATCTTTGTCTTTGTTGATGGCGTCCAGTGACGACGACCATTTGTTGGTAGCGAATTTGTTTGCTGAGTGGTGTTCGATGGAGTTGGAAAAGAAAAATCAGAGAAATAAGGAGAAGAAGTCACAGTTCGATTGGATGGACCAGCTAGCATAGCAAATGAAAGAAAACTGAGAATTTCGTTTTGTATAACTATCTTACTGGTTATAGATGTTGGTCGGCGTTTTTGTACACTGTGTGCTCCATTTAAATATAACTGAAAGCCAGTCTCACGTTTTTTCAAGTCATTATTTTTCGGTTGTCGCTGCGTTTGATACGCTTTTAGAAGTCGATTTCGTTCTTGTAACTGAATCAAATATTCATCATGTTTGCTTGGTACATCACCACGATGAGCTTGCATCTGTCGATTGATGAGAAAGAGATGAAGGCGAAAGAAATATTTGCATTGCTTACTGCACTTTGACTTCGACCTGTTCGACGAGAAGAATTGAGAAGTTCAATAGAATGATCATAGTTTGTGTGTGCCATGATAGAAACTATCTATAAGAAAAAAAATCAATCTTTAGATCGAATGATCATTTCGATTTCCTAGTGACAACGATTTTTACAAAGAATGGTTTGTTGTTATTTATTTACGAATGTGATTCTATAGATGGAAGCGTTAATTTCCCATGATTTCAATTCTCGCATTTATGTAGAATATGAGTAATCAGAAACAAATCCATTTCCAATGTCGATTTCTTAGAGGTACCTTAAACACTCAATGACTATTGAGGCAATTTGAGAAAAACAGTCAAAACTTATTATAAATACGACTCTTTTTTATTCTATATGAAATTTTCACTGTTCAGGTACAAAAGATGTCGTTCATAGATGGTCATCTTCAAATAGAACTTCATAAATTATAACCATGTTCACTGTTTTTATGTAGTCTGTATTGTTTATATCCACTATTGAATGATTGTAAATCTTACGGAATTTGATGTGTTGATCATTTCATACTTGTCATATCATTAACCATTGTTATGTGACATTTTTTCAAAATAAAGAATTCAACGCACTTCTCTCGACCAATACATTTGTTCGGATCGTTTAACTGTTCATAAATATATCCAGTTTCATTCGAAATCATAATGGCTCCGAATAAAAAATCGACTCCGCTTTCCAAATTGAATTTTCAATGGGAATGGGAAGGTGACAAAGGTGTTTGGCAACAATATGGTACTGATATCCAACAGGAAATATCTAAAGCCTACAAAGCCGGCGACAAAGAAGTAATTGAGGACAAAAAGTTGAAATTTCGTCAATTGCTCTTCCGTTTATATAGATAATGATTAATCAAACTGAAGAAGTATGTATGACTATTAAATTTGCGGATATGGTACAAGTTAATCAAAAGACGAAGTTTATGCGTCGTATACGTTCATGTATTGAATTGAAAGATCAAAATGGTTTCTTTGTCTATGAATATGAAAATGACAATAAGAAATGGATGGTCTACAATACTGAAATAATGATTCAAATTGCCAATGCTCTTGAAAGGAATCAGACAGTAATAAGCACCAAGTATCGAAATCAATCGTATGAAATTGATCTTGATCAATTGATTGAAAAGAATGTCGAAAGCGAAAAAGTTCGAAATGTTCGTTCTGTTCAATCAAGTTTGTTAAGAATCGTTTTCATAGATATTCACAACAAAACTGGTTTATTTGTAGCGGCAAAGTTACCGTTAACTGTATCGACGTTATCTAACAAAAGACCAGTGAGTGACGATGAAACTCTCGAAGCTAAAAAGAAAAAACGTCCTACATCAAAATCTACGGCATCCATCGAAAAAAGCACTAGTAAGTCAAAGAACGCCAGATCAAAGGTTTGGAAGATCTAATTTTGCATTATTTCAGTGCGAACTATAACTACGGTTATTGGCAAAGTTCCTGTTGATGCTGAATGCACAAGTATGTTAGATAAAGCACATGTTTATTGTCAAGACGATGATGTTTTTGATTGTATGCTGAACCAAGTAAGGCATAAATAGGAAATTGTCACGATATTGATATTCAATTTGATTTAGACTAATGTTGGTAATAATAATAACAAATTTTACTTAATTCAATTGTTAGAAGAAAATAGTTGTAAGAAATATTATGTTTGGTTACGCTGGTAAAGCGGTTCGTTAGAAATTGATATATATGATTGTTTGTTGCGCTTAGGGGACGTGTCGGTTATACTGGACAAAACAACTTAGAGCATTTTGGATGCGACTTGGATGAAGCTAAACGATTCTTTTGCCAAAAGTATGACTTTCTCTCGCTGCTATTAAATATCTGAACAAAGTGATCATGATTCTTTTCTGCTGTCGGTCTAGATTCAGTGATAAAACAAAAAATGACTTCTACTATCGTGATACATTTACGAAATATCCTGGTAAATACGATTACGTACAACTGGATTACAATCCATCTGTAAGTGACTTATTTGTCTTTATCCTTCAAGTCTCATCCGTCACCGAATTCAGACATCGAAAAGTGAAGATAAGAAGAAACAATTGGCAAACATCGAACAATTGAAGAGTTTACCTGTACCAGAATGTAAACTTGATCAACGCTTACAAAATCTGATCCAATTGATTTGCAATGTACGGGCCATGGAAGAAGCCTTACTCGAAATGAAATTCGATGCACGCAAGAATCCACTCGGTAAAATCGTGCATTTGTTCTTATCGCCACCGAAAACGCCAGTGTTGTTTACTCTGTAGGTAAATTGAGTGCAACACAAATCAAAGCTGGTTACTCAGCACTCAAAGAAATTGAAACGTACATAAAAATAAATAAATTCAATTCAGCTTTCATCGAAGCCAACAATTCATATTACACACGGAGTGCGTGTTGATACTCAATTCATTAATTCGAAGAAAATCTTATTCGAATTTGATTCTAGTTCCACATGAATTCGGTCGAAGTACTCCTCCATTAATAAAAACTGTTCAGCAACTAAAACAAGAAATTGAATTACTTGAAGCCCTTGATGATATTGAAATCGCATTTACTACATTAAATACTGATACAAATACCCGTTTGAATCCAATAGATCAGCATTATGAACAACTCAAATGTAAATTGGTTCCGATGGAGAAGACAAGCGACATGTATGAATTAATTAATAAGTATCTTCAATCAACACATGCGGTTACCCATCAACAGTATAAAATGCAAATTGAAGATATTTTTGAAGTTGACAGAGACAACGAAAAAGAAGTTTTTAAGGATGTGGGTAATCGAATGCTTCTCTGGTAAGTGATAAATATTGGAATAATTAGACACGAATTCTATCTTGTTCTTTTTTTAAGGCATGGTTCTCGCTTGACAAATTTTGCCAGTATTATCAGTCAAGGTTTACGAATTGCACCACCCGAAGCTCCAGTGGTAAGTGAGTGTGAACGAATATCGTATATGAAACCTCAGTTCGAACACGTGATAATATTTTAAATGGATTTAGACTGGTTATATGTTTGGCAAGGGTCTATATTTCGCCGATATGAGTAGTAAAAGCGCAAACTACTGCTATCCTACGCCAAGTAAAAATGTCGGTCTAGTCCTACTATCAGAAGCAAGTTGATTTTTCGTTCTCTCTCTACATCAATTGAATGCTTAAATTAGGTTGCATTGGGTAAATGCAATGAATTACTTCAAGCTGACAACAATGCTCATCGATTACCGGAAGGTTTCTCGAGTGTAAAAGGCCTAGGCTCTACAGCGCCTAGTATGAAAAACGCAGTGACATTGTAAGTTACTTCTTATCTTCAAACGCCGAGAGCTAACTCATTCGCTTGTTCCATATAGAGATAACGGTCTTGTTATTCCAATGGGCCCTGGTGAAACTACAGATGTAGTGAATCCAAAAGGTTATACACTCAATTATAATGAATATATTGTGTATGATACAAAACAAGCACGAATGCGATACTTAATCAAATTGAAATTCTTATTCAAATAGAAGAGTTGACATTCTCTTCTAAAAATTTATTTTGTGTTACTAAATAACAAGAGAGAAATACAATTTGTATAGGCATGTGAATGTTTCTGTTATGTATACTCATTTCTAAATAAAAAGACAATTCAAGATGCAGGATTTACTACTTATCAACACGATAATTCGATAAATGATTTCGAAGTTTCGAATTTGTCTGTGTGTTTCTACTCGTCACAACCGAATTCTGTTTGGTTTCAGTACTATGCGATGACAAACTTTTTCGTGTCTGTGTACGATTTATTTGTACAGTATATACCACATTATCTTCACCGCGAACCTTCAAAGAATAATCATCATCAGTTGCCTGCTCTCGATTGTTACGTATTTTATGAGACGACTTACTTTGTATGACACATAAGGTGATTCGTCATGCTTATCGTTTGTCGAAACAACGATTTCTTGTTGATTAAGTTCACAAGAAATTCTCCATTGATTGCTGTTGTTGTCAGGTGCATCGGAATTATACTCTGATTGTATTTTTCTGTTTTCTTTATTATTTGACGATCGTTCGACCATCGCTTGTTTTTCTTTATTATTAATATAATCGACATAATAACTTAAATCACTGAGAAATGTATCAATCTATACTTTGAAGCACACATAAATGATTAGAAACTGGAAGGAAATCTACTTGTTGTAATCGAATCAATGGATTTCGATTAAAATCAAGTTCTTTTTGTCTGCTTCGGTGGCTGTATCGTTTTACTAAATCGAACATTGATTCAATGGCTCTAAAAAGATGATATAGATAACAATAAAATACTCTGAATTCACAAACATTTTTATCGCTCCAACTTCGGCTAAATGTTCTTTCGACAATTGTTGATAATTCTCAATTTCTGTTTGAATCTTCTCAATACGTTGTTGAACATCTATATAAGTCAGCTGCAATTCATTTATTTGGTTATTCATTGACGATATTATGTTGCTTTTTCTCTATTTAACTCTCACAAGAACGTTTTAGTATGATCGAATCGAATCTTACTTCTACAGTTGATAACAATTGTCGTCGTACCTCATTTAACTCTTCATTTGAATTTTTAATTACCATCAATATGTCCTAAATGTATGACTATGATTTAATTGATGACGAAAAACGATCATATCCCGAACTTCGTAACTCGCATGAAGCATTTCGAATTTTTCGATCATTTCATCAATCGAATGAAACCGATCAGTGCGATCCAAAATCTAAAAATCGATATTCTCTCGAAACAAGTATGCTTTTTCTATGTATGACTTGACTTGAGTAAGCAGATTAGAATGTGGTTGATATTGACGAATTATTTGTTGTAGTCTTTGCTTCTCATCATGTATCTGTTCGATTTCTTTTTTGAGTACATCAATTTCGATGAGTTTATTTTGAATAAACATTTTCTCATCGTCAATACGCTTCAACGAACGATCGCGTTTCATCGCCAATTCCTTTCCATATGTTCAAATGACTTTATTTTTCCCTACAGAATAACTTATCTTCCTACTTTGATATACATTTCATAACTAGATGAAAACCGATTTTTACAATACGAGAAATCAAGCAAAAATTAACTTTTACTTGAGAATTCTTTCTTTAAACATCATTTCTTTTTCATGTAAAGCATCTTGACGCTTTTGTAGATGCTCTCGCCGTGTTTGATACTCATGCCGATGACGTACGAGTGTTTCATCAAGTGCTTCGACCTCGAAATATTTCTCAATCAGCTTCAAATCTAACTTGACGTCATTGTGAGTATTCACTTCAATATTCACACCTCTAATAAAACATATTTCAGCAAGAATACTAAATCCTACGGCATACTTTATCGGCGGAAGTTTGATAAATTCTTTATAATTTACAAGTTTACGCGCTTGGCAACTCATCTTTGTGTAAAGAATGACAATGTCTTGGAAACCAATGCTTTCCTTTGACTTCTCATACAAATTCGTATCTTAGATATATGATTCAGTAGTAAATGTGTGTGAATCTAATTCAATGTTCATTCATATATTTAATTGCCACACATTAGTCGTAAAATTGTTCGAATGAACAGACAAACGAATAACTAAACTATTTCAATTGCTTCGTAACATTCTTTTCGCGTGTCGATTTGTTCTTCACATTGATGTCAATAGAAACGATAATAATAACAACAACAACAACAATCATGATATTTTGCTTCGTTCGAAAAGCAAAGAAAACGAGATGTGTGAAAATAAACCGTTTAGCGAATAATATCATCCAATCAAAATCGTTTCTCCTCTCATCATCAACTACAATCCGAAAACAATCATCGAACGGTACGCGTCCAATCTTGTTTTTCTCTCCGATTTCATATGAAGGAAGTCGAATCAATGTGATCTATAGAGTTTTTATGTACAGCAGGTGATTGAGACGATTGAAAAGCATGATTTCCGAAAGTCGTTTTTCTTTTTTTGATCAATTTCTAATGTGAAACGGATGTCTATTGTTGCCGATGTGTGAGAATGATTGGAATTTGTAAAAAATAACGTGTCTCTTTTATTTTACAAGACAAATACACAAAAAGAAAACGAAAAGAAAGAAAAAGACGAGCAAAGCGAAAAGAGAAAAAGACGAAGTGTTTTATTTCGAAATTTTATTAAAGAAAATTCGTCGAAGATTGTCCGAACTGGTTTTCGTATGACACTGAGGACAAAGATTTTTTTCATTTAAATATTTTAACCAACATTCTTCGCAATTTATATGCCAACAAGTCAGTGAAACACACGGTTTCACACACGATTCCTACTAGATTAGAAAGAGAATCTTTCGAGTTCAAAATTTAAGTCACAAAAACACAAATCTTACCATACAAACGACGCATTTGGGAGGATCGAGTTCGGTTACATTTGATGAGTATAAAATATCACTTTTTTGTGTCGAAGGAGAAAATCTAAACAAATATCTCTTCATTCTTCTCTCATCTACTAATCAGTTTATATCTACCTTTGATCACTGTTAAACGATTCTTGACATCGATCATCACTGGAATAATTATCAATCGTTATTTTACACGAAAAAAAAGAAATTTCTCTTCTTTAACGCACCTATGATCTGCAGTACTCGTTGTTTCATTGGTACTCTGTCGATTGCTATGTTTATCTTCTCGTTCGACACCGTCATCCATATCCACAACATTTACATCTGGATCTTCTGTGTATCGATCAAACCGTTATTGAATGTTGCAAGAAAAAAATACGAAATCTTTCTATGAAACTTACCTTGTGTTGATTCATTTGTTGATAATAGCAAAGGTGGTGGTGGAGGTGGGAAACGATGTTGATTGGCCAATGCAGCAAGAGCTGCATTTGCAGCTAATTGTTCTCTCTAGAGATGAGAACAAATCAATCAAGAAGATCTTGTCTTTTCTTTCTCTCATCATACTTTTCTCGAACATTGCTGAACATGAGTGTAGAAATATTCTTCATCTGTATTCGTTGGAATTATTTGGTAGCATATTGGACAATTACGCGTATCTGGACGATGAATACGACGATTATGCAACTGTAATTTAGCTGTAATAAAATTTTTTGTTAAGATACATGAACAAGAGTATAGATAATTTACCATTTAGACGTTGTTGTCGACTTGTTCTTACGCGTATGAACGTCTAAAGCACATCAACTGATTAAAAAGATATCTATTCTCGTTTTTTTTTTGTATATTTACTTCATAACGTGTCTTAAATGTTTGATCGCTATTATTAATTGTACTTTCTTGTAGAATCTACAACGAGTAATGATGATTGTCTGATAAACATCGTCGAGAAAAATGATTCATTTGTCTATAGACAGCAGATGAGAACTTACTTTACTTGGATTGTTTGTCAGATGTGTTGAACGACGTGTTGAATATTTCGATTGTTGTCTATTACGCTCAATGTGGTCAAGCTCGTGTTGAATGTGCGTACTTAAATCTTTTCCATTCAAAGGTACTTGACAGATCGGGCATTGTGGATTTTGCAAATCATATGTTGATGATCGACATCGATTCTCTAGAGAGACAAACAATAGGTGTTTCTTTCTCTTATTGTCTAGCAAGCTATTCCACACGTTCTTGCGACAAACAAAAAGAAAAACAATCGAGATAGATGAAGCGACGAGACAACGCGAGCTGTCTGTTCCATCCGGTATTTTATTCCGTCTCATTAGTTGTCTTCTAGTGAAGAGTTTGATTATTTTATGACTTCTTTTTCACTTATGGATCACTATCAGACCATATGTCAAAATAGCCTCATCGGTAGAAATTGATTAGACAGCTGAATATTTTCCTCGAAGTCAACCTGTCGAGATGTACAACAAATAGATGTTGTATCAACAAAACTGCAAATAGAAAGAATATAAAAGTGAAGAGTGATTTTTCGTGCCCTGAAGTGATTGATTAATCCGCGAAAGAGAAGAGAAGAGAAGAAAAGAAGAAATCATATTGCCTAGTGATTCTATTAAATATCGATCAATCACTTCAGATCTTGTTTGATCTCGAATAAAACCAGTTATTCATGTAATAGCAAATTATTCTCACAGCTAGATATGAAAATGAAGAGACATGTTTGGGGGAGAAAATTTTTCGCATGCAACTGTGATTATTTTCCAGGAAACAAGTGTATGAGTATAGGATAAACAAAAAAATGATAATTGATTTCTGTTCCTGTCTTCGCCTATGAATTAATTGACCCCACCCAGCTAGATGTGTGAAATCAACCGGACGAGTCATCTTTAGGGCAACGAATAATGAGGATGAGGGTGATGTGTATTACCTGAATACTTGCCAAAACTTTCATCACTACTCTTTTCCGATGGAGATATGTCCGAATGGTTTTCGTCGTGTGTACTTGTCTTGAATCGTTTACTAGTTGGAACGAATGCTGATGATTCGGTTGACGACGACGACGATAACGATGAATTGGAATTCGTTGATGATGTCAATAATCCTGGTGTTGCACCATTTAATAGAGGACGAAATGCAGCTGCATAAGGATAATGATGGAATAAAGTTGAAAATAGATGATGCTGATGTACCGCAGCTGCAGCCGTTAAAGATGGATGCGTCGAAGGAAAACGTAAATGATCAGGTGACGTTTGATTCAGTAGGGTATTGACGGAGAATGCTCCGTTGGCTGCATTGAAAGCAGCCATTGCAGCTGATAAGGACGTTTTTTCGGGACTAGTGATTGTCGAATTAGGTGATGAGGTGGCTTGTCGTATGGAACGAAATGCTGCAGCCATGTCGAGTGGTTGCATAGGATGCCAGATTGCTGGATGATACATATTCTTTAGTTGCTTTGATGATAATATAAAATGATCAAATGATAATCTTTTCTTCGTTTTTTCTTTTTTGCACTAAGTTGTGTGTATCAACTTATCTCTCTTGTCGAAGTTTATCTTTTCTCGCTGTCGTTACACAGAGTTGACTTCTCTCTTCTACTCTGATTGAGTTCTCTCTTGT